TGGTGACCCATCGGATGAAGTAGCACAAGCCGCGGAGCACTGCTGCTTCCATCCATAGCAATAACCACATTTATTTTGATGATGCTATTACCCGACCCTCAGCATCAAGCACTCCTCCAGTCAATGTCATTTTTGACAACAACTTTGACAATGATGGTGAGCATGCTTCCTCTGTTCATATGAATGAAGCTGTTGATATCGAAGGTGAGTCATTGACATTATCCGCCTCTTTTCGGAAACTCATTGCTGAAATTGAGCCATCACAAGCAGATCACACAATCTATTATGCTTCGGTCACCCAATGGACAGAGCGTCTTACTTTTGAAACTCTCGTCAGCAGCGAGCTGGTACTTGGTGTAACCGAACCAATTGGAAGCAACGTTCCTCTTCCTGTGTCTACCTCTGATTCTTTCGCCAAAACATCTGAAGAAGTTGAGATTAGCAACGAACTGTCTAAAGCAAACAGGGTCAGTTCTGTTGATCCAGTTGTGCAAGATGAGTCTAGTTCTTTGAGTCCGGAAAACATCGCAGATGCCGTCGAACAATTTCATCCTCTCCGGGAACATATTGATGGTTGTCATTTCGATGAAACTACCGGTCCATCCGCTGCAGTTACTACAGTACCTTTCGTGCCGCTCAGCAACCCAGGTGTTATCATCAAGGCACCCTTGGTTCAACCATTGATTGAGGATGAGGATCCGGAATCTTTCTACCGCCAGGTCTATGTGCGATGCGACTCAGCAACTGGTAGACTCGATCCCCCAGACTCATATTCTCCTGTTGGGCAGCAAGCCAGTTTCTCTCAATATGACACGGATTTGGAGCCAATGCTGAATAACTCGGAGAACTTACTTGAAATTAATGACTCTGACGATAGACATTATGTTCTTCCTCAGCCTGACGAGGTTGAGCTCGATGAAGAGCCAATGGGCCTTTCCAGAGCTCACTATTCCGGTGGCTGATGTCACATTGGCAATCCCGGAACAAAAGGTGGCACATTCTGATCCTGCACCCGAAGTCCTTCATAACGATCATAGCCAAGTACTAGGAGATGTTGTCACTGAACTAGGCCCGGAAAAATCAATCATATCTTATGGAACAAGCACTCTTCGTATCTGAGCTCGCGGAACAGGGAATTTTTACATCAGACCTTATATAACAAAGACTGTTCGTATATGAGCTCGAAGAGCAGGGAATTTTTCTACCAGACCTTTCAGAACAACGAATTGTTCCCGCTGAGCTGAATACCCCAAAGCTAGCTGAGCAACGACCTGAACAAGTTCAAGGATCGGAGGAAATTGTGAAAGAAATCATCCGCACCCAGATGATCCCACATTATCACCAATTCAGAAAACCCTTTCTTCCTCCTGGTATCGTCATTCCATGGGGCCCGAACAACACTATTCCAATTAAATTGAACGAGTTCAGAGCAACTGATCCTTGGCTGCCAAGTCCCTTTAATGATCCACTCGGATACGGTCTGTTGAATGGAGTTCAAAAGCGTTGGTGTCAGTTGGAACTATATTACAAGCAAACCATATTTTGGATATACACAAACTTCACTGCATCAAATCACCTCGAAAACAATCCACGAGATATTGTATACTGCTTTAACAATATCTGTGGTTATTTTGGATGCCAGGCAAAGGACTGCAAACATCCTCAAGTATGCTGGGAGATTCTCTATCGGTCTTATGAAAAGTGGAAACAACATCGGGACAATCAATTGGAGCTTTTTCGGAATACTGTTAATCAACAAGCTGCTTCTCAACAACAAGATGGGAAGATCCCTGCCAGTGTAAAAGCTTCTTAAGAACAGCTTTCTGAGCAAGGTGCTTTTGCGCAACAAGCTATTGCTAAAATAACCACTCGCCATCACGCCGCTCCTCAAAGGGCTGCTCAAAAGGTTCTTAAGGAACGCCCAACTGAGTTACAGTTCTTGGTGCAAGAGGACTCTAATTATGTACCACCTACCGGACTAAACTCTGCGGTACAAGCTCTAGAACAAGCTTTCCATGAGAGACAAGCTCGTGAGCAAGAGGCTCTCGAAACTTATACAGGGACTGTTGAGAAGGGGGTCAAGCATTATGCTGCTCAAGTCAAACAAGGTGTCGCTCAAGAGGCTCAGAAGATAACAGCATTTCAAAAGGCTAATGCTCAAGAAGCTGGACCAAGCATCGAAAATACAGAGTCAGGACCTTCAAAGCTCATAAAATCTCATTCCTCCAATTTGCCTTTAGTCACGGATCTGGCAAGATTCACAGATCCTAACGATGAACATGATTCTGGATGGATGGAAGGCTTTTAGTAATTACAGGGAAGATTCCAGGTCAGATCAGCAGGTGTTCAATGATGCATCTCTTCGCTCCTGAGGAAATTCTTCTCGATCCAAAAAAATCTCGATGGAACACTATGTTTCCACCAGAGAAGGAAGGAACTACAAGTGAGGAGAGAACCTTCGTGGCCCCAGCCCCATACTGCGATGGATCTAATGCACAAACTAGCGTCTCCGATGGAAGTGGGAAGGCTACAACTTCCACATCTGACACCAGCCCTGAGGGCTCGCCGAAAACACCTCAAATTGTGATAGTTTCCAAACAGGAGGCAAATGATCACTCAGTCATCTATACCCCCATCGATGAAGAAGAGGGTGATCTTTATAGCGCTTCACCCCTCAAATTGCGATACTAGCCGGCCTAGCCAACCCATCGATTTCCCACGATGTAGAAGAGGATCATCCATACACTTCTTCACGTCTAAAAGCACGGCACGCAGCATTTGTTGCCCTGGCTGATACATTTACTCCTGACGAGGTAAAAGAGGACGATCTTTGTAGCGCTTCACCCCGAAGAGTGCCAAATTCAGCATTTGCTACACGGATCAACTCATTTTCGCCTCCAGCATCCAAAGAACTCCTAGGAGTTTCCATTGCAGCAGTTGAAAAAGATGCATCGGAAATGTATGATGACGAGGGGTTTTTGGTCGAGGACGTTGCTAAAAATCTCAAAGGACTTGTCATCGAGGAGTCAACCGGAAATCCTGACGACCGAAGTTCTGATGTTGAAGAATCTGATGAAGAGTCTCGTGATGAAAAGGCCAGGGATGAAATGCCAAATGATGAAGATTACCAGGATGAAGAAACCCAAGTTCTTCCGCAGGCGGGCACTGCCCAGCTTTTTCAGCGCATTACCATTCCATCCACGCCAGCAATCTCAGGACTAGCTGGTGCTTTCAAGAGACAACAGGAGGAAGCTAGAGGTATCTTCCATAGAGTACGTCAAGGTCCGGAGGATCACCCCGATATTCTCCTTGACCGAGAACTTCTTCCAATTTTGTAGGGAGATACGAGGGAGCTTCATCTCTCCGACATATTTAGGAAAATGGACGATGCGAAAAACCACATTGCCAATGAATGGATGAATAATCGAGCACAACAAGATCCAAACGCACCAAATGCGGATTTTGTTAGACTTCCTAAAGGATATGGATGCGAAGACGAAAATGTCAAGTTCCCCAGAGCCGTGGTCGAGGAGATGAATGAAGCGGAACAAAAAATCTGGACCATGGGAATGCGCTATGCAGAGCACGAACGTCTTGATGAGATGGATGACCCTGCAAACTTTACATCTGAGATGCACAAGGTTTAACCTGCGCTCATCAACAGGTCGTGGAAACCAGAAGTGATTGAGGAATGTGTTGAAAAGTTTAATATCACACATTGTGTTCTTTTACCTGGTGGTGATGATCCTTCTGCTTTTGATGATGAGGCAGCGACATTTTAGGTCCCTCCCTCTTCTACATCTCGGATCGTCATTCCTCCACGTTTAGACTCCTGTTCGGTTCTCTCGGGTCGTTTGGGATATTGACAATTAATAAGTTCTCTACTGCAAACATGATTTCACTTTGCCGTCAGTATTTTGGTTTTACGATTACTAGTACATTTGGGACAATGGTTTACTGGAGTTTGCATCGGGGATGAAGTACATGGTTGATTAACGGACGGAAGCTTAGTTATTTACGGCATCGCAGGGCAAGGGATATGATTGGGATATTGAGCACATCACAGCATGGTTGAGCATAACAAGGAGTTTCTTTTGTTTTGTTATTTTCATTTTCGTCTTTCTTATTTTTTCCTTCGGCATCACAAAAATACCATACGGTCACGATACTCAACCCAAGCATTTACACATACACATACACATACAGAACTCAGGTTCAGGTTCAGGTTTTCCTTTTAAAGAGCGCAAGATTACGGGTTATGGGTTATGAATTATGAATCATGGTTTTATGAGGATACGGATATCCATTTAGGTATTTAGGTTTTGGTGTTAAGAGTGTTGAGATAAATACCCACCCATCCATCCATCTCCATCTATTTGATAAATTGATAGTTTACATAGCGAATGAATGAAATGAATGAATAAACGAATAATGAGTACGAGACTGTGGCTTTGGTTAGGTGTGAAAGGCTTGCGTGATTGGTTGTGCATTTGGTATTGTGATGTGATATGATGTGATATGATGAACAGGATTATTTTTCATCTAATTTTTTGGTAGTTCTTTTGGTTTTATATTTGCATATTTGTATAAACACCTATTGTACATCATAAGTTCCATTGAGCGAGATGAGATAATGAACCATTTATCTACTCCCTCATCATCCACAAATTTTTAAACTCAGCTCCCGACTCCCAACTCCCAGCTAGACTCCTCAATCTTACCTATCTCCCCCCATCTCACCCCCTTCCCCCTCATCTCACCCCACCAAAAGCAAACAAACACCCACCCCTCCTCTCCCTCCCCAAGGTCTCCTCCCAACCCCTCATCTCCTCCAACCCCTTACATTCCTTCCCTCTCGGCCCCACCTCCTCAAACCTATACCCTCGTGCCTTCCACTCCTCCCTCCCATCGGGAACATATCCCCCCAAAATCCTCGTCAATATTGCCATAGGACCCCATCTATTCCACCAACCCGGATTTTGATAATACGGATGTACTAAATAATTCGAAGAGTGGAATCTCTCGTTTATACCTATATCATCACTTGGGCTTATTTCTCTCACACGCATGAATTCCGGTCGAGGGGGTGAGAGGTAACGAAGGATGAATTGACGAGTTTGGAGGAGCAAGAGAGTGAGGAATTGATGGAGAGGTGAGGGTTCGGGGTATATCATTGCGTTTCTCAGACGCGGTCCCATTAGTACTCCTACGGCATCGTTCGCAAATGAGAGTGCCCACTTTGGAACAAGGAATAGGAGGAGCGGGACGAGTTCATCTGCTGTTTTCTTGTTATATGGATTTGGTACCATGTACTTTTCCTCGTATTCTTGAGCCCAGTGTTTAATGTCTTCGTAGAATTCTATTCCATCTCTCCACCTGTTGAAGTTGGGTAGTACATGATAGGAAATTTCCATCGCATCGCCTATTCCTTTCCAGAAAGTAGAGATTGCACATATTTCCATATCGTTTAGCTCTCTCCATTCATACTTATTAATCCAATTTATGGGTTCTGTGATGAAAACACTTAAAGTATAGAGTAAATCATCGTTGGAGATTTTGCCCGCTTTTTGATATCCGGAATGAAGATAATTCATGCGGGAAATAGATTTTAGAACGCGTGGATGAAGAGGAGGATGAGAGCAAAATTCTCCAATTAAGATCCCCGTGTCGGCATAACGTTTGCTGGCTGTTTCTTTGGAGCTGAATTGTTTGGTATCGACGAGGAGTTTGGAGATTGTGGGGATTCCGTAGGTCTGGGGAAGGGTTAGTCTGTTCTCGAGAAAGAGGCTATGAACGGTAGGAGAGTATTCATGACGAATTAAAGGAATAGCGAGTTTATATATTCGACTATGAATCACATTTGAGGATGACAAAGGGTCAAATTGAAAAACAAATCCACATCACCGAACAAAAAACCATCATACCTTAAAAAGAGCAAACTGCAAGCTCATCTTATAAAAGGTCGGAAATTCCAATTCTCCCAAATGGGTGATAATCTTCTGCGCATCCGTATTCGTCATATCTTTAAAAGATTCTCTCTTCGTATATCCGAATTTCCTAATCATTGAGTCTCGTCTTGAAAATCTGAGGAAATGAACTAGGAGGAGATATGTTGAGAGGATGATGAGAATAGTGGTTGTTGAAAGGGGGCGGAATTGGATAGGAGATGAGGGAGCGAGATGGGTTGTTGTGTTAGTAGACATTGTGATAGTAAAGTAAAGAGAAGTGGAGTGAAGTGAGGAGGAGTGAAGAGAAGAGGTGTGGCATTGAGTTGATACAAATATGAGATCACTGTTTCGGCTTCTTTTTCCTCCCTTTGTTCGACAAATGAGGAAACTACATCCCAAATCGAAGTTAATCACAACGATAGCTTTCAATTGGATATCAAATCTCAAAAAAGAGAATTGAGGTTGTTTAATAGAATAAAACGCAAAACATGAGAGGTCGATAGTAAGATAACTACGTTATTATGGATCACATATGATCGATCCACTTAGTCAAATCCTGTTTGTTGAGGATGACGTCGAAAGGAGAGTCGGCAAGTACTAGTACTAAAACTAAAACTAAATATTCCAGAACCAGAAGTCGAAATAATTTCACGAAGTTATTTATTATAAAAACAAAATTAAAAATGTGAGAAAATAAAGAAACTAATAAGTACCGATTGAATCAAACAACACTTGGTGGCTGCCATCATATAAAATTAGATCATAAACCAATGTTCAGTTCTTAAAGTCGTCGTGTATAGTCTCACAAGCTCTATAAAACCAAGGTGACAATGAGGTGAGAGGCGACCAAAGGTCAATATCATTCGCTGCGTCTTGTAAGCCATATGCTGTGCCCTCCTCTCATTCAGTATACTTCTTACGTGGTGAATATGAGCCATATTGAATTATCAATTGAAGACTCTACCAGAATTAAGAGTTGATTCAAAGTAGAAGAAGGTTAAAATCAGCTGAGGCTTTTGAGGATGGCAGGGAGTAGCCACGAGGAGCGGGGAATACCCATCATAGGGAAAGCTGGAAGGCAGAAATGTTTCAGTTAGGTTCCGAAGAAGAAACATTTCTGGGACTAAAGGAATCTGTGACTTGTGGCTAAGTCTATGGACTTATGATATGAGGCGAAGAAAGGAGGATTCACAAGACAACCAAAGGAAAAATCCACGATTGGACAAAAGACATTCGGATGCATGTTTCGGTCCGGTGGTGAATTAGATGTATATTGGCAACCTTGGCAAAACACCGCAACAGACCAAATCCAAAACCTCCCCCTAAGTAATCCAATTTAGTGATTAAAAGTTGGTATCCAAATATATGTAACTATCTAAACTTAGGTGATGGGACCTTATTTAAATCGAAGTTATCAACGACTAAAGCATAGTGGGTATATAGCGAGCGTTTTTGTACTTTTGAAAATCTATCCCTTGATGTTGGGCAACTTGTCAAATCAATTCGCACAAAACTTTGCGTTCGTTCCATCATGGTCATATCGTCGTGAATTTCTGGCTTGCTCCCTTAGAAATGAAGAAGAAAAGTTTCCTATTCCTTTTGAGCCATGCTCAAAGCTACATCCTTGATTGCGAAACTAAAAGGACTTTTGGTCATCTCCGGACTTCTTGGACTCATTTTGACGGCGAATAATTCATCTTCCGTTTGATCTTCATCAGAGGTCTTTTGTGGTATACCACCAATCGCAAGAGCGTTCAAAGAATTCATTCCTGATTGTAACGTATGATTCGGTGGATGTTGAGCGACAAGACGTAGTGGTTGAGGGCGAACAGTTGCTCCATGAAATGAAGAGAATGATGATACGGCGACATCACCCTGTTCGGGAGACAATGGATTTAAATGACTTTCGAATTTAGGTTCTATAATAATATTATTTAGTTTCAGGCTCTCCATTTGTAGACACATGACCTCGTACATACCTGGAACATTACTCAGGTCTTGTGCACTAGTTCCCAATTTCAACCCCTTAAGCTTCTCGGATAACCTTCCACCACCAGGTGTTTTTGGACTAGCTGGTGTAGCATTATGTTGTATATCCCGTTGTGTAATTTTTGGTCCAACCCCAAAGTTTTCCTCTATCCATTGTCTTTCTTGTATAGCCATTTCCAAACCTACCCCCTCCCCATTTGTTTTCATTTCTTCTTCAATCTCCCTTTGCAGAACAGATATTCTCTTCTTTGCCCAGATCGTATGCAATACACCTTTTCGTCCAGCTTGTCGCGCAGTCAATCCTAATTCGGGTGGGAATATCGCGGGCAAGGGATTTGTTTGAATGGTTTTTCCTCCCACTTGTGATAATTTTATGATTCTTGGTATGCTGGCACCGGGAGCTAGTAAAAAGTAAAGTCGATGGAGTTTCCCTTCTGCTCCATCTCGTGCCGATAAAACGGTACTTTTTCCTTCCCATGATACCTCCCAATCTCCCATATTTTTGGTGGATCCTTCTGTAGTATCATCTTCCCATTCTACCATCAATATTTTGGTTCCTTCATTTCCTCGACCGGATTCGAATTCAAAGCGTGCGAGAGCGGTCGAAGATGATAATGGCGCAGAGGCTTGTTCTACATTATCGGGGGAGGTAGGTAATGGTACATAATCCGGTTCGAAATGTAATCGTGGTGAAGAAGATGAGACTGCCATTTTTGTGTGCTGGTGTGATTGATGTTGGGTGATGGTAACAAGCTTTGAGGAAGCTTCGTCTGAAGACTTACGGAGATAGGTTATCGAGGTTAATCCATTCAGATTGAAGCTTAGATGATAAATGAAGGTATAAAACAACGTGATTGATTACCCATCCATCTGCTTCCAAAGTTTAGCCAGAAAATAGCCCGGGCAGCTATTATTGCGGTGTCTTTCTAGGACATCAAAGGTGGAGATGTTGTTGCGCCCAGGGGTTCGTGGGTAGAAGGAATAGTAATCAGAATATAAAGAATCATAAGAATCATAAGAGGTCTTTGAATGTGGCGCAGTAAAAGACAACATAAACTTCATAAAGAGGGGTTATGTGAAGGTGGGGAAGACGGAAGAGAGGGTGAGAATTGAAGAGGGTTAATCCGATAGAGAGATAAAAAGAAAATCGAGATATCGATGTGATCTTATAATAGGTACCGATATTTTGTAGATTTGCATCCAGAAGCCTCCTTACGAATTCTCTTCTTGTACGTTACAGCTTTGGATCCTTCCTTTGAACTCTGGAGATATAATCATATCTATATAGAATTAGAGCAGGAATCACCGTCTATCGTCTATACTTGATAGATGGCCAATTAGAATATTCGAGTATCGTGTGTCCATCTCGATTCATTTTTCGTATCGGAAAACAAAGGGTGGGCCAAGAAGAGAGACAATACTGGTGAAATGGACAGGGAAAACTTGCAGAGGGATTTGAATATTAGGAATGAAAACCTCACCAAGCAAACAACCATACGAGCAGTGAGAAATAAGTTGCATACAAGGGACCGGGTAGTTGTATTTCGTTGGTTGAGCCATAGAGAGTTTGTGAAGGATTCTAATAATAGAGGGGATCCTATGGCTGGTACGCATAAGATATGGATGGTGTATGCAAATGTATGCATAATGTATGCATAATGTATGCATAATATTAATTGATTCTCGGTCCCAAATTGGGTCAGCCATCTAGTCGGAATCTCTAAATGGGAATGGAGAATAACCATGTTGTAGCCATGTTGTAGCCATGCAGTAGCCATACATTTACCATGCAACTAATATAACAACCCATAGGAACCACTGCCAACTTGTGCTCTATGATTGGGTCTTTTGAATTCCAACTCTTAACCAGCCAGCTGCATCTATACGGGAAGATATCCTCTGCGTGCCTAAATATATACCGTTTAAGAACGTTGTCACTGGAGATTTTATTTGATAATTAATCGGCCATCTATCAGCCATTTATCAGCATCTATCAGCCATCTACCAGGGAAAGAAGCTACAGAACCAAACTTTCTTCAAAACCTATTTCTTTTACTATTTTCCATCTCGAGAAAATCCTTTCCCTGTTACTTACCACTGCGTGCGATCGAGCGATTTATCATTCATTCTTTCCTATGCCTACTGTGCCAAGGGAACATTCTCGATAACTCAAGGGGTACGGGTTCAAAGGATTTATTCCCAATCGTGACAAGATGGGGAGCGGGGTAGAATATCACCTAATGTTACCAAGGATTGAATGCCCGTACCGTTCCGTGAGGGAAAAAGCTTCTCTCCATGCAAGTAATCATGGCTTACTCGAGTAGAGTCCTCCAAATCGTTTTCTTGTACACATCTCATGGAAGAGAGTCGTATTGTGAGTTTCTATGCGTCAAAGCCATATGCATCCATCTAAAGTCGAATGTAACATTGTCCTCCAACGCTCTCTTGGTGTATCATACTTCATTTACCCGTTTCTACGAGGATATGGATAACCAGTATATCATCCTCTCAATTTATTCAACTGCATGCAACAACCCCGAGTCGTTATGATCGTTAGTATGATCGAATGTTATATATTTCAAGTCAATCAGTTGTCACATGGTTTTTGGGCAAGGTTTACCAAAAATCATCATGACCTTTTTATATTCAACTTTCGAACATTTGACGGATTGGATTTCATTACATGGTTCAAGTAAAGTGTGTGCAATTTTTACACATCTGCGCCTTACATCACATCTTATCTCGTCTCATTTCTAGACACAGTATCCATAAGCTCATGAACTACGACGCTGCAGATCTGCATTGCTTCATTCGAGAATCACGATAGCTAAGTAGCTCCTGAAATGCCCGGTAACTCATCTCACCCTTGAGTACCGTTACATTGTTTTTTTTGCAGGGACGACATTCATATTCCAAATCTTCCAACTCGTGAAGTCATTACGACACCAAGGCACCTCTTCGGTCGGGCATCAACTACCATCGTCTAAAATGCACCAATTCTAGCTACAATTCCCTTGTCTGAAGAGATCGCTTTAAATCTCCGAGATGTAGCATCTGTTCCCAATTTGCATGTCAGCTGTCAGGGCTTATTGATGACTGCAGACCATATGCTTACCTTTAAGGATAACATCTTCACCGCTACATTGTCAATCTCTGCTCTCTCGTCAACACACATATCCAAACTCAAGCAAGAAGGCCGTTTTGTACGAAGATCGGCAATTCACGGTTCGCCGTTCAGTTTTTACAGAGATCGTTGATCAGAGTTGGTAGGCTATTGACGGATGTTTAAACAGAGTTTGTGATCCACCCATGAAGATTACTATTAATCATCGACTAGGTGACAATGACTGAACATTGAGCTGTCGTCCAACAACGCAAGCTGAGATGGGAAAATTTTAACGACTGTCTCTCCTGAAAGAATTTTTTCCCCCCTGTTTTTTTCACATCCAAATTATAGGTATGTCGCCAGCATCAGCCAAATTACCTCTTGGGTACCTGCTATTACTCAGGCATGTTCTCGATAAGAGTGGACGTCTTGTTTGTCTTTTTCTTCAACGCCATCTCCTAGTATCTATCTATGGGGCAGTACGAGTCAAAGGTAGTGTTTCTTTTACAATCATTCTTCGAAATTACTCGTAGAGAGAATCACTATAACCTCTCCTGGTGGATGACGGATAGCATCCTGTTGAACCTTTACTTAAATTAAGGCGTCATCTTGCGGTAAGTTACTCTCTACAAGGTGAAGATAGACCTAGGTGGCTTTCAATCTATAAGTTTCCGATCCATTAATGTAGTAGATCAACATGTCCAAGCAAAACTTTTACATCAATGACCGAATATGGAGCTTTTCTTGAGGACTTCCTCGATGAGAGTGACATGTCTCTAATTGTACTAGAAATGTCGAATGCACAGCACCTTGTACATGCAAGCTTTGCATGCCAGCTTTGCATGCCAGCTCTACAAATCCATAGTGATATTACCGACTGGCATTGCTCAGCCTACAACATACTCGCAATCATGAACATGATAATTCGTCCATTATTTAATATATCATGGGAGGATTTATCCATAAAATTCATTACGGGATTTAGAGACTACTTGTCATTTGTAGGATGTCAACGATCGTCAAACGAGCAACAAATGGCAACAAATATTCATCATGCCTCGAAATAATCTGATAGCAAAAACCAACTGCAACCATAATTGTCTCAAGCATAATCAGCCGCATCATTATCTGACTTCACTAATACCAATATGGAAGTCAATCAGCAGTAAGTAGTAAAATTAAGCCTAGACCGATTCAACTCGCACATAATCAATAGCATAAACGAAATTCTCAACTCTCAGCTCCAATACTTACCCCGCAATTAACACATACAGCTAACTAGTAAAACAGTCATCATTGGTTACTCTTCCAATTCAGCTTTCCAAAAGCGAAGATCTTTTCATTGTCTTACATTCCAAATATATATTGAGCCGTCTTCTGCCAATATTACACTATCTCTGTTAGGTGTATTACTCTTAGCTACCCCGCCATGCGTCCAGGTTGTTGATACGGAAGCTATCATTTTTAAAGGGAGTACAAGCGAGCGAACGGGTTTAATTCCGTTAACCTAATTAGAAGCGGAATTTTTATATTCAGCTGTTCTATTATATATCATTCATACTTTAATTGTAAGATCTTACCCTCTTCGCATCTGAGGTAAATACACACGTTTGAATTCTTAACTTATTGATTTCATCCCTATATAAGTATTTTCCTTTTTGATTTACCAAGACTTCATCTTTGTTTGACTCTAGGACATCTTATAAATCAACATGCCAATACCACTACATCTGTGATCAGTCAGCTCTACATTCTCATGGCTTTGTGGCTTCACGGCTATTGCTTGCTTGGCATATTCTAAAATATTATTATAACCAAGCCTTAATCCTTTCTACTGTCAAAATTGAATTAATTTCGTAAGTACATAATTCACAATTCCTAATCGTTGTTTTATACATTCTCCTCACATCCTTCCTAGAAGACATATCACAGAATAACAGAAAATCCTATTATATCCCACAATGACATCCACACCACACAATACATATGATTTCATAATCGTAGGAGCTGGTCCTGCAGGTCTCTCGCTTGCAGCTCGTCTCTCATCATCATCTTCTCATCCATCCGTTCTTTTAATCGAAGCTGGGGGACCAAATAACGATCAAGAATATCTCGTCCCCGCTGAAAGATTCACATTATTTGGAACACAACCCACCTTAAACTGGGGATACAAAACAGAACCATGTGAGCATTTAGCTGGACAACAAATAGATTATTCTAGAGGAAAAGGAATTGGTGGTAGTACCGCTATAAATTTCTCATGTTGGGTAATAGGTGCAGCCGAAGATTACGACGCATGGGCTGAGAAAGTTGGTGATGATGCTTGGTCATGGATTAATGTTAAAGAAAGATTTAAGAAAATCGAACATTACCATGACGAAGTAGCAGATCAATATCGAGAATTCGTGGACCCGAAACCAGAAGATCATGGCACGAGTGGTCCTCTTCATCTTTCCTATGCTCCTGTTTGGGAAAAAGGACTTACGGATGTTTTTATAGCGGCAAAACAAGCGGGTTTACCGTTAAATACTGATGTTAATTCGGGAAATCCAATTGGAATGGGAATGGGTTCTTCATGTATGCATGAGGGACTTCGAACAACCGCTTCTTCATATTTATCATTAATGGGTCCACGATTTGAAACCATTTTAAACTCACCAGTTGCAAAAATCCTATTTGATGGAAAGAAAATGAAGGGTATTAGGACGATTGATGGTCGAGAATACTATGCACATAAAGATGTCATTTTATCAGCTGGTGCGCTAAATAGTCCTCAAACCCTCATGCTTTCAGGAATAGGTCCTGCTTCTGAACTTCAAAAACATAATATTCCTATTGTTAAAGATCTTCCACAAGTAGGAGAGAATCTTCAAGATCATGGTTTTACAACTACGAGCCTTTTGCTCAAGGAAGGATCAAATGATCGGATGGAATTTGAGATGAGTGAAGAAATGAAAAAGACAGCAAAGGAAGGTTGGATCAAAGATAAAAGTGGAAAATTGGCTGAATTGTATTGCGGTGTTCCAATGGGATGGTTTAGGAATGATAGAGTTTTGGAGTCGAAAGAATTTGCAGAGTTACCAGAGGAGAAGAAGGCATTTATCAGAAAGGAGAATGTTCCCATTTTTGAAATCGCTACTGTTCGTCCCTTACTCTTTTTGTTTTTTTTTTATATCTTCTTTTCAAAATATCCTAACATCCATCTAACCTAGCACGTTCCACCTCTCTATACAGGAACCCATATCCTCTCGCCAAAAGACTGCTACTTAACCTGTCTCTCATTCATCATGAATCCACAAGCTACAGGTAGCATTACACTTTCCTCCTCCAATCCCTCTGATCCACCGATAATCAACGCAAATTTGATGAATCATCCATATGATCGAAGAGTATTAATCGAAGCGGTGAGAAAGACGTTGGAATTCTTAGACACGCCAATTTTTAGAGAGAAGACTATTAAGATGATTGGTGTTCCTGAGGGTGGTGTTGAGGCAGGGGATGAGGAGATTTGGGTTAGTTTTTCTTTCTTGCTTGTTTTTTTCAATTACTTGTTTTTTAGCATTGATTTTTTGCATCTTATCTTTCCTTCTATAGCCATTTAATTTTTCTCTTTGAATGAAGTTTCACAAGCTAACACAACTAAGGAACACTGTCGTAAGAATCTCTTCAGTAGCTGGCATATCTGTAGTACAGTCCGTATGGGCAAAGACAAAGACGAGAATACAGCATGTGTAGATACGAATTTCAGGGTATTAGGAGTAGAGGGATTAAGAGTTGTGGATTGTAGTGTGCTTCCGCTTTTGCCTAAGTGAGCTTTTCTTTTCTTGTTTTGTTTCCTTTCGGGGGGTTTTCCATGATGCCTTGCTTCGCTTGTCACGAAATATTGATTGTGAGCGGGAAGTGAGCGGGAAGTCAGTGAGGGGGATGAGAGGGAATAAGAGGGAACGAGGAAGTGAATAAACTAATAAGTTAAATGGTGAATGAATAAAAAGCTAATAAAAATCAAAAATAGTAACCACACACAATCAACAGCGTACCTAGTAGGTGAAACGGCAGCTGAGAAGATGATTGCACAATATGCTCTGGATTCAGTTTAGAATTCAAACTCGATGAATGGTAATGGTGATGGGAAAGTTAGGATATATCTTTAGGGCTGAGTTTTGAGTTTGGCGTATGAAAGGAAAGCGGGATGGGAATGAGATATGTGATACCTTTGAAAGCTTGGGTGGTGTGTATACTTTATGTCATTGGAAGAGTTATATATTTGTTACTTCAATGTTAGCATTTATTTCTTGACTTTTTGATTATTCCTCATGATTGGATATGAACGCTGGATTTGGTACTTGGAAGCTAGGAGTTACGATTCCTGATTTATATGTATAGCAGAGATACACAATCCATATTTACACATTTGAGATTATAATCACATCTCTTATTTACCATCCATTACTCCACGCCTGTTAAAAACTAAACAACTTCTTTTGAATCTCGGAGATTAAAAACTACTCAATATCAATCAAATAAAGATTGGTATAATCGGGGAAGCTCATAATTAGCGAGGTTATAATTTATGAAATAAACACCATATTTTCCTTCGCCTGGGTTTTCCCATTCCCTCCTTTTTTAGAATCTCTACCATATCCCCAAATTTTAATTCAAAATTAACTTAATTTAACTTACCCTCGCTCTTCCGCCTCCCATAAGAAAATATTACCCGAGTAAACTCCCATCTTTAATGAGGAAAACAAACCCGTTTAGTGTATGTTTAACACGTATCGCTGAGTCTTTTCTCCAGCTCCTCTCTCCCTTTTCTTCTTCTTCCCTTCTAACCCGCAAAAGCACCTCCCTTCTCCTCCAACTAATAACCACCTACAACTGCAACAGCAACAGAAACAATATATAATATTAAAGAAAACAAAAACTTCAAGATCTAGAATCTTTGACGGGGCAATATTTTTCAATAGCGATCGAGACTTTGATTTTGTTGGGGTGGAGTTGATGGAGATGTTTGTGACGAGAACCAAAAAAAGTTACAAGAGGTGGAAGAGATATTGGATGGGTTTGGTTTTGGGGATGAGATTTAGGTGGATGTGGTGGGATTGGCGGGACTGGCGGGATTGGCGGATTGGGGGATGGAGTTTGAAATGCAGAATGGAGGAAATAGGAAGGAAAATTGGGGTTGGTGTGGGGATTTGGGGTGAAGTGATATCTTATCATTTGAGATTGAGGAGAATGAGGGGTGAGAAAATTGAGATGAATAATAAATATATACAGACAGGTTTGGAAAAGTGGAATGAGGATGTTATGATTGATATATTACCTGACATCAGTCTTAAAAAATCAAAATTTAGCGCAAACCCTAACTAAAATCCTTAAAAGCTTTCCACTTTATTTATATTCAATTTCTGAATTTAGATTGATAAGTTAAATGACTATTGGACTGAAGGAAGGAGTAGTAGTCCACATCTTCTATTTTCGCTTACTTAAACCCCCCTTTTCCCGCGAATTTTCAGTCCTCCTCTGGATACTATTTTTTACACATCTATTTTTCATGCAAACGATCTGCTCTCTAATTTCTGCTTTACATTTTACCTTTTTGTATTATTTATTTTCTCATGTTCTTCATCTAGATTCCTCTTTTGTCAAGTGCCCATCGCCCAATAGGAGAGGGCATTTCAGAAATCATGATAATGTACAAACCAGAACGGGTTCGCTGAATCGAATATTAAGTTTTGCCCGATCTTTTCTCACTCCACCTTTCCTCTAGTGACTCCGAGTTAACACATTTCTTATTCGCATCTGACCTAATCCATCCTCTGACATAATATCTCACAACAGTTAAGTATATAAGTAAACTTTTTGTGATAGCTTTCAGAGCTGTATTAATTACCTCTGTTCGTTGAAACTCGCAGAGTTGATAGTATATATCGAATTAGTTCGTACTCGGTTCTCGCTTATGGTCCCTTTTATCTTGTTTTGTTTTCCTCTAACCGAATGTAGTCTATTTATAAACAGACCTTTCAAGTCTTCACTAATAACTCTCTGATAATTTATTCACCATTTTAGATCTCGGCTGGTTTGATTTGCTCGTTCAGTCTCATCTCAGTACAAAAGCACTTTCGTGTGATAGTCCTAAAAAAGGATTGAATCTCATTATTCACTAGCCCCTTTCGCACATAAGTAAAACAGCACTCGTTTATTTTCCAACGTCATCTTGCCTACTTTCTCCTTATTCGATCTAATTCCTTCAGATATACTGTATGCTATAAAATCTGCAAATTGATTAACTAATTATAGCTACCATTCACTTATTTCCTAACATGGCCTTATCTGATCTCTTCCTTCGCTCTTATATCCTCCCAAGTCTTGTGAGAATTCATTTTACTCTAATCAGAACTACTAATATTTACCATCTTTTGCTGCATCCAAAATTTCCTTGCCCATTGTTCATTTTACTACAAATTACCTTACTCCTCTGCTTAAAAAACTTCCAAGCTCTCGACTATAATTCCCGTTTGTGTTATTCTAAAGAAACATTCTATTGTCAAAAATACATAAACTGCACAATTTGTGCAGCCATCTACTATCTGTTCCTTTAATTCCTATAATCTACTGCATACACCTTTGTCTCTCTCTTCTCTTTACTTCTGTACAAAATCTTTAATCCAACTACAATCACCTATCCCATCAATACAACTATCGATAACCATTTCCATGGACTATATACAGTCTTCCGTCGGAGTAATCCCATCTATCTATATTCCAAATACCCTAGATGTAGAGCTAAGCAGGAGTTTGGATTGGAATTTGAGGTAAATATATACACTGATATTAGGTCTTACTTCTAGTAAAATCATCTAACGAGATCCATTTAAGTTCCTCCTTGGAACTTCTTACCGCACTTCACTCCACCAAGATTGCATATCCATAGCCATTTTCTCTTCTCACAAATTCCGATTCCTGAAATTAAAAAATGAGCAGAATAACAGGACTAAGCTTAACTATTTCTAGCTGTTCACATTCACATTCACATTTCTGCCCTCAATCTCTCAATGTCTCACGACAAAGTTCTTCGTGAGCATAATGATCATTTAAATCTAGATATCACTCGTATCCTGGATTATGAGGAAGAATCTTAGTTATATCTTTTTTTCCTTCATTCTTACCTTTCGACATTCATAAATATAAACTAACAAGAACCTGATCAACACAAAACCATAGTTGTATTGAAATATAAATAAATATAAAATATTCAAAAAGTGCAATAAAAAAACTTATAATTAAATTTGAGTTTAAAGAAAATTTTGATAAAGTATATTAAATTATATTAGTGTGACGCCTCACACCTCCGGGTCACGTGGCATGCCCCGTTTGTATTTAATCACAGGAAAACTCTCTACTCTTGTTTTCCTTCTTCTTTTCTCTTTAGCTTAGTATTTTCTAATACAAGATACTTTACCCAGTATTCTTGAGTGTGACATTAGAACTATTGAAGTTGTATTAAAGAAGAAAAATATTAATAAAAATATTTTTATTATAAATTATAATCAAACTAGTATTATAATGAAAGCTGTTTCTATTTATTTTAAGTTAAATAATCATTTGTCTTTTTTAATCTTTTTTAATCTTTTTTAATCTTAATTATATCTCTTGATAAATAATACAATCTGTTAAAAGGAATGATCTTAAACAGGGAATAGTGGGAAGCTGATAGGGCAGAACTGAGGCTATATTGGTCTTGTATATGAATCACTCATTATCTAAGTTCTACGGAAGTGCGAAGCTCTCCTACAGAGAGCTTCTCAATCTAGTCCTAATAGGACTAGTGCCCTGTGCACGTGCTACTCGGGAACCATTCACTTTAACACAATCATTTATTAAATTTTGATATTTTTATTAGGAAAATCAATAAAATATTTTTGTTTTAAAATTATATATATACAAAAGAGAAAAATATTAAAATGTAAATATAATAATTATTTCATATATCCTCGTCCTCATCTCGTATCTGCGTTCGCGAAGAACATCACTTGGACCACTCACTATAAAGTTCTACATTCATCTGTCCTTATTACCCTAATTTCATATATCTTTTATTTTTATCAATATCGCAATATCTCCCAAAAAAAATACTGTCTATTCTTCTACCTAAAAAAAAAACTCACATGAGTCTTTTCCCAAACCCTCTACACTACCCATCCCATCCCACCAACCGCCATCCACGCACACTCACATGCACATCCTGAGTCACGCCCATTCATCTCGTATTCAAATACCAGCATACGTAGATAGATCTAGATTTTCATCTAGTTACCACGACCGGATGATCTCGTATTTAACTCCTTATGCAAGCCATACATATCAATACTCAGTCATTTCCACCTCTGATACATACATATATACAATTTTACATTTCTACCTCACAACTATCTATCTATAAATCTACTCCAAGTATCGCCAAATTGTGTAACCCCAATCGCCAGAACAGAAGACGGCAAAGAGAAGCTTTCCGCTCTAAAAACAGCGTGACACAAACTAAACCCATCACAAGCTTAGCAAATCTTCAAGAAATACCAAGCAAACAATAATCACTGAACATAGAAATCACACAAGCAGGCAAACCGATGAACCAAGAAATTTGCCTTCAGGCAAAATCCCAGGGTAAAGTCTTAGTTTTTAATGTAACTGTCACTGTAACCCCAACTGAGACGGATATACCCGTTTATTTATATTTACACTGCATATTGCATGTTCGTCCGTCCATCCATCCGTTCATTCATTCATTCATCCAACTATTAATATTCACGAATCACAGCAGGAAGGAACGGAAAATAAAAGGAAAGGAAAGGAGTAAAATTACTAAATTAGCTAATTACACGATTATAATACTTTAGATAAGATCCTGATCCTGATGCTGATAATGATCTACACACCATACATACCGGTATCACCACCACCACCACCACCACCACCACCATAATATCACCAACAAATTATCATTCTCATTTTCATTCTCATCCTCATCCCCATCCTCATTCTCGGCATACCACACCACACCACACACCACGCCAAAATAAAGTAACACAACCTACCCATCCCATCGCATCGCATCCGCCACTCCCGGTACCTAATAACGCCCCTTCCCGCCTCTAATAGGTTCACCATTAATATTTCATTCGGACCTAATATCTACTGTAAATCTATAGAGTACAATCATCACCTCCTTATTCCTTATTCCCTGACCTGTTGATTTTAGCTAGGGAAAACTTGAAGTCGAACTCTTACCTGTATATGATGCCGGTTATAAATTTATGAAACTAATAAATACTTTTATAGCAATCACTTAATTAATAAAAGGAAATTATATTAATTCTGTTATTAAAAGAATTTGATTTTCAATTATAATTCCTTTTTAAGTTTTATTTTAATAAAATCTCAAATATAAATTGAAAATTTCAATTTTATTTCATAAAATTTAATTTAAAAAGTGAAAAGAAAATCAATAAATTTTTATCAAAATAATTATTTAAGATATATTTTTTTGGCGAAATATATAAAAATTTAATATCTTAATAAATTATTTTTTTGAAAATTATAAAATTTTTTCAGAAAAGAATTATATTTAAAATTTTTAAACAGAATTTTTTATTTATTTTTCTAACATCAATTATCTTAAATAAAGAAAAAACAGTCTAAAAGAGAAGTAACTATAATATATTAAAACTTTCACATCATCTCCAACCTCCAACTCTTCCTTCATCCCATCTATCTTTCCTCTCTCTCCTTGAATAATAAACTTTCTTCGATTCCCTATACTTTCTAACCCAATCAACTGCTTCCCTTTCCGTAGCCACACCATCACTCTCAAGAAAGCTTTCTTCCATGGCCCTACAAATCATTTCTTGTTCCTGAACTCCTTGTCCTAATCGTTGATATAATGAGCTCGGTGAGAAAGGGGCTAAAGTTCTATCCATCTCGGATTGTTTTTGTTTCCATTGACGTTCCAATGCATGTGTAGATAATAATTGAGCTTGTGTTGAAGAGCGCAGGTGATCAAGTCGAGACTCAAGTTCCAATAGATGAGTTGCTAGTGCAATATTATTATCCAATGCGGATTTCAGTGGTTCTTGTGATATAGAAATGGAGGGATGAGCGGTAGATGTTGAGTGTGTGAGAGCGGCTAGGAGAGCAGGGTTGGATAATACGGATGCGAGGTCTTGCTTCCTGAATCATGTTAATATTATGAGCTAACTAATGCGATGTTCATGTCCTCCAGACACCAAATCTTAGCAATCCTACTATATACCAAGGTAATATACACAAGGGTAATGGAGACATTCATAAGAACCATGATAGGTAGGATAAGAAGTTATCCGCAGTTTAAAAAAGCTCAACTGCATATGGCAAGGTAATACATACGATTTATCCAACAATAAATTCGGAAGCCATTGATCCCCAGGATCTTGAATTTGTTGAGATTGTTCTCGTGAAGTATCATCTTGTCTTCCTTCGTATTGCATTGAAACTCCAGGTCTAGGAAATGATTGAGTTCCACTTCCTGCGGGTGTACCTTGACGACTCACATCTCGGGAATTTGGTTTAGGAGGTGGTGGTGGTGGAGCATTTGGATCGTTCCCAGAGTAGGATTGAGAGTTTCGATGAGGGGTATAGTTTGAGGTAGGATATGGAGATGGTGATGAAGACATTATATTGTTGTGTCGTGGTTGGTGTTTGATTAGCCTGGTAGTTAGACGCTTGAATAGTGTATCATGTACAACCGGATGTATTGAGTAAGGTTTTGATATTGAATCGACTAGCTGTGGAAAGGTTTGAGATTAGATTATGGAACGCGGGATGTTTGTCGTAATAGAAGCTTGTGATGCATTGTAATTAAGCTTCAACCCCAGGATTTGATAGCTCCCCATAATTTCACGTGGCTATCTAAACTTTAAATTGATAGTGTGTGAATAATAATTAACTACCTGCACACCGTACGATCTCGGTCAATCTTGATGATATCGTTTCTAACCTCACACCGTATAAAAGATAAAATAAAATCATCCACTTCTCATATCTTTCTTTATGGGGGCAAGCCCCCAAACCCCCATAGCTCGCTGCGCTCGAATATCTTCTGTGCAATACTCCGTACAATATGTGTTGATGTTGATGTTGATGTTTCTGTTCAAATAGCCAAATAGTCTGCCTCCACGGCAGTGGCCCCCGGAGGGCCAGCGGAGCGTCATTCAATCAATCGATTAATTTTCAACCAATCGTCAAATTCCGATTAATCAAAAAATCTTAAGATCTTTCTTACTATGAAATCTTTTCATTCTCATACGACTACTCTAGTATTAAAATTATATATCCTTTGCTATACTTGTGTGATATTATACACCGAGTTCATCATCGATCACATCACATTATACATACATACTCCGTACATACATCGTATTCTGACCGAGTACTAGGTATTGTTTCATTTCATACTCCGTCCGCACTCAATCTCGTACAGCAGCCATATGAAAAATTATCAATTTGCTGACAATAAACCATCCCATCCCATCCATCCCATCCATTCCATCACATCCCCATCAAATTCCACTTCCCCAAATGGCTTGGCAATGACTTTACAAGGAAATGGGGCCGGATTGTTCATCATGACTGATTCATTCATTCTAAAGAATTCCAAGGTTTCTTTTCTTTTTTTCCCTATCATTTGGTGTCTCCAAGGAAAAAAAAAAGAGTACAGTACATAGCTACGCAAAGTCGCGTCTCGTTTCATCTTTTAGCTTGTTCAAAGTCCCCTCAAAACTTCCACCAGTGATCAAGAACCTCGATCAAAAATTTATAATGAAGTTTTATTATCATATCAAGATCTTCCTATTATTTTCCTTATGTGTTTAAACATCTTAGCTAAGTGTCAAGTACTACTTTTCAAGCCAATACTAGAAACGGGTAAAGCAGTAAATCAGCCGCTCAGTTGCGTTTTGCTGTTCCGGATGAAAATCCAATGTAGGTTTGAGAATAGGGCCGAATGAGTTTTCTCTTTTTGGGCCAATTGTTTGATTTGTTGTTACATTTAATTTTGATTGGGATTCATTGAAAGATATGAGCGAACGGAAAAGAAAGATTCAATGCCGAAGGGGGATTGATTTATTTCCAATATTGTAGTATGTTGGATCATATTTTATTTAGTGGGAGATGATTGATGGTAGGTAGTTAGACGTCAAGAGAACATATGGATATCGATAGCACTAATTGCTTGATTGTTCTTGAGAAGAGGAAAGTGGAAGGTTGGGAAGGAATCGATTAGTATCTGTATAGGTATAATCGTCCAATTGGGAGATATCAATTCATATGACCAACGTTACAATTATCGTATTTGTTCATGTAGCTATCCTCGAATGGTGGTAGTTGATGGTTAAAGACGTGAAGTATATATCTATCTATCAACCTTCTTTCACGGCATATCGCATGAACTAGAATATGCATCGCCGCATCATATCATATCCAAAGGTTCAATCTTTATAAGCAAACAAGCATGAAACCTGTGTTTCTCCAATCTCCAGGGAAGTATGCATTCCCGGAAAACCTTCCACCTTGAATTTTTACCCAACATTTAAAAATTTCACATCAGTCGTAGCTTCATCGTTTTCAACATCCTCGGCTTCGGTCTCAATCTCACATCATTATGGGGAAATCCACACTTTGATTTTGCCCCAGATCCCATTTCGGCGTAGAAATTTAGGAATGTCATGTGTGTGGGAAAGAGTGGGTTTTTTTTGGGAAGGGATTCTCCATTATGATGTTCTGTGTCGTTTCTCCACCATTTGGAAGGCGTTTTGACGTGAAGATATTATGGAGCACTTGAGCAGCCAGTGTTGAGATGGAGGAGAAAGAGGGTCTAGATGTTCAATACTCCGTAGGTACTACTAGGTAAATGTGTGAAATGCTAGATGAGATGTAGGGTTGTGGTGAGTAAGTTTGCCGATAGCTTGGGGTTTGGGGAAAGGTTCTCCGTGGGTAAGGGGGGGAGGAGATGTGGGAATATATTAAATAGGTGGATGTCACGATGAGGAACGGGGTGTGAATCAAGGCATTGTAGAATTTAGTCGGATAGAAATGGATACATGGACTTTAATATTTGGTAAGCTTATGAATGAGTCTATTAAGTACCGACAGATGTGATTATCCTATCACAGTAGAGTAAAAGGAAACGATATCATTCGGGAGTAACGATGAAAATTAATTTTCTATCATTTCGATGAATAGGAATGTTTCCGATAAGACAAGTATGTAGAACAACAAACAACAATGATATGTTGTACTCCCATCGGTACATGAGAAGAAGAAAATGATGAAACAAAACCAAACGACCGATCTGATTCCTACATGTTGTACTACTGAGTAACTTAAAACCATCATATGGATAACAGCATGGACAACAGCATGGACAACAGCATGGATAACAGCATGGATAACAGCATGGATAGCTCACGCATTCCCATCTCACCATCTCGGTCAAATATCCTTTGCAGATGGATTTGGTTGATAATGTTAAGTGAGTATTCTGCTGATCCTGTTGGGCTCGGGGATAACCACGGAAGAATTTATGATTTATGCTGTCTATTTTCGGTACAGCCGTGGGTGGCACACTGATACTGATTGATGGATGGATAAGGATTAATGCCTTGGTAAAAAGATGATGGTTATTTTTTTGATAGTGAGAAAAGGAAGGATGATGGATTATTTATTATCTGGCTTTTGAATGGAGAACTATGATATGTAGTCATGATTTATAGTAAGTACATCTTGACTTGTTAAATATATCTTCTCCTTTAATCTCTACTCCATAGATACGACTTCACAACCATAGCGGACCTAGGTAGATACATGATAACAAAAGGAGGACAACAGAATAGATCCATCTTACCTAGGCACAAACCATGATCTACCGGTATCAATTCTCTCTCCTCCTTCATCCTCCCCACTCTCCATATACCACCCATCCATCAATTCCATCATTCCATCAGTCACGTATCAAGTATTTCTCATCAATGCAGCCGTCGTCATCCGTCATCCATGATCAGATCTCTTTCTTTCCCTTTCTCTCTCTTTCCCTTTCTCTCTTTCTTCCCTTCCTTCCCTACCTTCCTTTCCTTCTCTACCTTCCTTCCCTTCCATCATTCTCCAATTACTTTAACCGGATTTAAGGTTCCACAATACAAAATCGGTGGAGTGCGCACAGAGAGAGAATTGTGTGTGTGGAGTCTCCATAAAGACGCCGACCGAGAGGTCCCTTTCGATTCTCGGCACTAAACTAAAAGTGGGTATAAGGATTTGGTGGAAATAATATTATAAGACCCTGGAATTGAGAAGTTTACGGGTTTACGCTTGGGATTTGGACGAATTGGAGGGAATGTGTTGGATAATTGGGCCGATTGAGGAATGAGGTGAGGAAGGGAAGGGGAGGGGAGGAGGAGGAATGAACAGAGATGGTATATTATATTGATGAGAGGGAGAAGAGAAGAGAAGAGAGATGTTATATTATATTAATGAGAGAGAAAAGAAGGAAGATAGGGTTAATAAATAGAGGAATTAAAGCAGAGAGATAAAATAATTAAATGTTTTTTGTTTTTTGTTTATTATTTATTATATATATTTACTTATAATATTCAAATTCAAACACATTCCAACATTTCCCTATCAGTTATAATATCTAGTACTACTTCTACTTCCAATCGTCTATACAATATCTTATCAACAACCTCTTTCAATATGATCAACAGCTCGGCTTCATTATTTCGTTGGGTAGCATTTTCAATATCCATATCGGTATTACTACTCTACCGATTTGAGGCTACTCCATACTTCCTTCCTACCCTAGTTAAGTCACAATGAAATAGCTAAGAAAATAAGGAAAATAAAAAAAGGTCAAGGGGAAAACGTGTCTATCCCAATCACTTACTTCCCAATCACTTCCCAGTCCCCATCTTATTCCTCATTAATTCACCCGATATACCGAATTACTTAGTACATACCTACTAGGTGTCTACCTACCTCTTTTCGACCCTTTTTCTTCTAAAAAGGACTTTACCTCATCCATCTCATCCGCCACACTTATTAATCTTTCCTTTTCAGAAAAGGTTCCAGATTTTCATTCGTGTCGTTCGTTTGTTGTCCATCCTACCTGATTCTACCTATTGTACCTCTTCTGCCTACCTATCTACTCATTCCATTTGTTCTATATCTATTCCGAGTGCAAGGGGAAAAGTACAACATCTTCTACCTACGATTATCATTTTATCCCCTAAACCATCACGAAAATAATACATATAAAAAGAAACAGGGGAAAAGGAATGACAGAAAAGGAAGGAAATATCTTCATGGTGATTTTCTGATCTGAGAGGAATTTATCTTATCAAATCAGCCATCATACCGACCGGGTAAATCATAAATCTAAATCAATCTCTGGTTGATGTTGATTTTGTGGTTGAATAATACGGATATTGTACTTCCCTTTCTTCATCAACATCTCTCTCCCGAGTCACACTCAAGAGTCAAGTCACATCAAACAAAGACAGAATCACAATTCATCGAAAAATCACACTTTTTTTTTCTTGGCCCCCAATAGAGAAATATTTCTTAATTCGGATCATCTCGCTCTTAATTGAAAAATCTCCGTCCGTACTGGGTCTGTACTGGTCCGTTACTAGTCTGTTACCAATTGTACTATAAACTACCAGACCCCTACCCCCATCCAAGAACCTTACTCGTACTCCTCGTACTCCGTACATCCATCCAACTCCAACTCCAACTCCAACTCCAACTCCAACTACATCTCTATCTCCATCTCCCCCCGCCCCATCTCACCCAATCCCTCATTCTTCGACCTGGAGTCCGTTTGACTCATTCGCTTCACTCTTCAACAACCATCGCTCCGATAATTCTTCGATTCCGATCAAAGGTACACTGCCGTCATTCGATATCCTTTCTTACCATCGTTGGCTTTATCATTACTTCGCCTGCATTTTCAATAATGCATGAGGTCCAATCGTGCGACGTCGTTTTCTCAACTTTATTCCAATTCAGCACAACCCACTCAACCCGGGCGACTCTCCCCATCGAAGAGTGTCGTCCATAAATTTTGATATGATTAATCAATTACGAAGAACTTCAACTCTACGACCTATTGGTATAAGGGACCAAACGTAGGGGAAGAGATGGAACCACTTCACATCACCGAATTCGCTTCCGAGCGATACTTTAGTAAATTACGACAAATTAATGAGAATGACAATGGATCGACTCCAGCTTCGCCATCAGCCACGGGAACAACATCCAATGCACAAATTGGTCCTTCGACGGTCCCTATCATTACTCATGAGCCATCGCCATTGGAAGCAGCTACATTCAACCTACCATCAAGGCAACGAAATGCGAATCATGAGAATTTGGTTTTAAGACCTAGCGATCAAAGGAAACGTTCACTTGGACACGACCTCACTTCACTACGAACACAACGTCGACCAAGTTTTAGTGGTTCATTGGGCGCTTTAAGATCAAAAGTTAACATCACACATAAAGCTCCGTCGATTGCCGAAACCCACCAGGGATTAGTTGTGGAAAGGATTGAAAGACAAAGGTAACCTTGAAAGGAGTCATGTTTCTCTCATGAATGTTGGATGAATTGCTAATCTGACATAGTGTCACTCTCTCTGATCTCTTCCTGGCACTCCCAAACGAATTACAAGCTCAAATCATCGCACCTTTACCAATCCATACAATACTTGACCTACGACAAGTTTCCAAATCATTTCATGCTTTAGTTACGTTGAATGAAGCACCGATTGCAAGATACCATGCAGCACATACATTACCCGATTATACCATACGATTATATCCTCTACCGGACCCTGGGAATCTGAATTTACATTACTTGGGTGGAATATGGCATCGATTACATGTTGCATCGAAATTATCTACAATGATCTCTCTACAAGCTCGAAAGGAGATATTCTTAAGGACGACTGAAGCTCAAAAGGCGGAATTCCAACCACAATATGAACGAATGCGTCAACGATTAATCCCACTTGTCTTCACAATCTTCCATTTCTTCGAAACCTACCGCAATATATACGCTCAACATCTTGCAAGACGTGGGGCACCTTTAACACGATTAGCATATACGCTTAATCCATTCGAATCTTATGTCATGAGTATGTATGATGACAGAACATTATTACATGTTCATCAAGTATTTCCTCTGTTCATGTCATCGTTTTCTCGTCGTTTAAGGCCTCCTTCCTATGTTGGAAGAGTGGAAAGGTCAATCAGAGGTTACTTGAAGGATCGACCACCCGATGAAGTTTATGCGACCATCTTGACCGTAGGAGGACTAAGACAAGCTCAAAGATTTTGGGAAACGAAAGGATATAATGCGAGGAGAGCAGCTGTCGATCAATGGTATGGACTTTTACAGAGTAGTCGCTTACCTATTGTCGAACCTAACGCTGTTACACCAAAATCCAAGATGTCGAAATTTACTCATCTGGGAAGAAAGAAGGCTCCACAACCTATGGCTCAACCTCCACCGGATAACTCGGGTCATGATTCTTCAGGATGTAATGAATGGTTTTGTGTTAAACCTAATTGTATAGCCGCCAGACGAAATACATCGGACGATAGTTTGGTATGGAGAACTAGTCTTTCAGCAGGTCCACCGATGCGTCCATTAGGAAGAGAAGAATTAAGGTTGTTGGTGGAGAATGTCCCTGATTTACATGATATTTGGGCCAAAACAGCTGAAGCTACCATTCTAGAGAGAGGTATTGTGGATAGACCTGAGAGGATTAAGAAAAACAGTTTGGCTTTACTTGATTTAATCAAGGAGGACGGAAGAGATGAAATGGAAGGATGGGAATCAGGAAGAACTGGAGGAAATGCAACGGATGGATCCGAAGTTATTGATGCAGGAGCGGTTTCGGATTGATAAGTCGTTGTTTTGGAGGGGAGTTATTTTACCTGCCCCTGGAGAGCACGATGATTATTATCTCGTTAAAAAGCGATTCGTACATCAAGGATGGATGCGATGCGATGCATTTTATGAGGATGAGAAGCGATGGGAAGTAATTATTGGAGGTTGGCGATACGGAGATGAAAAGCGTGAGGGAAAGGAAGGGAATGCATTGAAGGCGTTTTTGAGCGATACCTTTTATTTCAGGTGTACCTATGTCATGAATGGATGACTAGGTTTGGGGTTCTTGGGGTTCATGGCGTTTTCTTGGTTGAAAGGGAGTTCGAATTAAGATATAGGGATGGATGATATGAATGAATGGTATCGATGCCTTATTGACTCGGAAGCATGGTGTTTATGTTTATATTGATTTGATTGGGTGTATGGGCCTGGTTTGGCCTTGTGGCTAATTGGGGATTGGATTTATTGGAAGGGTGGATTTAGCGGGGTGATGAATGGATGGGTAGGGGGTAGTAAGGTGGTTGGTTACATATTTGTATGGATTGGAGGAAGGAATGGATAGGTGGGTGAATGGAAAGGGGATGGATGGTTAGGGTTTGTGGGTTGGGTTATAGATTATTTATTATGTTTTATGTTTTTGTTTATGTTCATGGGAATGTGTGTTGGGGTGAGTGGAGATGGGAGTGGGAGCGCAGCCGGAGCGAAAACTGGCTTTTTGTATCTATGCTGGGGGTGGGTGGGTGAGGAATGAGATGGTGGATTTGGATTGAAGATGAAGGATGAAGGAAATGAAGTGGTTTATATACAATGAATCCATGAATGAATTCATTGAATGCAATAATAATCTTATTTTCTCTTGAAGTTGAGGTTTTCGTATTACCTTTGAAAGATTGGTATACCATCTGTCTATGTGTATCTATCTCTCTAATCATCTATCTATCTAGTCCAGTCTAGTCTAGTCTAGCCTAGCCTAGTCGGATCGAATCGACTCCACCTCTTCTTGATGTATGTATGAATGATATTTTAAGACTTCGATCGGCCCGAGTGTGGCTGATTGTCTCAGTACGCGTGTGTAGGTAGGTAGGTAGGTAGGTAGGTAGGTAGGTAGGTAGGTAGGCGTGGGAAAAAGGGGGAAGGGAGGAAAGGGGGAGAAAGGGGAAAATGGGAAGGAAAAATGGAAGGGAAGGGAGAGAGGTAGAGGTAGATGAAGAGAAGGAAAGGAAAGGGGGAATGTATAAAGAGAGAGGTAGAGAGATAAAAAAGAAGAGGAAGAAGAGATATAAAAAAAACTTACAAAGATTGAATTTAACATTTTTAATACAACTTTTTAAAAAAGATATTGTTAAAAAACAATAAAACAGAAATTTGTTTATAAATATAAATATAATATCTATAATTGACAATAAAAGAATTAATTAACTCTTGTATTTTTTAATATAATAAAGTGTTAAAAGGAATGACCTTACAGAGGGAATAGTGGGAAGCTAATAGGGCAGAACTAAGGCTGTATTGGTCTTGTATATGAATCACATATTATCTAAGTTCTATAAAAGTACAAAGCTCTCTTACAGAGAGCTTCTCAATCTAGTCCTAATAGGACTAGTGCCCTGTGCATGTGCTACGCAGGAACCATTTACTTTAACAAATTATAATATTATTATTTGTAGGAGAAGATCTATACTAGTTATTAGAGAGGGATATCAATGGAAAAGTGACGATGGTAAAGGCAAAATACATCGTGGCAAGTGAGAATTGAATGATTAAAAAATCCAAATGCCTATATGGATGGATCAATTGAATTAAAAAGACTAGGTCATCAAAAGTCGTGAAGATCTGAACAAATGAAATAATAAGTAAAATCAAGACACAAAGGAGCTTATAAACAAGATAGCCTAGTTAAATGAATTTAATTAATTGATTAACAAAATCAGATTATAAAATAATTTAAGAAAAAAACAACCTCTTAAAATAAAGCGAATGATTGAAAGATCGAGATCATTTAAAGACTCTAAAAAGCTAGGAGACTTAACTTGACATAATAGTCGAAAAAACTTAGTTCATCAACAACTCTACATTCGACTAGTCTCGGCTACTATCGATTCCAGAAAAAACCAGAGACATATTGTTCAGGGGCATAAAGACTAAATGATCAAAGAAATTCAATATAGTTATTTGATCAAATTTAACGATATCTTTAAAGATCGTCCAAAAGGAGCTATATCAGATCAAGTAATACAAAAAGTAAACAAGTTTTCGAAATCTTTAAAAGATAATTGAGATGTTTATGACTTAGAAATATTTATACAATAACAGAGATGGAGATTTATACCTGTATCCAGCACATTTGACCTCTATAGAGTAATACAGGGCTAGGCACCCATACTCTACCCAGGGTATTTAACCTCTTTAGGGTGGCTATCCTACTTTATAGAGTTTTAATAAAATAGTTTTTCGGTTAGATATATCCCAAATTACCTCAAATTAACCCTAGCCTTTGCCCAGCCCTGAGATGATAATTTTATACTATAAAGATTTTATAGAATAATTATTTTATATTATTATTTACAATTGAAATTATTTTCAATTATTCTAACTGTTGAAATATCTTGATGAATTAATATTATATATTATAAAAGAATTAAAATTATTAAATTAAGGATATATGTAATGATACTATACTGGAGGCAGCGGCTGCCTAAGGTTTCGTCTGGTTGGTAGTTGTGGGTTAAGGCTTTATCACTGGTCTTCACTTGGAAGTGAAGTCATTACTAGATCAAGTAGAATGTAGGTAAACTAATTGATAACTAAGTTGAGCACAAAGCTCCTTAACTACGAGACTAAATGAATGTTTATATACCCTATATCATCTTTTGAGGACCTTTGGGACCCTAAGGTCCAAAAGGTCCTCGAGGTCACGTGAATTAATGAATCGTGACAATATAATAATTTCTAATTATTCAATTACATAATTATTTATAATGAAATATAAAAAAAGAATTTTATTTCTTTTTTTAAATATTGATCAACCTTTATATACATATATTTTCTATAAATTTATTTCCTTTTAACTCAAACCCATTATGAAATCCATCCTCTCTATACATAATACCTTTACAATATATTAATCTAATCAGCTCTTACCTCTCATTACCCTACCCCTCATAGCATGCTATCAAGACGCACGTATCTCGATCAACCTCTTTTACAATACTCATGGATATTCTAATATCTAGAACATTTCATAAGACAATTCCCCTACCCTACAAAGGTAGAGTAGGATAATATAGGATTACTCTGGGTTACCTCTGGTATACCCTACCTTTTGCCCAACTCTGTTCAATAGGGATCAAGGGTCGACGAGTTAGTGGCTGAGCTACCTATAGCAAGGCTTCCCCCAACTGTTTTCGACCGAGTACAGGATATAGAGCTCTCGACGAAAGACTTTTCTCATGGGAGAGCAATTAAGCAAAATTGAGGAGTCGATTATAAGGAATGAATCTTCGAACTACTTCGAGAGACCGGAAGAGGTGATGGAGAATTGTGCCACAGTTTTTCAAGGTATAAATGGAGGACAACTTAATATTGATAAAGGGTCTAACTCGCAGCACAAGGTATAAACGAAACAGAACTATGAATTTCTAGAAGAATTCTATTCTAAAGCATACACACTGACGAGAAAGCTCATTGAGCGTCATCTCGAAGATAAGTAAGTTATAGATGTAAGGACTCACCAAAGAAACAGAATCTGGACTAGATAAAGAAAATCTCACTATATTAGCTGGTCAGATTGGCCTAGATGAATTTTTTAACGATGACTAGATATCACCAGTTGATACAACATACTGGGCAAATCTAGGCTAAAAAGAATATGAAGACACTACTAGGAAAGGAATTAACATTAAACCCCTACTTTATCTTGAGGAAAAGTTCCTAGATGGATTTATACCCCAGCGTATGATCCCAACTCTAGGGTTGAGGAATGGGGATGTTAATGATACTGTTCCACTTGACTTCCCCTGGAATAATAAGGGCTCCTTTCCTCAGATACATGAATTGGATATATTGGCTCAAAACATTCAAAAGGAAGAAGATATCAGTAAACAAGGCGCTAAAGACGATGAAGATACTAAGGACTGCCTTGATCAGAAAGAGAAATTGAAGAAGAAAGGTTAAGCATCTGAAGAGAAAGAAAATACACAAGCCTTCTCCATCTTATAGAATCAAGACCCTCCTTATAGAATGCAACAAAAATTCTATAAAAGAAAAGATATATCGGCAAAAAAAGACCATGAAAACCATTATAATGGGAGGAAGGTCTTATAAAGATACCATAGTCCAACCTATAGATCAATTCGAAATTGATTGGTGTCAAATTTGACATTTTAGCAGTATGGAATATTTAGCCCACGTATATACTCTACATCGTTTTCATTGCCGGTAAATTGAGGTTATTGTGAAAAACGCCATATTCTAGTTTCCAACCCCAAAATATAGTCTCTACTGGAATATCAATTTGAATGTGGTCTAGAAGGCCTGTCGCACCATTTGGATTCACATAGGAAATCCTCAAAACTGACCCGAGCTTAAAGGCAACGCAGCGCTGTAAGGATAGAACGGTTGCGCATATTAAGTATCAGGACATGAGAGTCATAATATTAGCCCAAATAGAAGGATAGGCCAACCAGCAGTTCATTTTCCACAGCAAAATATGTTCCGAGGTCGATTCCGAGTTCATGTAGAGTAAGAAAATGTCATCTAACGGGTTAGACATACACCACTGTAGATGAAGAAATGGTAATAGAATATAATCTTCAAATATTTCAGTGTTTCTTCACGTAACTTTGCTAAAGCTGCGGCGACTCCTCCACTAAGTTCATCATCTTTTCTCGCCATCTCTTTTCTCTTCTCTCGGGCCAATCTATCTTCTTCTTGCTGAGCGACTAATATTAACGCTTCTTCATCGTCATCGCCTGTTGTGCAATCATCTTGTCTTTCCTTTGCAAGACTTTGACTCCGATGTGACGAGTCAGTAGATTTTTCTCCTAAAGAGCTCATTTCTCTCAACGGAACACGACTAAGAGGTATAGCACGATCTAAAACTCCTTCTAATCTCTCTGCACTATTTTCCGTTGTTTCCCTACTACTCAAACCTCTGCGGGCTGCCTTTCGTGCTCTAAATGGTTCATCAACAATCCCACACCACTTTCTGACCTTTTTCTCTCCCCAACCATTAACAACAGCAATTTCCTCTGGTCTTGCATTGATAGCATTCTTAATACTTCCAAATGCATCAACTAATGCGACAGCGTCCGTTTTATTAATATTCCTTGGGACTGTGATGAAATCTACCATTTTATCTCCATAACTCTTACTTTCAACACCTTTGATAGCACTAGGATTTGCATGTTCATAACTCTTATATAACTCAAGATATCTTGCAGCCTCCGGAGCAGACCAGCATAACATGACGGTAACATTATTCACCAAACTTGTCTTTGATAATTCCTTCAAACTCTCTTCGTGATTCCCAATATCAACCATTGTAAGAAGTATTCGTAGATTGTATTTACCCTGTAAACCCTTTATTCGATTGTATATGTATTCGGGATGTAATCGATGGTATTTGAGTGATAGGAAGAGTGCGCATGTTGTTGCTCCAAGGACATAATCTGCTGGAATATCCGAGTATTCCCATGGAAAGGATTTAAGATTTGTCAGTATTGGGTTGCCTTTCTGTCGCAGTGATACTTGGATCGTTGAACCAGAAGATCTCGATGCAATCGCTTGTGGTGTTGGTTGAACAACTTTGGGACCTGAGGAGGCATTCGCTGGTGGTGCGCGATCAAGACGTTGTGGAGTTGGTTGTTGAACGCGTTGCGGGGTAGGTTGTTGAACGCGGGTTGCAGGTGAAGCTAAAACGGGGGTTTGTGCGAGAGCTGTTAGAAAATCTGCATCTGCACCGAAATCATCATCGTCGTCCATTTTGATTGTGTTTGTATGAAACTAAGAGGTGGTGTTGATTAAATTTACATTAAAGGGTCGAGGTCGTGATTGAAAGGGTGGAAGGACGTTTGATGTTCATCATTCTAGGCTAGCGAACGCTAAAACCACAGCTACAATTACCGTAAGGCTAGAATCATGACGCCAACTCTAACTTCAATACAACGTCACGATCCAAATGAGCAACCAACTCATTCATGAGTGGCAATACAGCAGCTTTGTGCCGAAAGTATTCTTCACATAATACTGCAAAATAGTCTCTGCATTAATATACCAAAGACGAGCAATGTTGAAAGAGCCTCACAATATCTCTACAAGACTATTTTGAGCTTGTTTATAGATTGAGAATAGTTTCTCTTTCGCCACTAATAGCGCCATTTTCAATTTTCTTGAACGTATTCTTAGAGGCATTCTAAAGTCTAATTGAATCCGAACTGCGAAATACGGTTTCTCAAGCAGGACGAAAAGTGTCCTACGAGATACTTCCTTAAATCATGTACATATTGCGAACCTACGCAGCTTTTCTTCCGAGGACATGTTATTTTGACCCATCAAATGAAGAGACGCACTTTAACAACAAAACTCCAGTGGAGGTCTATGTAATTACTATGAATGGCTCAGGCTCCCGTGTCTTGAGTCTTTCTACGTTCACTTCATAGCTGCCAGTGTGCTCTCAATATATAGAGTTACCATATTAACAGCACTTTACCACGGTGTGTCTGAGGTGCTGACTCACTCTTGATAGCTAAGCAGTCATTCTCAGTCCTAGAGTAATTGCATCCCACTATGCCTTGGCATTAGAAATGGGAATTTGGCAAATGAATGGAAGGTACTGGAAAGACGGGCTCGCAAGGGTAAAAATATCTATTTCTGTTATTGTAAGCTAGGGAAATTTTGCAACATTTTCCCTAGTGGCTAGCCATACTTTCCTCATCAAGGTCAACTTCATGACCGAGTATATGAGGTCGTTACGCTGGCAAAAATCCAATAAATGGGACCAATAATAAGCAGGGTAGAGCCATTTTCAGACTCTTTTAGCAACACTGTTGATGGTTGATCCAAAAATTACGGCATTACCACAAATGAGAGCCCGAAATTTCCGCTCCTGTGGTCGCTAATATAAACTAGACGATACAGCCCCTCTTTCTCCGCATTACTGGCTGAGTTCTCGATCATTGTGTAAAGTTTAGCGGAAATAGTAATTCCACACTCTTTCTATAAGGTAATATTCCAGATCAGGAGTGGATGTCAACATCATGACTTGAGCAAGCTTGACATAGCCTGCTTTAATCGATTTTCAATGTTGTCCAAGCTGTGATCCGACATGATGCCAGCTGGACGTCGAGAGATATTCAGTACTCCTATCCTCGGAAGTAGAATATCCTTTTTCCTAGGACCAAGCAAGTGAATGATCAATTGGCCGACATTAGTTACTCAGCTGCAATTCCAAGAACAAGTTTACGCCAGCCACTACTCACCTTTTGTCGACTCGTACCATAGCCGACACATACAAAATTCTTAGTGCTCCCCGAATTCCTCCCACTGGGGAGTTTACTTGCTCCTCCACCGTAGAATCCCCGGCCACTTCACAACTAGCCATCCAACCAAATCTCCCCCATACCCCTTACTCTCCGTACCTACTTCCCCATACCACAAAATCTCCAGCCATTTTACACAACTCATCCAGCAAATCCTTCCTATGATCTCACTATCGACATATGCCATCCCCTTGAAGTTCCCACCTCTCCCAAATCATCCCTCAAACCATCCATCCCCAGCCCTACCACTAATGAACTCACACACCTCTCACCCCTCACAACTTTCTACCAAAACCAAGCTCTCAAAGCCTCTAAACTCTCAAAACTCCAAACCTCCAAGCCTCAAATCAAGTCAAATCACAACATCCCTCCTCTCGAACTTACTCACGAAGCTCATGGGCCACAAGGTTACAACGGCTCACACCTAAAACTCCTACTCCGTAGCTCTACTTCGTAATTAGTCTATACTCAAGCGCTAAAAGCACCAAGCACAAATCAAATCGAATGATAAAACTCCGAACACTACCGCTCGGTACTCTAGGCAACAAAAATATAAAACTATTCTTATGAATCAGACTGCCCCATTTCCGTTTCCATTTCCATTTCCATTTCCATTTTCAAGCGTTTTTGTTTCCCTGTCCTTCCTTCTTTCCTTCTTCCTTCCTTCTTTCTCAATACAGATTTAAAGTTCGAAATTTTATACTTTCTGAATTTTGACAGCACGCACGAGTACACCAGTGCACCCTCCCTCCCACCCTCCCGACCGTTGAACCCCTGGAAGAAAACCTAAAGCCCACATTTTCGGGCACTACCGCCTTTATCCTCGGCTTGGCGGGAGCACGCCGTCGTATTCTTGTTTTTCTTCCTATCCATTATCCATAACCCATCTATCTGTATTCTCGGCATCCGATTGACCACGGTTTTATTGCAATGTTCATATTCCACGGTTCACTTTCAGATTTTTTCTTCATAAAATCATAATTATTTCTATCTGTACATATGTGTATGTACAGTGTATCATCTAATCTATATGTCTAATGCGTAGTATTCTTACAATACAATACAATTCATGTATTCGTTCATTCATTTAACCCCCTTTTCCCCAAAATCCGCACTAGGAGTCCCACTACTTTCATCACCAACCGCAATCCCCACCACTTCACCGTGCTGCATAGCTTCCATATCAATTCTTGGACCGGTGAAGTTTTTCTTACCGTCGACGAACCATTGTATGACTGCAATGACGAAGACGAGGAAGAAGGCTACTACGCAGTAATCTGTTTGTAGCGTATTAGTTTTGTAGAAAGTGAGATGAGAGATAGGGTGAACGTACTCATATTACTTCCAGTAACGGGTAATTCTGGAGGAAAGAGGAATAGAACCGTGGTTACCATTACATATGCAATGCCGACCTATTTATTGATTAGTCAATGTCACAGAAAAAGAGGAGAGTAAAGAACCCACCAAATTACAAATCCACCCAACCGGTTTCGGTAACTTGAAAGCTCTCGTCTCTGGTAAACAATTTCTACCCCTCAAACAATTAACCGCAACTGGTATCGCATAACTAACCCCCAAAGCCACCACACTCGCACTAACAATCGCATTGAAAGCCGATGAACTTCCCAAGAAGACGAGTCCGAAAAGCAGTACACATGCCATTGTAAGATACAGTGCATTTAGGGGAAGAGCCAATTTTGGATGAACTCTAGAGAACACTCTTGAGAAAGGGAGACCGTTGTCGCGAGCGAATGCATAAGTCATACGCGTGGAAGTTGTAGTGATAGAGATGGTGGCGAATAAAAGACAAACAAGTGGGAAGATGAGGAGACAGATTGCTCCAGCCTTGTTACCAGTTGCATGGTAAAAGATCTGGAGCAATGGACCCGCTGAGCTTTCAATAACATCATTGACGTTACCTCCCACGAAAAGAAGAACCATGAGGAAAATGAACCCTGTGAATACACCAATTAAGACACATCCAATCATGATCTTTGGACCCTGAACTCCTGGGTCGGGAATTTCTTCAATCATATGAGCGACGGCGTCAAAACCAGTTAGCCCAAGACCAGCTTGGAGTAAACCAAGAAGCCATGCAATTCCATCGGGCCAGCCTGTGCTATTGATAAAGTCGGTGAAGACAAATGATGCGTCGTTGTATTCTGGAGATGCTGTCGCCAAGACCGTGATACTAATGACCGCAAATCCAAGAATTGACCAGATAAATGCCGATTTGGTAATAAGAGGTAATAGCGATGTCATGAAAGCATTAATGATAAAAGCGATAATGTTGTATCCGATGTAAAGAAGGAATTGATGCCAGCGTTGTGGTTCATAGTCCGGATTCATGAGCGAAATGACTCCGCCGATGAGTTGCGAGCCGAGAAGACCACCTGATGAGACGAGTGCGATCCAACCGGCGACGTTGATCCATCCTGTAATCCAACTGAGGATAGGAACATATTTCTTCCAACTTATAACTGCAACCCAATGATATTGGCCACCTGCTGTCGGGTAGGCAGAAAGAAATTCGGAAAGAGAGACGGCGAGACATAAATTACATACTCCGGCAGCTTTGAATTCACAATAAGTATCAAGTCCATGAACGAAATATAGAACGTGGAATTAAACTTACTGATCAATCCCCAAAGTACTGAGGTTGGTCCACCACTTGGTAATGCTACACTTAAACTCGCAGCTAGAGCAGTCCAAGAATTGAGGATTGCAAATGCAAGACCTAACATGGATAGTAAAGAGAAGTTACGTTCTAGTTCTTGTACATGGCCATGGGCAGCCAAGTGAGCTGCATCAGCATCAACATTTGCATGTCGAGCCATGGCGACTTGATATGAAAGAGAAAAGGATGAAGAGGATGAGAATGTTTTAGAGAGAAGAAGAAGGGAATAAAAAGAGGGATGTCTCACATATTTCTCTACTATCTAAAATTGAAAGAGATAATACTTTACCCACCGCGTACGTACGGAGTACAAGGTAGAAACCCCGCAAAATGATAAGAATATGACAGTATGCAAATAGTCAAGGGCTTCCAAAGATCGACATGGATTTTTGTAGCAAGTCAAGAAAATTGTTATGTAAAAGGATTTGTGTTTTGACAGATTTTAGTCCCACATTGACACGGGATCCTGTAAATTGCCTAGTCAAGATCCACTTGCCCGTCGCCTTAACGTTACTCTCCGGCCGGGGAAAGTCCTATCTAGACCCCAGACCCCTGGCACGTGATAGCTGGATATGAGAATATGTGATGTTGTAATGGTGTGAGGGTGAAGATAACGAATAAATGAGTGGTAGAGTTGAAATGCATGAATGAACAGCCTTTTGACGTGGGGCAAATATGCAAATATCCAGACTCGTGTGGTTCATGTAAGTTCATGTCAATTGTAGTTATACTCCGTAACTTTCCAAACACATGGACGTCATCGGCGGGATCGCCGGACAAGGGATACTGCATGATGTCTGTCCATGGCGTATGGGCGTCCATTGGATATTTTGCTGATCTTTACTCGCTGCGTGACTGGAAAAAGGTAGAAAGGGCCCGGGTTGAGTGCCAAATTTAGGTGGTACTCGTTGTTTCATTTATAAATTTGACTTGATTCGATTTTCATTTGGTTCCAGAAATTTTGATTGAGCATGGTTTCCGGGATTGAGAAAAAGACGATTAGATAGACGACCAATGAACCATAAGAGATAATAGATACTGCATGCAGCATGGGTAAAAAAAAACCCTTTTGAAGCGTCGGATGATTGTCGTGATATCGCCTTCTGTCTGTGCGGTAACCGATGCATACATTTGATAGGTCGTTGATATGATGGTGCAGTAGTTTAGTAGGAGTGCAATTGAAGGCCCAGTCGATAAGTGTTTACCACCAACTCTTTTTCGATGCAGCCTGTATCTTCTCTTCTATCGTAACTTTCACGCCGCTCTCCTCCGCTTTGGCTTTTGGCTTCTTTAACTCAATCCTCCAGGTCGTTCCTCCATGGCGTCTTTTAATATTCACAACTTCAAGTCCACTTTCCTCGACAATCTTCCCCATGTCTCTATTCCACCAACACCCAAAAAGTTTTGCATGCCCTTCTGCGCTATTATCCAACGCTCTATTCAGCCAATCCCATTTTGCTCTTCCATGCTCCAATAATAATATGCGCCCCTCATCTTCTTTCACACACTCCCCCAGATTCTTCAACAGCCCTACCGGATCGGCAACGGAACATAACCCCATAGTTTGGATTACGGTGTCATATTTTGTATCCTTGCTTCCGCTTGTTTCATTTGCATTTCGAGGGGGGCCAGGTATTTTCTCCGCAGCATCTTGAATAATCCATCTCACACCCAAGACTCCTGGAAACATTGATGAAAACTTCTCGTGGGCGACCTCCAACATTTCACCACTTTTATCGACAGCCGTAAAACTCTTGACTTTCCCCTTCTTAATGCCACCTACTTTTTGAAGTTTTCCAACGCCATTAAATCCTTTGAAATCCCAATCATAATACTCTAAATTCCTGCCTGTACCAATGGATACTTCAAGTACATCTCCATATGCTTCTTGCGCAAGTTCCTTGCGCATTTTCGTAATTCCCATACTCCATTCTGTCCAATCAACTTCCGAGTCAAATGTAGACGCGATGGTATCATAACGACTTGAGACATCAGTTTGGACCTTGGATGCAGAGGATTCGGCCGGTTCCTTATTTAGTAACACAAATAAGTAGGAAGAATAGCCGGCAAATATAAGGGCCGCAAAACTACTTCCTATCAATGCGAATTTCCTGCCTCGAAGTGGATTCTGTTTCGGTAGTGGAGGGGGTGGAGGTGGAGCTGGCTTTAGAGGTTGTCTTGCATTTGGAGTCCTGCAACGAGTTAGTTGGAATCCGTAGTAACTGAATATGAAGCTCTACTTGTATTGCTGTTGCGGCCTGGAAGGTTTTTTCGGAATCTGGGCTTTCTGGTTCGCTGCTCGAACTGTAGTTGTGTTTATGGAGCGATGGATTAGATTAAAACGACAATTGATTCCGTTTAAACAACGGAATCGAGTGCCTCTCAGGACATTGCATATCGTCCTCCTCCTGATGACCTCCATAATGATAGCCCCGCTCGCACCAGCTATTTCTTATTCCTGTCGCATACAGTAATTGATTAACTTCTGAGATAATTGGAATGTCAATTTTCTTTCGCAGCTCAATAGATCAGATTCTTTGGAACAAATCGTGTCGATACGTGCGGAATTAGTTGTATGGTTCGGGATTGAAGTGGTCGTTAGATTTATTTTATCCGACTCGGCTTTCACAAGGCTGCGCACGAGGCTAAATCGAACTTCCCCCAAACGTGGTTCACATAATCAATATTCTTGCGAAAAGGCTGATATTGAAATAACTTGTTTTGTTGACTGGGTGGGAGACCATTGATTACCTAAAGGTGTAAAAGGTGTATTATTGTTTACCCTGTCTTCTGTTCTCATCCTCTCATCCAAAATTCTGCTTCGCCAAAGCCTTGAGCATAGCCATAGTTCCATCCTCCTTTTGCCTATACTCCTGCAATCTCTCCTCTCTTTCAGCTTGCCTCGCTCTCATTATTTCTTCCTTCCTCAATTCTCTCTCATTCTTCTTCCGCTCAAACTCCTCTTTCTTCTTCTTGAATCCTTCAATCCCATCATCACCGCCCATTAATTCAGTATCCGGAACTTCTGCTGCACCAGGAGATTGCTCTCTGAAGGACTTCATCTTTTCATTCACTTCCTTCTTCTTTTCCAATTGGCGTTCCCGCGTTCCAGCTTCGGCCCGAGGAACTAATTCGTCTAGTGCTTCCTTCTGTTCTTTGCGGTCGATTCTTCGTTCATACCTTATATCGTCGCGCTGAGCTAATCGATCTTCAACAGCCATTTCTGTGACATAGTTAGCGACCATCCTGACTCAGAGTTCGGTGCAAATACCTCTCTTGAGCTCCAGATCTTCCATGTTTGGTATACTTGGTCCAGGCCTATTCATTTTGACTTTGTTCATCTCTCCTGGCAAGGTTGGACCTATGGAATCATCGCTATCATTTTCATCATCTTCCACTCTGCCAGGGTTATCGTATTCGGATTCGCGCTTTGTAAAACTCGAGGAAGGCTCGTGGGATTGGATTGGATTTGATTCTCGAGCGATTTCATCCTCATATTCCTTCGCTGATTCTTGAGCTTTTCGCAAGGTTGATGGATCATACCAACCTTCTGAAAGTTCTCCACGATTCCTCAGACATGTTAGCCAAAACTCCAAAACTTTCTTAAGCCAGAGCCAGAATTCGTGGTTACCATTTTCCTATGAAACTCTTCCATCTCCCTTTCACTTCTGTGTCTCCCAATTCGTCCAAAAATATGCCTTTTTGAATATCCAGATACGATGCAAACATTGGTTTGAATGAGTCGTAATCATGTTTCGTGATCGGCCTACAATTGTATGGTAGAGGTTCTGGTGCTACTTCAGTTTGTGTGCTTCGATGGTGGCTACCATGAGGTGATCGTCTTCGGTGAGAATGCGAATGATGTCGCCGAGGCGACCTGGAACGTGAATGTCTTCTGCGGCCATATTCACGGTCTTGTCGTGTATTATCTGCCATGGTTGGGTTGATGGATTTATTTGGTTTGACTGTACCCTGGAGGTGGAGGGTCACAGGTTTAGTTGGGCTGTAAAGCCAGACCAAAAGCATGAATCACGTGAATCAACATTTGTTCAGTAAGAATTTATAAAGGCTGACAACTGATATTGGTTTATGATACATTCATCTACAAACAACACACTTTGCGGGAAGGTGTCATAGGAAGCAATCTTATGTCTCTGAAAAAGCCAAGATTGCACATGGAACGCTCTGAGTACAAACCCCTCCTTCATAACGTTACTAATCTTACAATCGAGGCAAAACCATGCCACTTTGATAAGTTAAATCCAGAAAAACCAACCACAACTGTCAAGAAGGTGGCATATGTGACAAGCAGAAAACACTGAAAGAAATATCAGGATATAACATGAAGTTCAAGATATTTTGACGGTATGACTAGTGCGCCACGCACTGCTGCCATCTCAAGATCAGACCTACGATTGAGCATCAAGCTTGATATCGATTTCTTGGATACTTGAACTAACTTACGAACTGCCTTCCCATCTTATGGCCTTCCCTTTATCGCTGGATGTGTTACTAAAGACTTTTATTGAGATCCATAACCATCATCTGATGAGGGTCGTTGTTGAATGTGGTTTAGTTCGATGTCGAGGATACTAGATGGGGCCTTCAACAACCATTTTAACAATCCTTTAGCGTAAAGTCTATCGGATCTTTTCTGCACAAGTCCAATATGGTGCACTATATTCTCATCATCCGAGTTTCCAGAATCTTGGTAAGACGTGGTGGCTAGGAGTGGGGTTAGAGGTTTTAGAATGACAGATGTTCGATCACCGTCGGATATCAAGGTGCAATGAATAGGCGTTGTATTTTTATCACGTTTTCTGGTATTTCTCAAACGAGCAAGTACTCGGTTGTACTACTCAGAAATAGATAAAGCTCCTTGTGCTGCAGCTGAAGATAATTCACGTATAAGTGCGGATGTGAAAGAGTTGTTGCCGACTCCTGGGGCAGTTGTTTGAAATCCACATGCCGCGATGAGCTCGGTTACACTTCTTGCCGAAGGGCTAAGTGTCATGGCGGTGTCTGCAGAATGACACATATCGTAAAATAGAATAGCGTCTGATTCGGATTCCTCAAGTAGAGTCTGAATGCCATTGGAAGGCATGCAAGGACTTTCCTTCTCTATGGTTCTATACTATTGTTCGCTTGGAAGAGCAATAATGTCATGGAGTACACCTACGCAGACCAAATATGGTCGTGCCTCGTATCATGAAAGCCACCGTGACCATGGTACGAGAAAATGAGAAGGGTGTCTGGAGAATTGTCTCCTATAAAATCCAAAACGCGGCGGAGTAATGCTTTTATTGGATTGATATCAGGTATCTCATATTGCGCGACCTCGAAGTTGTACGAGTTCTTGAAAACGCTAGCTAAATCGCTCATCTCTTGGGAAACACCTAAGTCATCTGAAGCCCATCGAACAATCAATACCTTCACTTTGGTATAACAGTTCCAACGTCGGTCCTGAAAGGCGGTCTGTAATTCATCTCTGATTGAATCTGACCATTGTAAGTCGCTGTTTCCTTCAAGTCCATGTTCCCAAACCATGTCCCCCAGCTGCTCAGCTCTGGTCTCTAGTTTCTCTTTCTCTGCTTTTATCTCTTCAAGATATTCTACTCTCTTTTCAAGTTCCTGATTTTGCTCCTCGACTTCTTCAAGGTCTTCTAATCTATCTTCAAGTTCCTGCATTTGTCGATCAACGTCTTCGCCATATTCAGTGAGTCTGGCGACTTCCCGTTTGTGTCGTACAATCTCGTTCTCTCTTCGCTTAAATTTCGACTTGTCTCGTTTTAACTCGGAGTACTTCTCTTTTGTGCGTCGCTAAGATAATCATTAGAGATTCCATCCATATTCAATCATTTTGGAAACATACTAACTTATCAAGTAGCACATCATACTGTTCTCTGGATATGAAGTCAGACTCCTGGGCATTGATACGAACTGTTGGTGAATTTGGAGGCTGATAATTGGGCTGAGCGTTGGGTTTGGGCTTGGTTTGAGGCCGAAATCTACCAGTGACAGGATCTCTAACACGATTGCTAGTTCGTTTCCTAATTCCACTATGCGTAAGGGACCCGACTCTGCTCGGGGAAACCTTATTGAAGTTGAGAGTCTAGTACGTGTTGATCCTTCTTAATTGCTTAAGTACTTTCTTCGAAGTAGGTCTCTATTATTATTTCTGTGTAGAATCTATGATAGGATAGGAAATATATATAAGAGCGTCGACGCACTAGCACGCGCCAGTGCTCTACGGTTCCCCTGTTTAAAGAAAACGCGCTCTTCGACCTTCACAGAGAACCGTATCACCGCCTTTATGGTAAGGAAATATAGCAATCTGTGGCAAAAACTACTGGAAAACAAATGAACATTACATGGTTTCGTTTCCTACATATTCCTACGTCCCATTTCCTCCTATTTTTTCGTTTAACCTATAAATTCTGCCGACTGAAGATATGCCATTGTGGCAAAAACATTATAAGAATCAGCATTCGTTAAAGCCTTCGATCTGTCTACTGTTTCTTGTCCAGCTTGACCTCCCAACATCCAGACTGCAATTAAACCATAAGCTGCAACTTGTCCCCCCTTGTCACCAGTAACTGTATGATCGGTGACTATATCTCTTATTAGCAAGATCTAGCTAATCCAAAAACGAGAAGACCTACCATGTGGTTTTAAGTCAAGGAAATGCATCATTTCATGCAAGAAAGTTCCAGGAAGTGATCGAACATCATTCCATACAACTTGAGCTGTCGAACTCCTCATGCTTTTCAAGCTAGTTTTGTAGTTGGCACTGTTGAATGCATTGGGACACAGGAACATATTTCCGCTTTGCCAGTATGTGATTGCTTCAGCAGACTTTGATCCACACATTTGGCCTCCGTTATATTCGTCAATAATGAAGTTGTAGTTTTTCCCACGTTTGTGGTCTGGGTCTTTCCATAATCCCTTGACAACACTGGTGTCACTGTAACCTTGAGCCTTGACTGGGGATGATTCATTAGCTAGTCCTTCATGGTGCTGTCTATTTATTACTTACAGTATTCTTCGGTTGTCATGGTACCACCATCGGGGAAGATATCGATGGCTTTCTGCGGACACTGTTAGTTGTTGTTTCTCTACTCTGCGTAAGGCAATTGTACAGTGGTCCATTTCAGTGTCGAATCATCACAGAATAATGTGTTCTGGTTTGCAGTCATTCCAGTACCGGAGTGCAAAGCTGCATAAAGTTTCTGATAATTTCCTATATCATGTTAGATTTATTTTTATTGATTTCTGCTTCAAAAAGCAATCCATCCATACCTTGCGCTGCTTTTAGTTGAGCAATATCAGCTGTGTTTAATGAATAGGACCACCATTTAGGTTCTGTAACTCCCCAAGCAGTGGTTGCAGCTTTCGTAAGGGATTTTATTTCGCTGGAGGCAACATTAGGGTTGAGCTTAACTCCAGCATTGAGAAGACTATCAATTCCCTGAATTGCATTATTGACCATGTCAATTGTTTCCGTCAACATGTCATCAACCTTAGAGGTCGAACAAGTAGACGAAACGGTAAAGCGACTGCTCATGCTAACAGCCATCGCCTGACCAAGTAGGCCTGTTGTTAACAGATATGGTAGAAGCTGCATTTTGTTCTTCAAAGTATTTCAAAGGAATCCAAAATTTTGGGATATAAATGAGAGTTGAAAATGCTGAACGAATGTAGATGATACGAGGTAAAGACAGAAAATTGCTACAAAAGCGAAAATGCGGAAAATGGGTGTGTTGATGAAAAACTCTCCTTGACTACTTGGAAGGATAGATATATATGGAGGGTGGAAAATTATATTACATAGAACTCTGCTATATCAGTACATGAACAGCTCGTTTGCTCACTGTATACAATTTCCCCACAACCCAAAAAGAGCTGTGCCAAGTGATTACCATATGGCCTCAGTTTCATCCTATTTCATCCTTCTTCTAGAACTAAATGGTGGAATAGCGAGAGAAACCTTAAGTTTGTCATACTGTGGGATCTTTAAGGTTAAATCGCTTGAGGCGCAGTTGCTCAGTATGTCATCCAGAATACTTATGAACCATCTGACATAAGCGATAGTTGTGCTTTTTTTGTGGAATTCTGCTTATGTTTTCATTTCGTTTCTGATTTCTAATCATCCATATCATGATTGGAATCGAAACATAATAATAATAGATATAATCCTGATCCTTTGTACTACTAATGTTGTGATTGCATCAATTATTCAAAATGTTAATCAGTATTCCCGAATGTCACCTCTTCCATATAAGATGTAGTCTTCCGACTAAGATATTCTTGATTCAAACTTTGCTTGAATATTTTATACAGTCTTTCTGTTATTACAGTCATTACAGTTCTTTTGCTCACTACATTCATTCGTTTCAAAATGTATTTCTCTTCCCATTCTCTTATTGCCTCTCTGCTTTTAGTTTCTGCTGTTCAAGCATATCCTGGTGTTCAAGCAGACTCTGTTAGTACTGATCTAGCTACTTCAATATCTGGAATTGTTTTGGAGACTCCTTCACCTTTAGAAGGGTCCCTTGATAACATAGGGCTGTTTAAATTCTTCGCAAGAGCCGCGAAGAAAACTACCGCAAAAACTACCGCAAAAACCACTGCAAAAACCACTGCAAAAACTATTCCAAAAACAACAGAGGTTACACCAACTACTCAAAAAACCACGGCTGTAGCAACAAGTCAAAAAACTACAGCCGTGGTAAGTACGCCAACGACTACCTCCGTGAAAACTACTGAAACTCCCATCACAAGTTCGGCAAAAAGTACCTCGAAACCAAGCACCACGAGCACTAGCTCCAAATCTTCAGTTTCGAGCAGCAGTTCTATTTCTACTTCAACGAGTTCAACCTCGATATCTAAAGTCTCATCTTCTAAGATTTTTTCCACCTCATCGACCAGTGTTAGTAGCACATCTAGCTCTGTCAAAAGCACCGGTTCTCTATCATCAGGAATTAGGTCAAGCTCCATCTCAGGCAGTGGAACTATAACCTCCTCCTCCTCACTCACATCCTCCATCGCTTCGTTCTCTTGCTCTGTATCCAATACCGTGACCGATATAACCTACTTTGTCTCCCCCGCAACCAACACTCTGGGTTCCGTTACAAAACTTTCCACTATCTCCTCCACAGTTGTGAAAACCATCGGATGTTCCCTCCGTCCCACAACAGTTACATCTACCATTTCATCCTCTGCTTCCATTAGCAAAATCGTCATTCCAACCGGATACAGAGATTCAATCATTAGTGCCGAGGCAGGAAAGGCAGCTTGGTATCAAGCTGGTGTTTCGGGATTTTCAAGTCAATTGAGTGTATATAGTGCAGCGTCGACTAGGACAAGTGGGATGACCACCATGGCTTCTTCTACGGGAAGTGCTTCGAGTGTGAAAAGCGGTTCTGCTTCATCTAGTGTTGCAAGTGTTACGGCAAAGGGAGGCAAGAGCAGTGTTTCTACTGATGTTTCGAGTATCACAAGTGCACCTTCTGCTTCTCAGACGGCAGCTTCGGGGGTCGTTGGGGAAATTTCGTCACTTCTTAATATTTTTTAGGATGAGGGTGTATAACATGTGGGAGGGGTGATTTTTATGTAGTAATATATGCAGATGGTCATGTATTTTGTTCTCTTTACATAAAACTAAGCTGTTTGATCTTGTAATGGAATGGCAAATCAACATTTTACATAATGACATGTCCAGGTGACATCTCCCATCTATAAAAAACCATAAATAGTTGGATTTAGGCTGGTTGAAGACAAAGTTATGTCGGTTGCCAGAAAAGGGAACTTTTTTGGCCTACAAAAGTCACACTCTTGCCTCGATCCTATATTTCAACGTAGTCAACCAAGTAGGCTTGAAAGATAACAACGAAACCGGAGAAAAATCATGTCTTGCCATTCATGTGACACCTGGAAACATAAGGGTCTCTCCTGTAAATAGGTTAGTCTAATCCTACAGCACTATCATGTCAAATTATCACTGTCACTATATCTTCTTTCTTCAACATAAAAATTTCAACGTCTACCGTCATGAATTGTCAATACACTACGTAGTGATCTATGCTCTCATTATTTGGCATATATTTTTATCAACTTGGGGAAGCTTTAATGACGCCGCCCATCGCTTCTAATTTATATTTGGTAGTATATTTTATCAACTGAGGAGTATATACTGATTTTTTGTTACTGAAAGACAGAGCTTTGATTTCCAATTTAAATTAGTATGGGAAGGGGCAAGTGACCAAGTACAAGGCATCGATAGCACGAAGCTGCAAATTTGTTTACCTTCGATATAAGGTTCTTTTTTAATGATCATGTTTTCTATCCCTTAAAGAAGTCAACAGATAAAATCCTTCTTCCTGGCTACCAAAACTCTGCTCGGTCGATATTCGTAATGTAAATCTGTTGTTCCTGTCTAGAAGACCCAAATGTCAGATTGGGAGCATGAAACTTTTCGAGAATCAAGCATAATTACACACAGTTTCTAGGTCGAATGTTATGGTTATATGAGCATGGCATCCACAAAAAGTTTCATGTAATTTATTCAGATTCTTAATACTGTAACTACAGAAAATCGTTGTCAATTTTCATTGTTTGATATATCATTTACTTCCTAGTTGCTGTAAAAAAAACTATATATGTAACCCACCCCAAACTCGTTCTGAAATACTATTACTCACAAAGTAAGTCATTCATATCATAATGCTTGCAATAAGATGAAATATCAACTAGCAACCATGAGAGATTTCTGCAAAGGTTTTAATCAGAATCTATAGAATCAAAACAATAGAAAATACTATCTTTTATAATAAGAAATGAATTCCTTGTATATGCAGCTCCGATTTAGTGGATTTGATTTGTTAGCCCTATATAGTATATATTCTCCTTCTCAATTTAAACACTGAAAATTCTCGTTTACATGTATAAAAGCTAGAATAATATCGGTTTTCAATTCGTCAACTCTGTTATAAACACGTGACAGCTGTAATCCTACTAGGAAGCCGTATAGAAATACGCTAGAGTTACCATCACGGTATATATGCTATAAGATATCTCTTGATATTACAATAGATAGAAAATATGAACATACACTTCCAACAAGCTTACTGGTTCGACATGAAATGTAGAATTGACGAGGTTCGATTTTTTGATTGGATAGGTCGCTCACTTCTATGAAGTCGAATGCAAATTCAATTTTCGGCTTTATTTCCATCAAAGTAAATTCCATGTTATCCATTCAAACAGTATCGTTCTCCAATATTTATTGTCAATTCTCATCATCATTCATCATTAGATATATTAATATATCATTGCCACATTCAAGATATACAGATATGCCCATACAGGAAATAGACTAACAGATTTGGTCTGAAGTAGCTAGAGAATAGGATTGGGAAACATACGGAGACTAGCGTACCCATTAAAGAAGTTCACACTTCAGATGAGAGAGCGCTTATGAAATTTAGGGGTTGGAGAAAATACAACACTTATACTCAGAGAAGAAGAATATAAAGAATGAAGATACTTTCATATCAGACGATCAATTATAAACCCCTTTATATTCCTCTAAATCAAGATCATCTAACGGCGTGTCACGCTAGTCTAATCTTTCCTCCTCCTAGTAACTTAAAAAAAATGAAACTCATATGCGTTATATCCCCAACAAAGTATAATATAAGCCACCAGCCATTCTATCCCCAACTCATCAATCTACAGATTTAATCCTGTTACAATATAATTACAGGAGATTAATTCCACCTTCAGATTATCAATTATATATATACCAGTCTATTCATAAGTTGTAGTTAAGAACAAGTTTAACTTTAGTTTAAGATTCCTAGTGAATATCATGTAAGATCTTTTATAAAATTGAGATCAGGATATTATATTTATATTTATATTTAAGTCTAATACTCTACTTTTCAATTATCTTCCTTTTCAATCATCTTTTTATATCAAATACTATCATTTTCATTTATCAAAACTTTATAACGAATAAAATATAATTCAATAAAATTATTCTCCGGAGATAAATTTCGATTCCACAAGACGAATATAGATACAAACAAAAACATCAGCAATTCATAACCAAATAAATTAAGATCAGATTGTTAAACATGTTTATTCATTCCGTTAAAGATTTATGCCCGCTTGCTCGCTTGCCCACCCACACATACAATATGACTATCGATCGCCGATTCAATTCTAGATAAAAGTACAGCCCACTTGCCCTTTGTGCCTTCCTCGTATGCCTTCTCCTTACGCCCCTAAACCCTTCCCACACACATCCACACATCTACCCATCCACCTCTCCCTCATATCCCCTCTCTACTCCACACTTCTAACAACAAGCTCCTTATACATCGCCTTAATATCCTCTACATCTCCCCTCAACTCCAGCACCTCCTCACTCTTTTCCCCAAGTAACTCAAGCGTAACCTCATACCTCTCTTTCACACCTCTAACCTCTTCTTCTAATTCCTTAACCCTCATTTCTACTTCCTTCTTACTTTCTACCTCCTTCATTAACGCTACAATTTCCGTTCTCGCTTCATCACGCTGAGCGGCTAATCTAGCCACTTCTTCTTTCGTGGCCACTTTTTCACTTTCTAATTTGCGAACTGCGGAACTCATTCTTTCAACGAGTTGGACGCTAGGTCCTGCACCAGCAGTTGAAGTGGATATTATATCGTGAAGAGTTTGTTGAGGGGATGAAGATCTATGATTTTCGAAGAAATCATCCTGATCTAGCGTATGAAGAGATGGTGTTTGTGGTTTAAAATCACTTCTATCGCCTGTCCCATTTGTAGCGATTGAATTTAACGAGATAGAATGTGTTAATGATGTCGTTGAATCATGTCTGACAGGTGTTCCAGGATCTGGAGATTTTGAAGGTAGTTGACCAGATTGACGACGTAAAAGTCTCTCTGGAGTAGCTTCACCAGTTGTAGATCTACCTGAGGTCCTTCTCAATTGCATATTTTGTAAGCCCAAATATTCTGATGTTAAACCCCTTCGACTTGTCGCTACAGGTGAATCTCCGCGACCACTGAGAGAAATTTCTTCAAGCCATTTTTGTTTCTCATCCAACAATCTTTGTTGCATTTCAGAATTCCATGTCTGTTTCTCATCCTCAAATTCGGCCTTGGCTGATACTAATGCAGCTTCAGCCTCTTCGACACGTTTTTTGAGATCATCTAATTGAGCATTTCGTTCGGAAAGTTCTTGTTGAAAATTGGGTAATTTCGACCTAGTTTCTTCCAGTTCATCTTCATTGCGTTTAGCTTTCAAACTCTAAGCTTGATTAGCAGTATTTCATAGAAATATGGACAATTGATACATACCACTTCACGAGCTTTTCGTCTAACCTCAGCTTCTCGCTTAGTCGCTTCATCTCTCTCCTTTTCTAGACTAGTTGCACGTGCCGTTAATGAAGCTTCAATTCCTTGCCAATTCTCACTTGCAACAGCATATTGTGTTTGCAAGGTTTCGATTTGACGTAGAAGTTTTGCTTGCGCATCTCCTGTAGCACCAGATGATACTTCTTCAGCTCTAGCTCTCATAACCTCTAATTTACTCTCTAGCATTTGTTGCTCATTTTTCATTTCAAGAGCTGCAATTCGAGCATTTTCCGCTTCCCTGTCCATCTTTTCTCTGAGCTCCTTAACTTGTATCTGTGCTCTGTCATTAACAAGCTGCTTCCCAATTTTGAGGTTAGAAATATCATCCTCAAGCTCAGCAACACGTTTCTTCTCGGCCTCAAGTGCTTCATGAGCAATTTTTGCCTCTGCTTGTTTTTCTTGAGCAGCATCATCTTCAAGTTGAGTTTTTAAATTTGCGATTATCGTATCCTTGGTATCTCTCTCGATCTTAACCGCATCAAGCTCCTTTCGAAGTCGATTAATCACGTTGTTCCTCTCATTCAGACTCTTCTCAGCACCCTCGGCTCGTTTAAGGCGCTCTGCCAGAGATGCAGCCTCCTTCTCAAACTTTTCCTGTTTCTTTTTGGTTTCCGCGACTTCTTTGTTGTTCTCAAGAATTTTGGCACGAAGCTTTTTGATTGTCGTCATATGGGTTAACTCCTTCTTAGACAAAACCTGGCCCTCTTCCATGAGTAAAATGACTTGCTGTTCTTTATCGGCCAATTTTCTTTCCAGGCTACCTGATGGTGCAGCATTCTTAGCAATGCTAGCCGATTCTAGACTTTCTTTTGCTAAATACTGTAATTTTGCCTGCAGTGCATCAATTCGTTCTATGTATCCATGAATTTCCTCCTGTCTTTGTAATTCTGAGGTTTCATAGTCTGATTGAAGCTGGTTGAGCGCAGCCTCTAGTTCAGCCGGGGTTTTTGACGCCGAAACCACATCTGGAGCTGAAATAATCGCCGGTAGCTCATCAACCGATGAGCGTGATATCGGCTCCAATGGTTGAATAGAATCAATAGATCCTCTAGGTATATTAGATCTAGTAGAATCCGTCGATAAACGGGAAGTTGGTTCAGCCTTCAAGGCACTTATACTGGGTGATGGCTGAAGGGAATCTGAAGCGGGTTCAGTGACTGGAGTACTTGGTCGAACCTCCACAGTAGGCGCATCCAATTCGACAGCATTCTTATTTGCGGCAGACCCAAAGTCTTGCGAAATTGGTTTGACAGCCTCGTCACCTCCTACACTAGAACTCGCATCTAGACTTTGCCTTGGACTTTCACCAACTGTGATTGGACTACCAGTTCTCGAAGGCACATTAGAAGATATTGATTGTGTACCGGATTTCTGTGCATTCTTTGCAGCTACTGCCCTTGCTAGACGTTCTTGTAATCGATCGTTTGTCCTACTACTATTTGATCCACTTCGAGAAATTGCTAGAAGCATTGTCAGATCAATGTATCTTTCAAGAACTTTGAACGGATTTTCATACCTGCCTCTGGTTTTGCTGCAACTGTACTGCCAGCTGTAGGAGCTGATCTGTTTGCTTGCCCTTCTTGTCCTTCTGCCAATATATTATCTAATCTTGATTCCAACCCTCCTACTGCTTGTGACAAAAATGACCCCCATCTTGAGGCGCTTTGTTTCGCAGGGCTAGTCATGATCTTTCAAGCTTCAGAAATCAAACACGTTGCTCCCGTAAAGTTATTGTTTGATCAAATCATGCATTGCATATCATGATCCAGAATAGGAAATTGTTGTAGCCTCGCAGCATGAGATTGACTTTATTTGCTTTCAGAAATTCTTGAAGTCGATGGACAATATTGGGAAAGGTATCTTGGAAGTATTCGCATACTAGGTATTTATTCATAGAAAAAGTACGTATACTTCATTTAAATGTATGCTGACTTCGAATGCTTGCGTATTGCGGATTGCCGTGGCTGAAACTATTTCATTGATATTGGACACGAATTGATTATCCAGCCAATCATGATTAAGATTTAACCCTGTTGGGCTTGTGGATTTGCGCAAGGCTGGTCCTACATTTTTAGACAAGGCTAGAGCTTATCGTGGGGTGGGGGTGGGGGTCAACCCAATTCGAATAATCCCTTCAAATACTAAATAAAAATTTATACATCTGTTGAAGCAATAGCAAAAGTTCGAGGTTGGTATAATTCATAATCTATGAAAAAGGGTATCAATATTTTATATCTAATCAAACAACCACTCATACTCGATGCCCACGCTCTATTCTAAAGAGGTATTCCTAAAGCCATAACAAACCACCACTAACATCTTTTTTAAACGGATTTTCTAGATTCATCTTTGACATGTCCGTTTTGTTTTCCGTTCCGTCTTCCACTCGAGATTTTGCTACTTTCAGGACGTGTGATGACTTCCGGTAGACTGAAGTAATGTGGCCAATTCAAAACGTATTCATCTTGCTTATCATTCAAGCAATGTCGTAGCCAAATACCCCAAACCAAATAGAAGTATGATCCAATGCCCGTCATCAAATGCCACCAGCCATGTCCTTCGAGTAATAATCCCCACGGAAGTCCAATCTCATGTCTCCATTGTCTAACCGTTGAGCAATAATGATTATCCAAAGACCATATACCAAAACCACCAAGAAATATGGAAAGACCTAAGCCAACCATCAACCACATTTCTTTCAAGATATCATGTTGTCTCTTTTCATTTGCTAAGCGCTCGGAATGAGTAGTATCAGGATGTTCATGAGAAAGTTCTGTAGTCGCATATTTCTTTCGAAGAGAAGGACGTATATTAACTTCCATGACATACATGGAACGGAAAAGTACGGTAGCTGTCAGAAGCGCAAATGCATTCTGATGGAAATCGGGGTCTTGGAGATAATGGTAGTAAAGCTATTGGTATTCTTGTTTTAGCATTACAAATTGAGGAAGTGAGGACGAGACTATCTGCCTACCGTTATGAATACGGACAGGAATATTAAGCTAAATGCTAATACTTGTCTGAAGATGCGGGATTGAGAGAAGGAGAAAGTTGCATAGCACATCAAGCATGTAGTATAAATCATGGAAAGTTCATCGACAAGTTGCATAGGATCTAAACTATCGTGTCAGTAGTTAAATGCTTCATTTGATAGACATGACTTACATTTCAAGGTTGAATGGAACAGGAATGAACCTTAGTTATGTTAGTCCGAGTATCATGAAGATTGCTTAAGTACTCACCTGTGCCTACAGCACCATAACCTAGAAATGCCACCAGAAATACGCTATCATGGTCATACTTTAAACAATTCCGAGTACCTTTGATGCAAAGCCATATAAAAAGTAGGTTGGTAAGAGTGTTGACGATCTCGGCAGAGTAAATAGTAGCATAGTAGTCCTCTGTGATCTAATGTTAGAAGATGAAAGCTATAATCTGAAGTTTGGAGGTATTGCCTTCACACCAATTTATGGTAGATGTTACAGGAGCCCAAAAACCTTCTTCTGGTCGCGCTGGAGGATATGGAATTGATGGGAGATGAAAACCCATAGTGAAATCGTGGAGAAAGCTTGTTGTTATGATCGCCCGTAGGCCAATGTCCTCTAGACGTACAGCGGGGTGATAGATTGATATCGCAGCAACAAGAGACAAGAATGATGATCAAAATATACTTGAATGAATGAACAATACAAAAGATTGAAAATATCTAGATTGGTCTAATGCACATAATTTTTTGACTTTGAGTTCATTAGCAAGCAGCATTAGCAGGTTCTTTAGTGTTCTAGTCAAGAAAACTACTTTGGTACTTGAGCTGGTTATGCCAGGAAGTGAAGGGCCGAGCCTGTCGAATGTGAGAAATGCTTGAAAAATGCAACGTCATTCCAGATATGGGTAGAAAAGGTGGATCTGATACGAACTTGATGAACCGTTTTGACCGGAAGCTACGGGAGCTAGTATCTAGAGGTTTGAATGATTTATCAAAATATATTTGTATCTCTGTGAGTATGAGGTTACATACAATAAATAGGTTGACAGGTCAGTAAGAGAGAAAGAAGTTAGTCAAGAACTGTCATCTCTTTGTAAGGTTGACAATACTTTATACCTACTAGGTATTTAGCTCATGTACTGAAATATCTCTTTGCTAGTAACTACTATTTAGATAAACCTTCTCGCATTGGATTTAGGCTTCATACTTTCACATGTATTTCAGCAAAGCACTAGAACAAGGACATTAACAAGATAATTACAACAACCGAGGTATCAAGATGTAACCACAACTTATCCAATGTTACTCTCTATCATCATGGGTTTTTGAAGTTGGATAATCATCTATTCTGCCACCAACTTCAATCTTACCGCCTTTCTTATCGAGATTCTTATCGGTCAACGCATGATATTTTTGAAAATAGTTCCCCACGCATATTGAGCAAGCAGACGGACAAGTATTCAACAAGGAGCATACTCCATATACTGTGAAGAAGCGTGAAGAATCATATTCCCAAATCCAACAATAGTTGACTCCCAGTTACTATACATACACACACACACACACACATACAAAGATGTCTATCTCCAACGAAGCTTTACAAAAGGTAAAGTGAAGCACCAAAGACTCTTGATATGAGCCCCCTCCCCTCCCAAACTCCACCAATATCAAAACCAAAGTAAGGTTTACTAACCATCTAATAGCTTGTCAACGAAATACAATCTCAAGCTATTCAAGCCGAACAACAAATCAGTGTCGTCAAATCTCAAATCTCTCTCAAACAACGCGAAATCCGTTTACTCGAACTTACATCGACCGAAGTATCCACGTTACCACCTAGCACCAATGTCTATGAAGGAGTTGGGAAAATGTAATTATCCCTTACACCTTTCTTCTCTATCTTCCTTGCTTTTCCATCTCACAGCACTCATTTTACTATTTTTGCCATGAAACCACATGATCACTTCACAAGATAGATAGATATAACAAGCATTAATGATTGGATAGGTTCGTTTTCAGCCCTACCGCCAATGTGGACAAGAGATTAAAAAGCGAGACCAAGGAGCTGAAATCGGATATTGATAATTTGGGCAAGAAGTTACAATATTTAGAGACTACGTATGAGAAAAGTACGGAGAATATTGCGAGGATTCTTCAAAGTGGTGGTCGTGCTTGATGGATTTTTATTATGTATGGAATGGATGGAGTATCTTTTTGTATGCATTTTAGATTTATGAAAAGTTGTAAGCTTATGATCGGTACATCTTTGAAAGGATTTGCTTGGGATGGTTGATAGCTGTAGTGAGACTTGGATTTGGGTGTGTGGGGATGTTTATGGTGAAGGAGTCACTCTTCACTTCTTTAGAGACAAAAATGCTTTTAATGTCATGTGGGAAGATACAAAGATCAGTGGTACTCATAATTTGTTGGCATTTCAGTCAACAGACTTTGTATTGAGTTGAAATGTATGTAAGGTTATCAAGTACCTACCTAGGTAGTAGTATCAAAATCAAAAATGGACCAAGTAACCCAAGTACTCGCCCCTCAAAATAACACTACCCTCAAAATTTGAATCTTTTTCAGCACCAATCTCCACCCATTTCTTTCCCTTGCTATTACCATCCAAAAATACCCTCAAAAAATCCATCATCAATACTTCTCACCCAATAACTCATCCAAAGAACGCAAGGGATAAAACTCGACTGTACGGAGTATTCCGATAGTATAGTTAGAACTTAGTAGAGATGAGAATTCACCAAATCATCAAAATCATTTGCACAATCATTTACAGACTACCATAACTAAAAGACCCTCAAGACCAAATCTAGGCGCTTACCCTACCCTTTTCAGCCTCTCTCCATACAGAGTACCAACCCACCCCATCGCATCGCATCCATCCTGAAGCAGCGTATCGCACACAACATGAGAAACACCAACATTTCTTTCCTTTCCCTTCTCAATCTTCCATACAGAAATTCCCCATCTCATCCCCACTTATATTCGTACCTCCGAACAAACCATACGTAAAGATTTACCGCAGCGTGCAGTTTTGGCAGGCGAGAAATATGCCAGTTCCTCCGTACACGGCAGGTGAGAAATCGAGAATTAAAGGGATCCATTCTAGTGTAGTGGGGAAATAAACGTTCAGAGCCTCAAATGTACCTTGTAAACTTAAATTCCTTTTTCATGCCCCGTACGCGTGTGGATATCCCAGTGGAATGATTAAATCAATCACCTTGGTGGTAGAATCAATATCATAGGTTTGTAGTATTCTTAACCTTACCTCTCAGCAAGTAGCTCATGTAGCTGGATGATATCTCAATACCAATAATACTACTGTATCTACCTCTCCACCAACCTCCCCTCTTATCATAGGATCAGTATACGAACCCTTGTCAGATCTATCGAATTAGCTGCATAATCGTTTACAGGGGAGGGTAGAAATGCACTAGGTAGGTGCTAGGTGCTAGGTGCTAGATGCTAGGTGCTAGGTAGCGCTTCTCTTCACTCTGTAGAGGCAAAACTCTACCTCACTAACGTCTTAGGGCTGTACGTACAATATATGCTGTCAGCTCTGGGCATTATGGGAGGAATGGTTGGTAGGTATGTATGTATCTACTAGGTAGGTAGGTAAGTTCTCGATGTTTGTATAGAGAGAGAGTACTTTGTAGGGGTTTAGGGAATATTACTCTATGAAATGGAAATAAGTGAGATGAATGGTAAATAATACCTAGCTTAAGATATCTATCTATATCTATCTATATCTGTATACATACATACATACATACATACATACATACTAAGTATAAACAGACTACCCAAATACAATACAACCAAAACATGAAACAGACCGTCCTACAACCAACCAAGCTTGTCAGTCAGTCGGTCAGTCATGCAACCGCAAATTCGACCATAGATCCATAGAGTCCTACTACCTACCTAGATAGAAACCTACTGCATTCATTGTGCATTTGAAATACAGACATCAGATTCAGATCCAGTAAAAGAGCTTTAAATCAGCCCATGCCCATTCCTGCTGACGAAACGAGACCTGACGAAGACCTGACTGACAAGACATACATACATACATACATACATTGATCACTTTTTTACTCATCTTGTGTTTTTTTTTTTTTTTTTTTACTTTCTTCTTTACTTGCTTTGATTCTTCTTCTACTCTTTTCTGTACTTTTGTACTTGTGCTTGAGTCTGAACTTGAGGGAAGTTTTGTTGCTTGTTAGTTTATTACTCGTTTTAATAAGGGTATTTTATATCAGGCATCAGACATCCGACGAATAACAATATATCTTCATATTTCATCACATACCTACCTACCTAGGTATCTTCAGATGAAATTCGAATAATAAGGTTTATTCAGACACAGCATCCAAAAACACAGCAGAGAAAACAAAATAAGCAGAGTTCAAAAAAGAAAAAGCTTATCGCATCGCATTCATCCTATCTCGACGTCGCAATCGACCCAACTCCTCGGTCGCGGGGTTAGAACTATTTGAACAACCCACCTATCTATCTATTTATCCCATCTTCTGAACGAATCAGGAAACCATTCAAAATACAAAATATATCTAGACCTGAATCTAGATCTAAATCAACAAAATGGCACGTCACTACTACGAAGACGAAGATCTTGACATCCATATATCCCGCGAAACCTTAACGCGAGGACGAGATCCCGTCCCCACAATCCCCTACCGACGACCACAACCACAACATAATCCCGTTCCAGTCCCAGGCTACCGGTACGGAACATCCGCCTATCTCACTCCAGAGATCTCTTCCATCCGACGAGCCCATTCAACAGGTCATCGGGAACGATCTCCTTTTCCACCTCCTCCTCCACCCGTTGCTCCTGCTCCCATTGCACAGCCTATCATCGTAGATCAGCGAAGGACTTACAACAATGATTTCGATAGCGATAGCGATGATTCTTCCATGTATGAAAGCCGTCGTGCGAGGAGTAGATTAAGTGTAGGAGATGGAGGGAGACGTAAACATCGAAGTCATAGTCGTCATAGTCGTCATGTGAGTACTTCGCACAGTGGGACATCATCGGGACGAGGGAGTTTCACACGTGAAGAATTTGAGTTGGAGGTGACGAGGGCGGAGTTGGAGAGGATTAGGATGGAGAAGGAGCGGGAGAGGAGTGAGAGGTTGGTGAGGGATTCGGGGGAGTTGGCGAGATATAGAGCGGAGACGGAGAGAGAGAGAAATGAGAGGTTGTTGAGGGAGGATATTGAGTTGAGGATGACGAAGGGGGAGTTGGAACGGTATAAATCTGAACGGGAGAGGGAGAAGGAGAGAGAAAAGAATGAGAGGTTATTGAGAGAAGACATTGAATTGAGAATGACCAAAGGGGAATTGGAAAGATATAAAGCGGAGAAAGAGATGGAAAAGAAGGAAAAAATGTTAAGAGAAGAATTCGAACTTCTCTCCTTCAAGGAAGAAAAAAAGCGAATGGAAAAAGAAAAACGTAGTCAAGAGGAAAAAGAAAGAGCCGAGAGAGAAATCAGAGATACATACGAACGAATGAAACGCATGGAACAAGAACGACACGAGCGAGAAAACAAAGCCCGGGAAGAAACGATCGAAAAGTACAAGAGAGAAGAAGCCGAAAAGGCAGCTCGAGAACGCAAAGAAAAAGAAGAAATAATTGAGAAATTCAAAAAACAAGAAGCGGATCGATTAGCGCGGGAGAGACATGAGAGGGAACAAAGAGAACAGGAATATCAACGACGTCTTCATGAAGATCTTCATAAAGCCGGTTTGAACGAACAGCAAATTGTAGCTGTGAAAGAAGGGAAAGCTCTTCCGCCACCAGTGGCTCAGATGCCTGCTCGTCCTCCTCCTGCTCCTACTCCAGTACAGCAAGCTCCTCCACCTCCGGTGCAGCATAACCCTCCACAATATCAAATCCAACCTGTGGGTCCAAGACCAACTTATACCAGAATGTCAAGGAAACATTTGTCCCTTGAAACATTACGTGTTTATGGAATTTCCTATGAATTCGATAGAGAGGTAATTTCCCACTTTCCCCAAAACCCCCCTCACCCACTCTCTCCCCTCAAAAAAAAGGACCCCCCCCGGCTAACCCCAGCCCCCAGGACCCCGAATACCTCCTAATCAAACGCTGGGTACCGGAAGAAGAACAAGACATCCTCTGGACGCACACACGACAACTACGTGAAACACGAAGCCCAGCACCGCAAAAACAACAACAACAACATCAACAACACACCATCGAATACGTCAAGGAATACGTAGTAGAAGATCGACATAAGAAGAAACATCATCGGAAGAATGATGATTTGCAGTTGGTTATTGAGAGGAAGCATAAGCGGGGACATAGTCATGCGGGGAGTAGGAGTCCGAGTCCTTGGGTTAGGTGGGCGGCGGGGAGGTAGTTGGATGTTATCACCATACGTTGGTGGGGAGGGTGTAGAGAAGATGATGATGATGGGTATGGGTAACGGCGAAATTGAAAGGATGGAGTGAGCGGGTGGGTGGGTAAGGATTGGGGTTAAAGGTTTTGGTTTTTAATGAGGGATGGATGAGTGAATTATGTGGAGCAAGACTTGGATTGATGAGAATGCTTTGTTTGTTTATTTGTTTGTCTGTTTGTCTGTGTGTTTGTGTGTTTTGTTTTACTTTCTTCTTTCTTGGATGAACTCTCATCTCTTTTTCTATGTACTGAGCTTGAATGAATACCCACAATATAATAGCGTTAACGATCATGAAATAAGAATACTAAACATTAAACAAAACATGCAAAAAATAAAGTGGATATCATAATTTTCATCTATACTGAAAAGTTAATCATACAAACTCCCAAACCAATAACGAGTAGTGAATCGCCTATCCTCGTCTCCTCCCTAAGATCAAACAATCACTTCCTCTCCCTTCCAAGCCAACTCAGCCCTCCTAATAAGCTCTTCATAAATCGTCCAAGCCAATGCAGAACTAACAGCCTTCCTCCCCATCCTCAAACCCAACCCATCAAAAAGACTCTTCACTCCCTCCTCCCCTACCATCTTCCTCCCCGCCATAACCAAATTCGTATATTTCTTCGGCTGCAACTGAATCCTCGTTTTAATCGCATCAAACGGATTTGTTATCGCAGTAGCCAAACCCGCTGCTAATACCCCCGATCCAAAATTGATAGATGCACTCGTACTCCCCTTCATATTTTTCCTCACACCCAGATTTTCAACCAACTCCTCAGCTTGCGGTACCGAATGTACAATATGACTTAAACGTTTCTTTAACTGTTCGTAAAAGAGCACGTATAATCCTGCATAAGGAGCATCCCTAATAGCCGTAGCACCAAAACCAGAGAAAAATCCCCGGAATCCCTCGGTGAGGAATATATCTCTTCCAGCGCCCATGATCGATTTATAAGCGTATAAATTCGATTCATATCGTACTTTAATAATAGTCATAGGCATGAGTACGAAACCCGCTCCAGCTCTCGCCACGGCCCCCGTTGTCAAATTCGCTAGATTCGATAACTTAGGCAATGAACTTGAATGCACCGGACCATTTTTCGCATCCACAACACCTATCGTCCTCAAAAGATTCGAGCGTGCCACATTCTGCCGTAGAGCATTCAAACTAGTGAAATAGATCGCAGAACCAAAACCTGTGCGAAGAGCAGAGGGAACAGTTCCTCGCCAAAAAGATCGAATGGTATTTGGAGATTGGGAGAGCTCGCGGATGGTAGTCAATAGGGAAGCATGGTTACTTTGTTGCAAGCGGGTTTTGAGGAGATCGGCGGGTTGGAGGAGAACCGCAGATAGAATTCCTGATCCTAATCCTGCTGTGAAGTGGAAATCTGGAAAGATGTGGTATATTAATTTCAATTCTTCTTGGATGTTAGAGGAGAGGGGCAAGGATATTACATACAAGAAGAGGATTTTTTCCCAGCATTTCCTCCATTTGACATTTCGGTTTTCTAGAATTACAATGGCATTTCGTTTGTTAATTCAAGAGGGAATTGGATATTTTATAATCCAAAAAAAAAAAGGCTCACGTAAGGTTGTAGTTTGTGAGAGTGGAGGTCTTCGAATTGATCAAAAATTATTTGGGAATTTCGGAATTTCGTTAAAAGTTCGGATCCTTTGTGGTCATGGACGTCATGGACGGAATTCCGCATGTGTGTGTGTGTGTGTCTGTGTGCACAATTACTTTTGGACTGATTGGAAACCATGCATGATGCATGGTAAGTTCACACAATTGCTATGAAAAGAATTAGACTCAAGATAGGTAGGTATTAGAAGTGTATTTATTTGAACCTCGGAAATGGGATATTGATTAATGATCATCTAATAAATTTAGATATCAATTATCAAACTACGGGTGGTAAATGATGATATTTCATCGGAAGTCTCACTTCCCCTCCCACTTTCACTTCCTAGCCAAAGTCAACTCTCATCCCATCAAAAGCTTCATTATTTGTCAGCAGCATCGACCAATATCAATATCAACATCAACATCCAATCACACTCCTAAAACCAAACTACCTTTTCGATCTTTCACCAGTTCATTTCCCTATCATTTAAATAAATCAATCAAAATGGATTCTAATCCAAACTCAGAGACTATTATTGTAAGATTTATATTCTCTATATATATCATAGATATGATCCCGATGAATATTGTAGAAAGAAATCAACTAACTTTTTAATCCCTAGGCAATAGGCCAACTATGTTCCACATCCAACATTGAACAAAATCTCCTCACCTGTCAAAAGCTTGCCCGAGAAGCCTCAGAACAAGGAGCAAAAGTTTGTTTCCTTCCTCCTTGCTCAAACCCCAATGTCATATCCCTCTGAATCGACTTTCCTAAACCCCCAATCTCACCTCTCCCCAACTCTAGGCCCTCTTCCTCCCCGAAGCCACAGACTACATAACCACTCCTGGAGTCCCCCCAACCTCCCTCTCCCTCGCCCTCCCCATATCCACATCCCCCTTCGTACTCGGTCTCCAAAGCACCGCCAAAACGCACTCCCTCGCCATCAACGTCGGAATTCACGTGCCGAATCTCGACGGCACAAAGGTTCTCAATAGGAGTATCTGGATTGATGAGTTGGGGACGATTGTGGGTCAGTATGATAAGTTGCATTTGTTTGATTATGCAGCGGCGGGGTTGAGGGAGAGTGATAGTGTGGAGGCGGGTGTTAGGGTGGAGGAGCCTGTGGAGACGGTTGTGGGAAGGGTGGGATTGTTGATTTGTTTTGATGTATGTTCTTTTTCTTTTCTTCTTCTTCGATTCTCTTATTTGATGCATCTCTGGGGATTTCAAATTCGTTTGATTGAATAGGGTTGAACATTCAAGTGTTGTGTTCGCAATACCTTATTACCGCCGTGAACCTACCCGTAAAATTCACATCGCCCCTTCTCTCCCAGAGAGCTCTACTCCCGAGAAACAATAAAGTTGAACCCAAACATCACACCACCATCAAATCCCATACTCAATCAAGAACAAACTCACCACTGCAAAAACAAAACCACCCAACTAACCTCCCCCCCTTCCCAACTTCTAGCTCCGCTTCCCCCTCCCCTCCCTCACGCTCCGCACCCTCAACACCCAAATCCTCACCTACCCCTCCGCCTTCACCGTACCCACCGGAAAACTCCACTGGGAAATCCTCCTCCGAGCGCGAGCCATCGAAACCCAATCATACGTCATTGCCGCCGCGCAAGTAGGTGCGCATAATTCGAAACGTGTCAGTTATGGACATTCGATGGTGATTGATCCGCAGGGGAGAGTTGTGTTGGATATGGGGGAGGAAGGACAGGAAGTGGGGAAGTTGGGGATTGCGAGGATTGATTTGGAGAAGGTTGGAGAGGCGAGGGAGAAGATGCCGTTAGTGGCTAGGACGTAAGTGTTTTTTGGGGGGAGTTGTGGTGTGATGATTGGAAGTGATTTGCTGACTGAGAGGTTTAGTGATGTTTATACCGGACTATGACGATACAGGATCATGATACAGGACCATGATACAGGACCATGATACAGGACTAAGATGATTGAAGGATCCACAGTCAACAGTCAAAATAGAACATAGACAATAGACATAAAGATTGATACAATGATATTAAGACTGTACGCTATTTCTTCCTTTTATTTTCCCCACCATATAACACCTGTAATGCAAAGTAGTTGATATCTATGCGAACCAATCCTGCCCATTGTTGAACCCCTTTTTTGGTATCGTCTTTCCCGAATGTAAATGCTCCACCCAATCATCAATCCGTCCTCATAGAATGTACTTCTGGCCTGAAGTTCATTGCTCTAGCTTTTTTTTTTTCTTTGAAAATTATCAATCTCTCCTCACCATCACCATCATCATATACTACCTCCACTGCCCCATAGCACTAACCCAGATCCGCATTTCCCCCGGTTTCAAACCTTGACTCCCCCGCACTCCACCAGGTCCACCCATATCTACACAACTCTTTCCCTACCCCAACAAATATCATCTACAATCCCTTCTTTCCCTTCTTTGCACTTCTTTCTCTCTCCCTCTTAGCATAAATCCCGGCCGTAAATGGATCCTCAAACCTCAAGGCCAAAAGATAAACAACCAATACTTCCACGGTCAAAAGAACCCCAGCTGGCTTTCCCCACCAAAGTGCCGTCCCCAAAAAGCTCATCGTACTTCCATAATACATAGGCGCACTGCTAACATTAAATGGAAAGCCGGTGACCATCTTATCCATCAAGATCCCAAAATAATCTCCTAAATATGTACCCGTGACACCCAATGCCCACATGGAACTGATGACAAGAGTATTACCACAGATAAGAAGTGCGTAAGATACATATTGTGAGAGAGGGGATAGAAGTAGAGGATGGGCGGGTTGAGAGCGTAAGGCGCGTTCGTAGAGGAAATCCCGGAAGATACCGAGGGAAAAGATGACTACAGCGAGGAAATAACATCCATAACGAGAATTTCCATTGAAAAGTCTTGTGAGGATTTTATTGTGGTATTCTGAATATAGGAGAATCAAATCAATGGGTGCTTTGGGTAGTAAGTGGGATAATTGTAAATTTACCTTGACGAGCAACGGTACTAGAGCTTGGGTTAGCTTGACACTACTAATTGAAGGGGAAGAGGGGAAGAGGGGAACAGGAAGCTTACTTCCAGAATATAGGGTTAAAGGCAATGGATGCTGCCGCAACTAGAAGAGCCAATTAGTATGTTATGAAGCTATTGTGGGGATCAAGTCCTCTTGACGTACTAGCAAGACTTTTCTGGTCAAAGTCGACGAGACCTCTGTTATTATCTAGGAAACTCGACATAGTTATAGAAACCAGTGTGAATGAAAGTGAGATATAACAAGTTTGAATTGGAGGAGCTGATGCTTAAGAGCTTTCCGTACCTATATATAGGTACTTAAAAGTTGTAGATGAAAAAGAATTGGACAGATTGTCTTGTATGAAAATGTATTGGGAAGTGAATTGTTATTAAAAAAAAGTAGGGGAAATCTTTCACGTGAAAGTCTCAACAAATCATTCTGTATGTACAACCTAGTACATTACTTGTCGCATGACGTCTTTTGAAGCGAGCTCCCACAAGTTCGAAAAAGAAAGAAAGAAGAAAGAAAGCTATGGCCAAGACCCAGAGAATTTTAGAAAATGCTAAAATTGTACAGTGCAGCACAACATCAGCACAACATCAGCACAACATCAGCACAACATCAGCACAACATCAGCACAACATCAGCACAACACAGCACAACAAGCACAGAATTTGCACAAATCATGACATGACCCTTTCCAATTTCGCTTTCCATCAATCAAACTTGAATATCATATCTTCATTTCTTATGTATACTACTTCCTACTTCCTACTTACTCTACTCTACTCTTTACCCAAAACTTTCACTATGGATAACATTGGTGCCATTCACTCCATTTGATGCATTCAATCTAGAAATGCATAATGCAATCTTTCCTAATTGCGCCCATCATGAATCATGGTATCTTCGTACAGTTTATCCCTTATCCCCTATTCAATTTCCTGTACCGTTACGCCTCCCATTATATCCCTAATCCAAAAGTATTGTTACCCATCATGAATCACTGTCTTCTCGTTCTAGTCTTCTTGGCTGTCGTCGCCGCATCTTCCTCTTCTTCATCTTGTCCTTTCTTAAGATCCTCATCTAATCCCCATTCGTCTTTGTCATACCAATCCTCACCATCTGACATATCACGATTGTCACCAACATGTCCTTCGGCTTTCGTCCATTTCAATACCAAATGGCGCATGCGATCAGCTCTCAACAATCCATCGTATACTTTTTGAGCCCCTCGGATGATCTCTTCTTGCTTCTGAATGTAGTGCACCAACAACCTTCTCAGTTCATCAGCCTCACCATGTGGTAAATAAAGATCTCGGTCCGGAAATGAGTTCGCCGGCGCGAGAAAGTAAGGGTGAACGAAAGGCTCGCCGTTAAAATCAGGTGTTATAGACCTAGAACGGGTTGCATTGTCAAACACCGCTTGTGCTTGTGCACGAGTCCTCATACGACGAGGAATGGCATTATCCCCAGTATCTTCGGCCATCGGCTCAATATCCATTGCATCTCCGGTCACTTGCGAGTCTTCTTGACCCATATCAACATCATCTGGCGGTGGTATTGACTCGGGTGCTAGCTCGGAATTGTTGCCCGTGCCATTTGCAGCAGATGTATCTGCAATGTCTCCATTTGCAGAAGTAGATGTCATATCTTTTTCCGAGTCCAATTCCCTTCCCTTCCCTTTCAACGCCTGAAGGGCAGCGACCCCGGACGCAGTGTCGCCTTCGACACCCATAATCATTAATCCAGAAACGGCTACGCTGTCGTCAGTCTCAGAAGCTAGAGTTGCTCTCGACATCATGTCCGCATGCTCTTTTGCAATTCTCTTTATTTGAGCCCGGTGCCGCTCTGTTTCGGTCTCAAAGAATGAAGCATCATATTCAGTTTCGACAGATTCACACGGCATCCAAGTATCATGACCGCTAAATCGGGTCAGGAGATGTTTAATCTTCCATAAAGACGCCATTTCTTTTTGAACCATCTCTCCGGCATTCCTTGTTAATTCTGTCAGAACTTTCGATGTGAAGGGCTGCGAGAGGCTCGGATGGTCTGGTAAGTCCGAGGCAGCGGTTAGAGGTGCTAGGAGTTCTGTTCGAAAAAGTTAGTGAGAGGCTTTCGAAGCAACTCCATTTCGAGTCACGGACCTTCCAGTTTAATATTCGCATATGGATCGAATTCTGCCGCTGCTGCCCTTGCGGTTTCGATTTTTTCTTCGTCTTCTTCATCGCTATCGATCTCCTCGCCATCTTCGTCGATAAGCGGGGGTTTCCTGCTGATAATATCTCTCATATAGCCGGCATGATCAATTGTCTATGAAGAGTAAGAATTAGACAGTTCCCTATGATCTCCTCAATTTACGATTCTTACCTCTCTATATGGATGTCGACCACTTGGCGGGATCAATTGACCTTGCTTAACGTATCTTGCTCTCTTTCGCAGTTTGTTTCCTCGATTTGTAAGTCTTTCGATTGAAGCATCGGAATCTGATTCTGCCAAACATTGTTAGATATATCTATCAACTTGTTTCGCTAGAGGAACTAGTATATACCGTATGCTTTTCTCTTGACTGCTCTTTTCATAGCAACGATCGTGTCCGCGATCATAGCAGCTTGGGAAGCCATTGTGACAATTTCAAAAGTAATGTAAACGAGAACAATAAGTTTGCAGGAGCTATATTCTTAAGATCCTGCGAGCATACCGTTATTGTTCGCATTCAAATAAAATCATCCAGAGGCTGGATTTAGGTGCCTTGGGTACGGGGTAGATTGACGAAAGGTATTCGATCGCAATGAGTTTGTGAGAAACAGGAATGAATGCGCCGGTTTGTTTATTCTTAAAAATAGGAAACAAAATAAGTTTTGAGTTTTGTGTATCGAGAAGTATGCAGGAGAAGGACAAGATATGGGTAGAGAAGGATTCACAATGTCCCATAGAAATAAAGTCGAGAATGATGAATGATGGAAAGTTATCTAAAGAAGCTTTGTACTTGCTGGGAGGGTACAGTAACTTTACACAAGGCTGCGTAGATCGGCATGTCGGTGCTTAAACGTGAATGATCTGTGCATTCTAAAATTATCAGCCTTTCGTACTTATCGTCTGGGAAGTTGAGAACATGCGTATTCTAATTATTGGGACATTGGAATTCATAGAACTTATATTTTCCCTCAAATACTCTTCTTATCAATCATATTCTATCTCGTCAACTATTTGACTGATTACGAACACTGTAACAGAGCTACCTACGGGTATATCATTGACCTCAGCCTTACCTATCTCTACTTGCGAACGATCCATTCCATCATCGACCAATCCATGTCCACGAAATAACATTGTCTTAGAACAAATCCTCAGCTACCTTCATTTGTAGTCCTATGGAGTTATTGGCACCACACTGCCATCAAGATGGATGGGTATGCGACTGCATGGGTTGCTCATAATCTACCATTGCTCGTGGTCTCCGGGTTAGGAGCTGATCCATCACTCACCAATGCCAGATTAAAGGAAGGAGGGGTGCTAATCACTTCTGATATTGCGCCATTGGAATCAGAGGATGCGAATTACATTCTAAAATATTTCAAAGCCAATAACGCAGAGAATCTTCCATGGAATGGATCCGAGCATAGTGAGAAGAATAAGTTCAGGGTGAAGGTTATTGGAAGGGTAGCTAAAGAAGGGACCACAAGTTTGAAGTCAATCACTGAAGGTTCATAGGATTATATTTTACCAAGTCGCAAGGCACCACCTCCAACGAGTATCTCGCATTCCCCCGATGCTGGGAGTCCAGCTCCAAATTCTAGATTTATTCTACACTCCCCTCTATCTCCATTAACCCCAGGAGCAACACTTTTCCCGGATGGACTGTTGGATACAAAGTGGATAGATAAACACCAAGATCTCGTACCAAGCGCATATCTTTCATTCTACAATTTTACATCTGATCCGAATCTAGCAACTTTACATGATAATCAGTTAAAGACGGACATCAACAACATCAAAAACATATTGAACAAATCTGCTTACAAAACTCGGCTGATAGTTGCATTGTTGAGCGAAACACCTGGAGTGCCATCTTCTGATGTAGAAGAACGTCTTTCCAATATTCGTAAAGCAACTGGTCTTGATTCGAAAACTTCCTTGTTCTTCTTACCTCCTCAAAGCTCTCCTGTTGAAATTGAAGCTTTTGTTGAGACGATTTATTTTACCATATACCCGCTTTGTATTGAATATTACCGTGACTTGAGCAAGCACTCAAGAAGGAAGCGCAATCGCGGCGTAGTCCCACCTCCAACAGCACCACCCACATCCGGAACTTCACAAACATTAACCGGGCAAGGATGGAACGTGAGGTATGACTTTAAGCTTGGAGTTTTTGCCGAATTCAGGCAGGAGATGGATGTAGCTGTTCGTTCATTTGAGAGTGGCTATGAAGCATTGTTGGGTGAAGAGGTCCTTGAGACAATTGCAACTTGGAGTCCTCGCTTCAATGAAGGACGTCTCATCGCTGATGTCTTTGCAATAAGAGTATTGCGGTGTCTATTATGGAATGGACATACATCCACAGCAGTCCGTCGATGGCAACTACATCGGGATAGAGTACGTGATTTTGTAGATCGTAGAGGCAAAGGTTCATCAACATATGGTTGGCAAGCATGGGAAGCTCGCTGGGCAACCATCATGGCGGAGATGATTGAGAAAGTCGGTTTTGTGGATTTTACACAATCAAAATCGACAATATACCTACCACTTGATAAACTTACTTTAACTGGGACGCAGCCATGGGAGAATCTACATCATCCAGGATTTTGGTACCGTGAGGCTTCGAAACATTTAATGGCTCGCCGAGCTCTTGCCTTGGCCATACCAGAGGAAGATAGGTCTCCCCCAGGGTCTTCGCCTGCTTCACAAATCGCGAGTAGGGTTTATACATATGATACATATCTTTGTCCTCAGCCGCACGAGGAAAATCCTTTACCAGGACGAAAAGGTGTTGATCATGCAAATCTTATAATTGACGTTCTGAACAAAGCCATTGCCGAATTTCAAACAAGAGGACAACATCGTTTAGTGCAAGAGCTCTTGTTTCAATGTGGAAAAGAACACATGAGGCTGGAAGCATGGGATGATGCATTACGAATTCTTCGAGCCTTATGGCAGAAAATGACATATAGGAATGAAGGGTGGTGGGTTGTGGTCGAGGAGATTGCATGGACTTTAAGAAAGGCTGCAGCTAAGGTCGGTGATGGAGGTACAGTCGTTGCTGTGGATTGGGAACTTCTACATACTTGTCAGTATACTACGGAAAATGAACATCTAGCATCTGTTAACAAGTATCGCAGGCTTTTCCCGTCGATCGAATTGGCATTATAATATCAAGAAGTCTTTAGACGGTTTGAGCACAGTCAAGGTTAAACCTGCTATTGTACTTCATGTAGAAGAAGTTCAATCCTTCTTGACTGCATCATATGCTTTTGAGAAGTCTGAAGGAAAGGTGGGCGAGCATTCATTGTCCCAACTAGCAATCAGGTCTTCTGCTATAGCTTCATCCACCCCTGTAACAATTAACGACATACGTGTAGAGTTCACGGGTGGTATGAAACCTATTCTTCTGCGGCACAAAGCAGACAATGGAGCTTCCGAGATTCCAAAATCCGGCATTTTATACAAAAAGACTTCATTGGTTGACGAGTCTGCTGTAGAGAATGGACACGATCCAGCACCCGCTCGACATACGTTAGCAGGACACCAAGACCTTACTTTTCGTCCAGGTCAGATCAAGGCCTTCGAATTTGTCAATCTTTTGAGAGAAGCGGGCGATGTAAAAGCTTTGAGGGCCACATTTTCCATTACTTCGGATCTTTTTGACTTTGATTATGTCCATTCTTTTGACAGACCAACATTTCCAGAGATGTGGTATGGCGAGTCTGGGACAAAGAAGAAGCTCGTTCGTTCCAGACCGTCGTCAATTCACGTACTTCCCAAACCACCCAAATTGGAGCTACGTATTCTTGAATTACAAGACCAATATTATACAAATGAACTCGTCTCTTTACATCTCGAAGTGAAGAACGGAGAGGATACCGATTCTGTCGTAGACTTAGAAGCCCGTCTTCTTGGAGAAAACGTTCCAACCAATATTATATTAAGGCGTCTTGATCTAGCTGATCCTCCAAATGACACCAAGCCTGAAGAGGAAGATAATCATGAATTGTCGCTGGGCACTATTGCTAGTGGCTCCTCCATCACTGTAGAGATGCTCATTTCATCTATAGATATACCAGCAGTTTACGATCTTAGTCTTAAGGCTTCATATAATCTTGTAACGGATCTGGAAACACCTATATCGCAGGCGATGTCGGCGCAGCTTTCAATTCTGAATCCCTTTGAAGCTAATTATGATTTCTCTCCGCGGATTCATCCGGACCCCTGGCCGAGCTTCTTCACCCATGAGGAATCATTAGAGATCGGAGCCGATGGACAAGACTACGATCGCGAAGCATTTGGGTTGGCACAAAAATGGTGTCTAACGACTCGCTTTGCTTCATTTGCAACAGAAGACATAATTGTCGAAGATGTTGACGTTGAAATCCTTGGTGTACAAGGTGGCATCAAGTGCTCCACGAAAAGGTTAACCACAATCCCTGAGGGAGGCGTGAAAGTTAGTCCGAGAGTCCTCGAAGAAGCTCAATTTGATACTTTTACACAAAAGTACTCACTCGACGACCGAGGTACAGCCACTCTTGATTTATCTCTTGTCATTAAATGGCGTAGAGACAAAGACAGTTCCACTATAAATACATGTATAGTACCTGTCCCACGTCTTCTCGTCTCAAGCAGCGAACCTCGAGTCCTAGCAGCAGTAACTTATTCATCAACCATATCATCCATGATCCATTTCGACGTCACAATCGAGAATCCTTCACATCATTTCCTCTCTTTTGCAATCACAATGGAACCCAGCGAACAATTCGCCTTTTCGGGCGTCAAACAGTCTACGTTGCAATTAGTCCCACTTTCAAGAAGAACTATTAAGTTTAGATTACTACCGACGGTTAGAGGTGATTGGATTGGACCAATTAGGTGTGTGATTAGGGATAGGTATTTTCAGAAGGTGTTGAAGATTGCTCCGACGGAGGGAATGAAGAGTGAGAAGGAAGGATTACTTATTTGGGTTCCAAGTGATGAGGAGTTTTGATTTGGGTATTTAGTGGTGTGGGGGTATGTGATAGATGAGAAATTTATCACCTTGTTCTTGCAATGCTTTTGTTATGAGAGTGTTTTTTAGAATTTGATGAGCTATTAAGTGAATTTTCATACATGTAGGATTACCTCTGTCACTATTGAACTATACATAACAATGAACCCTTTTATCCCTTTCATCCATTCTCTATTCAAATTTCAATTATCCCCAAATCTCTTTCCCCAACTTACCTATTCCTATTACATATCCGAAAAACCGAGTTAAACCCTTCCTTAATCCCTAAAACAGACTCTACACTTCTTCATCATCTCCACAGTTCTAAGATATACATTCTACCCTTTAAATAAATCACTAAGAAAATAACCTCCGAATTCCTTCATCCAAAACTCAATTTTAGTTAGACTCCGGAATCCGCATCGTAACACCGATTTTATTGATAGATTGCTTTGTGTTTTTTGTAGGTATTTATGTATTTATCTGTTGTTGGATATTTTTGGATATTGTTTCTTGTTATAGATTGATTTATACTCTGTAGAATTACTTGGGAGTTGCTCTTGGATGTATTATTTGGGTGGTTGGGATGCGGGAGGAGGAGTAGGTGGTTGTATGTATGTGATAGGATGTGGGAGAGGGGTTAAGATTTTATTTGATTTTATTTTATTTTATTTTATTTTATTTTATTTTATTTTATTTTATTTTATTTTATTTTATTTTATTTTATTTTATTTTATTTTATTTTATTTTATTTTATTTTATTTTATTTTATTTTATTTTATTTTATTTTATTTTATTTTTGTTTAATATATAGGCATTTGTTAGTGCAGAATTGAGGATATAATATAGATTGGGAAATACTGGTAGAGTGTGAATTCTATATTGAGATTTGAGATGGTTTATATGAAATTGGATCACATATATTCCTGACATGTATACTCAGTATATCATGAAGAAGTGAGGTATGATATTGATATTTTTATGATATAAAGTGTGACGCCTCACACCTCCGGGTCACGTGGCATGCCCCGTTTGTATTTAATCACAGGAAAACTCTCTACTCTTGTTGGGATGCGAAGACTCAACACCTGTACGCGGTGCATCCTACGAACCTCCAGCTCTCTTATGAGAGTCTGCAGAGCTAAGTTTGAGTTATTTGATGGAGTCGTGGTAATTGGAAGAGGAAGAGGCGCCCGATCACGACGTTTTTACCCGTTTGCGGTTTTTTGACAGTTGCATTATCGAAATGCGCTCTCTGCAACACTACCTTTATTACGAAACAGAGGACAACATCATCATCTACGACAATACGCCACGAAATCATCTCACTTCTTAAAAGTGAGACTCCTCTGGAACATATAGTACAACTCGACATCTTTGACGTGTATATATTATATATTGTATACCTCCTATGATCGACACAATTGAAACGACAACAATTTATATACCTTCCATATAGGAATACCAAAGGAGTACTATTGAAGGACCTGAGCTGATGACGAAACTTACTCTGCTCTCATTCAGCGGAGGTATGCTACTTACGGAATCGGGACACCTGTACAAACCACTACCTATGTATGTTATAGTTACGCTATATGAGGATTGGTGCTTTTTTATAAGCTTTCTATTGGCAGGATGATCAGAATGAGGACGAGGCAATCCTGACGGTGGGCGATTATAGTACGTTCTGGTATATAAGGAGTAATTGGATTGATGGTATCGGGAAGGGGATCAGGGATGAAGGGTTTTCGAGTATAATGTTTTAATAGTATGAGGGGAAGGGAGAGAGATCAAGAGCCAGTGATCTAGTGGACGAGGATGACCACAATTACAACCCCAAAAGGCCTACCGGCCCAAACCCCCCCTGCGAAGGCAATCATGTAAATCCTGCCCTAGCCCCCTTTAAATTGTATATAAATACTCCCCCTAGCTAGCTAGTAAACCACTCAGAGGCTTCTCCTCTGAGCGTCATTTGTCCAAAACTGGAATAGATGGCTAAGGTTATCACGCGCCAAGGCGCGTGGGCCTACGGCCTATGACGATAAACACAATCAATCAATCTCTACTCTTGTTTTCCTTCTTCTTTTCTCCTTAGCTTAGTATTTTCTAATACAAGATACTTTACCTAGTATTCTTGAGTGTGACATAAAGGCTATCTTGATGTCGATTGTGGAATGAAACAAAGATTAGATTTTATGAAAGAGTATTTTTGAAGAATGATAGATATTTTTGTTGTATATCTGGATAGCTGTCACGAACCACGTCTAATATTATCCTAGGATGAGAATCGTCCCAGGATTAGTGTCCTGAGGCCAATAGAAGATCACGTGACGTGATAGCTCTGCTAGCTGGCTAGCAGAGCTAGCATTCAGAGAAACGTTTAGTATATAGTTAGAATAGTTTCATAGTTTAGGAGCTTCGTGCTCAACTTAGTTATCAATTAGTTTACCTACATTCTACTTGATCTAGTAACGACTTCACTTCCAAGTGAATACCAATGATAAAGCCTTAACCCATAACTACCAACCAGACGAAACCTCAGGCAGCCGCTGCCTCCAGTACAGTATCGTTACAATAGCATAGAAAAGGAAATGCTCCAGACTTCACTTAGAGTTTCTTTCTTCACAGCCGCAAAAATCACACCCTATATTAGATAGGTACTTGAGAAGTTTTGTTATATATCTTCAGCTGGCAATGTAGAAATGGAGAGTTGAGAATCGATTTCACTGTAATCACTGCTTGCTGTTCAAACTTCTTTACTTACAAAGTCCTACCAATAATTAGACATCACCTTGTTACTTAAGAGGTTTTGTTGCATGTCCGGTAAAATGTTGAAGTAACACTGGTAATTTTACTCAGAACATACTATGCCTACTCCACAAGTGAATGGTAGCATTTGAAGGATGGAAAATATATATTCTAAGTCTAAGTTAAATACTTCCACTCTGTACCCCTCTAGGAAAATCCACTAAATTGTTAACTTGAAGAGAACATTTCATATCTCAGTTTCATCACAATAAACCATAGCTCACAATTTACTTCCCTCTCCACTTTTCCCAGCCCTCTTTGGTGGTCCTCCAATTCTCTTCTTCCACTCTTCGGAAAGGGTTTGTTTCTCAATCAAACTCTTTTTAGTCCACTCCAAATATTCCTCTTGTTCTTTCCACCACCTCTTCAATTCTTGTCCTACCCATGGAGCTAAAGCATCTGCACATTGCTCTGTTGCCTCTTGTGCCACTAAGTGGCCTACTCCCTCTAACACGACTTCTTTGACCTTTCCTTCTTTGGCACCTCCGCTACCTCCGTGTTCGGTACCTGTTAAAGCGAGTTTTTCAACACGGGAAGGAGGATCACAAACGGCGCTAATGGCACCGTAAATATAGAGCACAGGAGGGCGAAGCTGTGGTAGCCGAACGAGAGTGTTGATTGGTTCTGGACGGTAGAAAGGGAATTGGAGTGGACTTTTCTCATGTAAATCTGGGATGAGATCTGGACGGATAATAGTTTTACCATCTGAAGAAAAGGCTTCCCAACTTGGGCGAATGAAAGAAAAACATTCTTGGTGCTTGGTGGTAGTTAGTGTTGTACTTCCTGCTGGTTCATCGGGATAAATAGCAGTGGGGGTTTCGCGAATGGCATATTGACACCAGCGATCTAGAACACGAGGATCCCATTTAGCGTATGCTTTTGATTTTCTGAAGGACGATTCAGCCGCGTCGCGGGAGGGCCAGAGATCTCGACGAAAGGTGGATAGCTGGGTGGGTTCAGGATTACCGGCTGGACTGGAAGCATATTGGTGGATTACGGGGTCGAGCAATACGAGGGTGGTTAAGAGGCGTGGGTGCATGAGGGAGAGGTTGGTGAGCATGTTGGCGCCGAAAGAGTGACCAATTCCAATTATGGGAAGGGGCATCTCAGCACGGTAGGTATTGACCATGTGGAGGAGATCTCGAGCGTGGTCTATCCAGCATGCTAGATGAATGATAATGTTAGATGATGTTAAGAACGGCATTGTTATAGGAAGGTGACGGAATAAACGGGATATTAAAATATTGCAGTTTATAATTTTTATGGGGATGACTTCTTGGACCTTCAATATCGACTCTATGAGTGAACCACCAAGACTCTAGGTAAGGTTTTATTTTACCCACACTTGTGAAGATTAAAAGATTGGAGCGCCTATCATCAGAGCTGTAACCGCAAGAAAATATGAGAATAAACCAATAGACGAAAAAATGGTCTCACATACGATCGTTTCCCAACAATTGCTCATTCAGGACACTACTAGCGCCTTCCTGAGCTAAATCAGCAATCCAAATACTTCGTATCCTAAAGCCACTGGACTTTGAGCGTGCGTGAATATCTTCCCACAATGGCTCATATAATTCCTATGCAAATTTAGTGTTTTTCAAACCTCCAACTAGAAGTGAAAGATACCTTTGGGTATCCATTTGCGTGAGCACCAATGATAGTCACATCTCCTGGTTCTGGATGAGGATTATCTTTAGGGATGTATTGTTTAATTGCTAGATGCAATACATCTTCTTGAGTGTTTGCGGTGGCACGAGGATATTCTCGAATGTGTTGACATTCGAGGGTGTGTTCCTTTATCTCGAATATTGTGGAGTGCATGATGGGATGGATGCGGAGAAGGGGCCCTTTAGTTTGATAGAGGTGTGTTTATGGATGGACGGAAACTTCAAAGGACGAGGTGAAAATAAAAGGACAAAATACACTTTGATTCTCAAGCCAGAGTACAAAATACAAAAAGATTTGAAGATAATGAAGGGGGATGAAAGGTATACCTGGTACTTGATTAATTATCTACCCAGCTGTATATGCATCGCTCTCCACAAGCCTCGGTCCGGGAACGCTAGATTAGCGGTAAAGGGGAGCGGGAAGTGATGATTAGCATCATTAGCATCATTAGCATCATTTTCCCATTTCCCCATTTTGTTCGATACAATTCAAATACAAACCTTTCTTATTCACCAAGACTTTGATTTCAAAGCATCAAGGTCACTGGGTTTATATATCTGAGGTTGTGTTCATGTGTTTGTTTAGGTACTTTGGAATGAATTAAGTGATGTCAAGTGAAGTAAACTAAAGAAAGGTAAAGTAAGATCAAAGTCGCACGTGATTGGGCGTCAAAAACAATCAAGCGACCCCTGTCGTTTTAGCGCGTTTTCCTAAAGTTTGACCCTTGACGTGATTTCTAGAAACGCGCATCAGGTCCCGCGTTTGCCAATTTTGAAGATCGAATAGAAAGAAAATCAAACATTACAACAACATAGCATCTTGCGATATACAAGTACACAAGTACACAAATACACAACAACAAACTTCATTCATTGTTTATTAGCAAGACACTTTACATTTACCGCGCTTTGCTACATGCTGCAAATCTTGCTGTTCATGAAGATTGGCATTTCAAGATGACGGAGGTCGAAGGTGGCGCTGCTCCCCTTCCCATATTTGATAGTTGCAATATCACTATCATTGTGAGCAAAGAGCTTCCATTGACCCAAGCGGAGCAGGTTTGTCTTGTCCCAGTAACCTGTAATGTCTTGTCCGCGTACTGACTTAAAACTTGCAGTTGAGAGACATTCTTGAGGATAATGGAGCCTCAGCAGAATTTAAAAACCGAGACGACGGCATAAAGCTAGAGGAGTTCACTCATATAGTATCTACCACAACCGACTTTGCATCTTACAATGAGGCGAGCCTCTTGCTAGTACCAGTTGTTACGCCCGGTTGGGTAACACAATCTCTCAGCAGACGCAGACAAGCTCCTATACGCCCCTACACACCCGACGAACGACTTATCTTCTCCAATGTCAACCTTACATGCGCAGATATCCCACAAGGTGATAAAGTTGCGATAATCGGTGCGACATGCGCTATGGGTGGAATGGAGAGCAATAGCTTGACTAAATTGGTAACTCACATTTGTGCCCTTAGTATGGATCACCCCAAATGTCAGACGGCCAAGGAAAAGAATATGAAGTGCAAGATTGTGCTTCCACAGTGGTGAGTGTTTCCACTTTGGCATATCTTCTCGACTAATCAAAAATAGGTTCGATGATTGCTTGAAGTTAGGAAGACGCATAGACGAACGGCCATATTTGCTCCCGAATCCTGAAATCTTTCACATGAATCCTGAAGACAATCTGCCAATACCTTCTTCTGCAAGACTTACAGGTGCTACTGCGGCGCATCCTGATATGCTCGAGACCCCGACGGCTTCTCCTATACAACGTGATCTTGATGTGTTCAAAGGGAAAAAGGTAATGTTGTCTAAAGACCTAGACCTTGGAAGCCGACTTACAGGATTGCTTTCACGTTTAATTGAACATGGTAAAGGCACAATAACAACATCAATACGTCAAGCTGATATCTTTGTGTGTAATTACCGAGAGGGTAGGAATTATGTCATAGCCTCCCGATCAGCTTCAACCCATGTGGGTAATCTCTCTTGGTTTTACTACTTGATTGCCCACAACACATGGACAAATCCGACAAGGAGGCTTCTTCATTATCCTATGCCGAAAGGTGGGATACCGGGTTTCGAAAGGTACAAGATAACTCTCTCCAATTATGGTGGAGAGGCACGTATCTACCTTGAGAACCTGGTAAATGCTGCTGGTGGGGAGTTTACAAAAAGCATGAAGCAGGATAACACACATCTTATCACGGCTCGAAAAACGAGTGAGAAGTGCAATGCTGCCGCGGAATGGAATATTGATATGATCAATCATCTTTGGCTTGAAGAAAGTTATGCCAAGTGCGAGGTTCAGAAATTGACTGATCCTCGTTATATCCACTTTCCTCCAAGAACAAATCTTGGAGAGGTTATTGGTCAAACTCAGTTTGACCTAAAGGCTTTGGAGAAGAAATATTATCCCAAGGATCCAACACCTGGTCCAAATAGTCCAAAGCCCGCGAAAATGAAGAATTTGACAATTCAAGACCGAGATGAAGATCAGGATATGGACGGTGAAACCGAAGATGAGGAAGCAGGAGTAACTGCGCCTCCTCCGAAACCCAATGCTAAAGGCAAAAGAACTTCTACAAACTCTACAAATGTTCTTTCAACACCGGCTGGCAAGAAGCGCACATCTTTGGGCAAAGAAAATGATACCCCTTCATCAACTAGCAGCCGAAGTGCTAAAGACAGAGCAATACATGCCCTTCATCATCTTGCTCCTGATATTGCCCAGTACGAACTGGAAAAGAAAAGAAAAGGGCACGTCTTCGGTGGTGATCGAGCGGCCAATAGGATTGAGAAGGAGCGAGAGTTACAACGCAACTCGAGTCCAAATGTGAAGCGCCAACAGGATGAAGAGGAAAGTGGCAGTGAGAGTGAGGAGACTGATGTCCGTCCACAAAAAAGGGCAAAGACCACGATAAAACCAGAGGTCCAAGTTCGTATGCTTATTACTGGTTACAAGGTTTGGGCCACGGAGGCATCTAAGGAGGAAACAGATACTGTAAGTTGATCTATTTACTTGGTCGCCGTCCTTCTAACGATCAACAGAAAAAGCTACGTAATCTTGGTATTGCCGTATGGAATAATTATGGCAAAGTCGACATTATGGCTGCTCCCAAAATGGTTCGAACTAGGAAATTCCTCGTTGGTCTTGCACATGGACCCACTGTTGTGTCAGATAGATACATCGAGGCTTGTATCAAGGCAGGGAAGGTGTTAGATGTTGAGGACTTTCCATTAGAGGATACAGAAAACGAAAAAAAGCATAAAATCAAGTTGAAGGATGCTTTGAGTCGGGCCAAAGTCAATCAAGGTCGACTCCTAAATACAGTGCCAATATACTGTACTACGGACATCGACAATGGGGTCGAAACTTACAAGGATATTGCAGAAGTCAACGGAGCTACTTTCGGCGTGTATAAGGGACGTCCAACCATTAAACCGACCAGACCAGAAGATGATGATGGACCTCCTGAACCCATCTACTTAATCAGCAGCGACAAAAGATCCGAGCAAGCTCTCTACTCGAAATTCGAAGAAATGGCCAAGGCGGGAAATATGGAGCCAAGAATCGTCAAGGTCGAATGGTTGTTAGATGTTGCCATGTCTCAACAAATCAAGTGGGATAAGAAATATTTGCTAAAGCGGTAGTATCTGAGGTCAAAAGACTTCATTTGATCAATGTTATTGCTGGCGCTTGAGGGAACAGATGCGATGTGCTTATATACCTGGTTTTTGGTCGGACGGGATATCATACAAAAGAAAAGATGTTTTTGCAGACAGGCTGGATCTTGGGAGCTTGATATTGATATGTAATGTAGAAAGGGTTGTACTTTAGCTTATGAGATACGTATATTATGATTTTTTTTGGCAAAATGGTGTTTTTCTTTTTGAGGGGATATTTGAAAAGCGAAATGTTGGCTCTTGTCACAATATAGGTCTCGTACTTGGTGTAGCGATGTTTTTAATAGTCATTTGTGAATCAAATGTTAATCTATTCGGGGTATCATAATTCCTATCTTCATGCATCTGGTTATCTAAATGGAGTGCTCAGTTTTCAATGACACATTCGTCCTATCGAATGGCCAGATTATGCATTATAACTCAAGTATCTGCATGATATCATAAAACTCCAGGTCACTTAGATCTTCACTCCTTTCCCTCCATTGGGCCAGGCGCATCGCCCAATCCTTCCAAAAAAGCATCTGCCTGCTTTTTCGCCCTCTTCTCTCCCAGCACCCTCCTTCTCTCTTCAACCTCTTTCCTCCTCTTCTCCTTCGCCTCCTCCCTCTCCTTCCTTCCCCGTTCCGTCTCCCTCCTCATCCTCTCCAAATTTTCCATTTCCTCCCCCCTCAATGCCTCATCTTTCGAAAAACTATAGAATCCCTGTCCCTTACTCCTAACCTCCTTATCCGCCTCATAATGTTTTTGTTCCGGTGGCGTCGCACTCCTATCTCTTTTCCTCGCCAGCTCTTCCATCTTATTTTCCGTCTCGGCATCTAATGCGCTAGTAAAAGCATCCGATTGGATTGTATCGCCGTAGATGAGTTGGGTTGGCATTGATGGGCGAGCGGACATACGTTCTAGTTCTTCTGCGCCGAGGAGTTGTTTATTTCTGCGACGTTCCAGTCGACTTGCTTCGGATTTCGTCACTTGACGTACACGTCCGTATTCATCTTCGTATTCGACGAGTTCGGTGTCTGAGCCTGCGCCGCCGGCGCCAAATGAATCATCGCTATAGTTCCCCTCGTCATCTTTTTCTCCTTCAACCCATTTTCGATCAAAGTCTACGAGTCCTTCTTCCTCTTGATTCCCATTTTCATCGAATTTATCATGATCACCGTGTTTTAAACGGGAGTATATTTTTGCTTTTTCAGCGAGTCGCTTTTTACTTCGATGAAGTGTATTATCATCTATTCCTCCGCCTGTTTTATGTATTTGTGTATATCCGTTTTGGTCACCTTCTAGATCTTTTGCAGCACGTTTTTTCGCTCCTTTATTATGAGTTTTAAAGATATCTTCTTTGGTTTTTGAGGGTCGAGGACGTCCACGAGTGGTGGTTGATGAGGATGTGTTAGAGGTGAGGAGTGAGGAGAGAGTCGAGCTGAATGCTAGGTTTGTGGATGAGGATAATTCTTTTGTTGATGAATCGTGGAGTTTAGGCTTTTTGAAATTGTAGAGATTGTTCGGGTCGTGTGACATTTTGTTATATTTATTATTGTTGTGCTAGGAGAAGAGCTGGAAGATGCGATCATCGATTTGATATTAGTCTCATGTTCCCGTAAGGCTGAGCTCGTAAGGCTGAAGGAATGGAATCCTGGTAGCTAAAAAGTCCGGCCTCGTCTTTCCGGGATTGACCAATGACAACTAATAAGGTTGGAGTGGATATAGCAAGGAGGGGCATCAACATGTGCGAGATCGGATTACTCTGTACCTATTGTGCATAGAAACAACCCCACCGACATTCTATAATTGATCATTTAATTCATGAGCATCTTGATTCCTACGTACGAGCAGGACAGTTACTCAGACAGAATACTTATAGTCAATTGATTTAAAATCTCAATCCACATTTCAAGTCAACATGGTAGCCAAGGAAATTTACGTCGCCGTCATTGGTATGAAGCTCTAACTTCTAAGACTTTTATAGGAGCTCCAATACTGATCCATTATTAGGTGCTGGTGGTGTGGGAAAATGCTTTTTATCCCAACTTGAAGCTCTTTCTCAACGATACACTTCATCCAAGATATCCCTAATCTTCGTATCAAGGAGCAAGAAAGTTCTCTACAGCCCAAAATATACTCCTCTCTCATATTCCAACCTCTCAACTACACTCGCAGACTCCACACAAGAACCCCTCTCTATACCAAAGATTATCGAATACTTAGCAGCTGCGCCTGCAAAGGTCGTACTTGTCGATAACACAAGTTCGCAAGATGTAGCGGATGCATACCCACAAGTTTTGTCAAAGGGAATCTCGATAGTCACTCCCAACAAGAAGGCATTCTCTGGATCATTTAAGTTATGGCAGGATGTCTTCTCCGCAGCTTCATCATCTGGGGCTAAGGTTTATCATGAGAGCTCAGTCGGAGCTGGATTACCCGTTATTTCTACTTTGAAAGAATTGGTCGACACCGGTGACTCTGTCACCAAAATCGAGGGTGTCTTTAGCGGTACAATGTCATTCTTGTTCAATTCCTTTGCTCCTACTGAAGGTTCAGGAGGAAAATGGTCTGCGGAGGTCGCAAAGGCAAAAGAATTGGGCTATACTGAACCGGATCCAAGAGACGATTTGAACGGTCTGGATGTTGCCAGAAAATTGACAATTCTAGCAAGATTGGCAGGTCTTGAGGTTGAATCTCCTACTTCATTCCCAGTTCAAAGTTTAATCCCCAAAGAATTGGAGAGCGTTTCAAGTGGAGAGGAATTTCTTCAGAAGTTGCCCGAGTTTGATTCTCAGATGGAAGAAACAAAGATTGCCGCCGAGAAGGAGGGTAAGGTTGTGCGATTCGTTGGAAGTATTGATGTAGCAAAGAAGGAGGTGAAGGTGGGTTTGGAGAAATTCGACAGATCACACCCAATTGCTGCACTTAAAGGAAGCGATAACATCATCAGCTTCTACACAAAACGATATGGGTCCAATCCCTTGATTATTCAAGGAGCTGGTGCTGGAGGAGACGTGACGGCAATGGGTGTCACAGGTGATCTGATCAAGGTCCTCGAAAGACTTTCTTGAATAATTGCTATAATACCATAAAAGTTGTGTGCTGCTTCAATCGTCTATAATCGCGCCGCTGTCCTTGCGTGGCTGACCCGCTTGTTCCATTCTCTTCTTCATTCCTTCAGCTGTTTCCTCTATCATCTCTGCCACATTGACAGTACCATTCGCTGAAGGCATTGTCAAAATCCTCGGTCGTCCTTGCCCATTCGGTCGTTCATTCAAGCTTGGCGCACGGGGTCGTGGTCTATTCCTTGCTCGTCCACCAACATAGGGTATTTCGTATGTTATCAGGCGGAATATGTAGAAACCCACGTCGTACACAAGGAGTAACAGCCAAGGGCCTATGCATATCATGCCGAGTAGAAACTAGGATAAAAGGTTAACTTCGGTGCCCCGCCATCGGACATGTACATACAAACGTATTCATAGCCCAAACTTCAACAAACGCCAGACTTTCAGGAAGAATGGAAAACCACGACATGTTAATGAGTAGAATGGCAACAAGCTACTAGGTAGAATCGAAAAGTCCTTTGATGGTGTCGAAGGGTGATTAACCTAGAATATAGAGAAAATGTCTGTGGTTTCCCTTCTTAAGTTGCAGGAAATGCTTGTTGTTGGCAGAAATGTAGTCGCGAACTATGAATCCCTTGAATCACGTTGACATTGGTAAATGTTGAACAGAATTCGGAAATATGACCTTTATCATATTGACGTATGGGGGGTTTGAAAGGAATGGACAGAAAGTGATAGCAGGAAATGAAGAATGATGAATGGCCCAAAAACTTAATGCTTATGGCACAAGCACATACCTGAAATAGGTAATGTATTGTATACGAACAAGTGTAGAAGCCTCTACTCAAGGGCTGAACTCAACTAACTGTGTGAATAACGAATGCTGATTCCATTCCAAATGAAGATGGATTCGAATGACAATTCAAAGAGGGTCTTGTAAGATATTGGGATCGCCCTTAATATCATACCATGGGGAAGAATATGGGGATGAATTGTTATCGCAATCAAACTGCGCAATTCAGGATGACGATTATCAATTGTTGCTCCATTTTAGTGCTTTACAGGGGTCGGGAAGAAAGCTAAATCCTTACATTCACGGCCTATTATCACTAAAAAGTACTAAAATAGAAGTAGCCCACTCACTAAAAATTTATCTTGCGCATTCGGGTTATTTGCAAAAAGAAAAAGTTCAGCCTCGAGCTTTCCATCTCATCATGCTCAAGCCTCGTTTGCACCACATCAGTATCCTACCATCCTTTCAAACAATTATTGTTCCACTATATCAAGGAGAATATCGTTGACTGCCGAGAAGCTTTGGAAGTTTTTCAATCAAGATGGCAGGCCCACCAAATAAAAAGCAAAAGAGGGAGGATTATAGGACTGCGAGAGAGAATGGCGAGGAGAGTAAAGAGTTGCCAAAGAAGAAATTTTACAGACAGAGAGCGCATGCCAATCCTTTCTCCGATCATCGTTTAGCATAGTACGTACGCTTCCAATTGTCGATCTGATGGAGATTCATTGACTGGTATAGTCCTGCTTCCCCAGCCCAGATGGATTGGGCTTCACACTACCCCGCCTACGCAGAGTCGCCAACAGCTTCCGAAGGAATTGAAGAAACCTCGGAAGTTTGTAAATCTAGCAATGTGAAGAAGATGAAGCAAGATGTTGAGGTTGCAGATATTGGTTGTGGGTTTGGTGGTTTGACGGTAGCTTTGGCTCCTAAATTGCCAAATTCTTTAATTCTAGGTACGAGTGCTTTTTGTCCCATCGTAAGTTCGCGCAAGTCTAATTTTCTTCGACAGGAATGGAAATTCGAGCACAAGTTACGGAGTATGTACAGGAACGAATCAAGGCTCTGAGGGTTCAAGAAAAGGAAACTGGTCTATTTCAAAATGCTTCATGCATACGAGCCAATACCATGAAGTTTATGCCAAATTTCTTCAAGAAGCACCAACTCGCCAAGATTTTTCTTTGCTTTCCAGATCCTCATTTCAAGGCTCGAAAGCACAAGGCCAGAATTGTCTCAACCACGTTAGCTGCCGAGTATGCCTACGTTGTTCGACCAGGAGGAATCATATACACTATCACGGATGTTGAAGATCTCCATAATTGGATGGTTACACATTTCAATGCGCATCCCACCTTCGAGCGAGTTTTGGAAGAGGAACAAGAAGCAGATGAATGTGTCAATATAATGAGAACGGAGACTGAGGAGGGAAAGAAAGTAACCAGGAATAATGGACCAAAATTCGTTGCTTTATTCAAGCGTTTGGAGGATCCTCCTTGGTAAAAGAGCCTTGTTAAAAGAGCCTTGGTATATATAAGAGGGGTGTGGGTGATGCTGTACGGTGCCAGTTATATAAAAATGATGTCATTTATGATACTTCACACTCTTGACAAAGAACTGCGATGGGTTGAAGGAAGGTCAATCTAGAGAAACCAAATGAATAAAATAACTAATTTGAAAATCACATACTTCTATTCTCATTCTCTTTCACAAGCTACTACATATAGCTATAGCTATTTCCTCACTTGTGCGGAGGATCAATATGCTATGCTTCTATCACTCCCTTGGTAGGTAGGTAGGTACACCAGGTACTGCATATTGCATGTAAAAGTGTAAAGTGGAAAGATTACCCGAAATCCCTGAAAGCCGAAAGCTACAACCAATTAACCAATCAACCAACCCATTGGTGACCTCTGACAATCTGGCAGAGCTCCTCCAAAAAGTTTCCACCCAAAAATGCTGTTCATAAATACATTCGCCCTTCATAGATTATGGCCTTGAGTCGTCGAGATGTGATCCTAGCTGGTATCGCCGTATTTTTTGCATGGGGATTCGCTACCAATTGGATCCCGACCTTACGCTGGGTTGGATATGCATTTGTCGCAGGACTTATCGTACCCGTCGTGGGGCTCATAGCTTTGCTACTTCTCACATCCAGAGGTTCCCAATATGCGGAAGAACGTATTGTCCGTCGACCAAACGGACCTGCGTTCCTGGCAGCGACGAGATGGAAGAAGGAGATAGCTGCGTTACGCACACGACAAATTCACATCCGAAAGCCCTTGGTTCCCGACTCGTTCATAGTATCATGCGCCCTCGACGATTTGTTAGACCTGATACTTCGCGATTTTGTGGCATCGTGGTATGGAAGTATTAGCAGGAATCCGACATTTACCAATTCGGTCGACAAGACGATAAGGTTGGCTCTTGTCAATCTGCGTGAGCGATTCCTAGCCATAGATTTGGTGGAGGTTGTCACCACTCGTTTTGTTCCTATTTTGACGGGACATTTCAAGGAGTTTTATAATGCAGAGGTTGCTATCAGAGGCAAGAATTTAAATCGGAGTGTTACGGAATCTGATGAGCTGGACCTTGCGATTGCCGCGAAATACAATGATGGAAAGCTACACTCTGCTGCATCTCTGGCCTATTCAGATCTGAAGCTGGTGCAACAGGAATATCTGCGAGATTTGACACAAAAGCTTCTGCCGGAAATTCTACCGGAGAGTGCTATCGGGAGTCGTGCAGTAGCTGTTTTGATCAGGGAATTGTTGGCTTGTGCAGTCCTTTTCCCCATTATGCAGATGCTTTCTGATCCTGATATGTGGAACCAGATAATGGAAGCATATGTATGTACTTCAGTATTGCTCGATTTCACAGTTGCGCTAACATGGTATAGGGTCGTTCCATGCTTCAGGATAGGTCGACGGTACGAAAACTGCGAGCTGCTCTAGATGAGCATGCATCACCTGCTCCTAAATCAAAGCGCGCAGCACAATTTCCAAGACTTTCTCCCGGGGATCACGAAAGGAGGTTTGAGAAATTTATTCGTGCTATTCGGAAGACCAACAATTTATCAGATGCCAGAAGATTTCGAAGTGAGGTATCTAGTCAGTTTAAAAGAGATGCTCTGAAGGAAGGCCAAGATCCGGTATACTTGCGACGACTCGATATTGGAAAGAGGGTTTTGGATGAAAGAGTTAATCAATTGGCTGCCACAGGTGGTCGTGGAGCTCAAGTGTCGCAACCAGGTCGTAATGGCGTTCAGGCTTCAAAGCTCGAAAATGCTTCACTCGTGGATCTCCTACACGATCCTTCCGGTCTTTCATACTTCATGGAATACATGGATAGACAGAACTGTATGTCTCTCGTACAGTTTTGGATTGTCGTCGATGGATTTCGAAATCCTCTTGAAGATGATGGTGCAGACGACGACGAAGTCCCTACTACTATTGCTCCTTGGACCGAGGCTGATAGGACGGATCTTGCCCAAATAAATGACGCGTATCTTTCCAAACCAGAACTTAAAGTTCCAGAGACATCGAGGCAAATTGTCCAGGAATTTCTCAAAGCTGGAAACAAGGCAACCTCAAAGCAATACTTCATGGCTAGAAGAGCTATCTTACGTGCTCAAACTTCTGCACTTGAAGTAATGCAAGATAAATTTTACCCATATTTCAAAAGATCAGATCTTTTCTACAAGTGTCTCACATCTCAGGAAGCCTCGAAGGTTCGGCAGCCTTCCCCTGCACCGTCGCTTAATATGGAAAATACAATGCGAAAACCTGCGATAGTTCCTAGGGCAAACAGTACCATGACAGTCAACACACGTTCTCCTTCATTCTCCAGAGTTTCATCAAAGTTGGGCCCTAAGAGAGCAGATTTGCGAAGGACTGCCATGTCTTTTACCGATCTAACCACTCATCAACCGGACCAAATGTCAAATTCTCGAGGATCTCTAGATGAGGAGGCTCCTCTATTTGACGAAGAAGATTTGGACAGCGATGCAATGGCAAACTCAATCATGAGCCTTGATCAGGAGCCTGAAGTGATTGTACCAGATAACAACGTTGTGCAAGCTATGGAAGCAGCCTTGAACACGATTATGGAGGATAATCCTGACATTGATGATCTTCGAAGTTCACTATTCGGTCCCAATGACATTTTGGACTCGTCAGTTCCGAGTCTTAACTCTACATCGAACAACATCTCAAATAGGAGCTCAAGCGATCAAAAGCGCGCGGATTTATTTGGATTTGAGAATGGAAAAGGGGTAGACAGACATGAACGAACGGAAAAGCCAAGTATAGCATCTCTCGGTCTTGTGAATACCTCATCTAGAATTGGTGTTTTCACGGATAACGATTTATTTGGGGATGAAGAGAAATTCCTTTCTGACGAACATGACGATCCCGAGAAAGATGAGGATGAAGATACTCAAGATGAAGTTCATGAAGCAGCTCCTGGAGATTTGGGTCTAGCAGAGGCTATCACGATTCTCACCACTGATATTGATCGACTCATAGCTCAAGATGCTGTTGTTGATTCATTAACAAGGAAAGCGGAACTCACCAACAATACAGCCGAGCTTAGAATTCTCCGGAAGTCTAAAGCTAGTCTAGAACGAGAGATTCGTCGCAAGGAACTTCAGCGGCAGCAATATGTCATTCAAGAGAGTGATAATAGTCTATATGGACGTTCAACAATCAAAATCAAGTCAATCATGGTTGGAAAAGAGGATGATGGCCGAGAGTACGCCGTTTATGTTATTGAAGTGCAGAGAAAGGCTGGAGAACAAATGCCAGCAGCTACTTGGACAATTACTCGTCGCTACAGTGAATTTCATGAACTTCATCAACGATTAAGAATCAAGTATCCATCAGTAGGGCATCTTGATTTTCCTCGTAGACGAATGGTTATGAAATTGCAAGGTGATTTTCTTCAAAAGCGACGTGTGGCTTTAGAGAAATATCTTCGAGAGATTCTTCTGCTGCCAGATGTATGTCGAAGTCGAGAATTGCGTGCATTTCTTTCACAAAGTGCTCTCGCTCCAGACTTAGAAGACACGGATGCTATCGACAATAAGAAAGACATCATAACAAGGTTTTACAACTCAGTAACAGATGGCATGGAGGATATCCTTGGAAACATTCCAGTCCTAGATCAACTTTCGGTTGCGGGACAAAACCTTTTATCGGCAGCTACTAATCAACTCATTACTATGCCTGGGACAATTAGCGAAGATCCCCTGACAGCAGCCGAAGCAGAAGCCGAACTCAATGCATTTGAGGACCGTGAACTCGAGCCCTTCGTGAAACCTATTTGCGATATCTTTCTTGAAGTCTTCGAACTAAATCGTGGAAATAACTGGTTACGTGGTCGTGCAGTCGTAGTCGTACTTCATCAACTCCTGGGTGGAACAATTGAAAGAAAAGTCCGTGAAAATGTTAAGGGTCTTGTACAGGATGATATGTTGGTGAAGTATATATCGATATTAAAGGAATCAATGTGGCCTGGAGGACAGAGAAAAGTGGATGGCAAAGTTAGGACAACGGGCGAGAAGAGTAAGAGTAGAAAGGAAGCAAGTTTGATGCTAGCTACTTTGATACCAGAATTGGCGGGAAGCGTGGTGGGGAGAGTTAATGCTCAGGCGGCTAGTAGAAGGATTTTTGCTACGTTTAATAATCCGAGGTTGAAGTAAGTTCTCCCTTATTTCTTTGTTTTGCTAGGTAGAGGGAATGGCGATGGTCGGTGGCAGGTGGGCCATGGCTGGGGAAGGGAAGAGATGGCAGTGATGCAACGAAACTAATAGAAGTACAGTGCACATCTAGCGTTCACACTATTAGATGAAATCATCGATGTTTTATTTGGGGACTTGAGTGCATAAATAGCTTTATCAGAGGCGTTGGGATGGTTGACTGGTTGGTTTTATTGAAAGCATTTTTGATATGGAGTTTGGAGACTGAAATTGAACATAAGGATGATGGTGATCTGATGGGTGGATGAATGAATGAAGTGGTAGATATGGGTGTGGATGTGTTTGGAGAATAAGGGAAGAGGAGTGTGACGTGCGTCTGCGTATGGTGTAGGCATGTACATATGGATATTAGATATTGGATGAATAGGACTTCAAAGACAGATGATTTAAACTACACCCTTCGAGTACTACACCCTTCGAGTTTGAATGATGTCAGAAGTGAAAAGATATAATCTTGGTTTAGTACTTTTCTTATATCCATATTATATCATATCCATTCCGACTTAGACTCCTGGATGAGAAGGAAAACACTCTAACATATACCATTCTCCTTAAAACAATCCTCGGAATTTTTGACCATAAATCCCACAACTAAGAACCACGTATCCCTCTCCCTCTCTCTCTCCCACATAAAATAATCTCAACAACTACATCTCCACTATACCCCTTTCCTCTTTTCTCTTTTTCTATCCCCCTCTCCTCTCCCTTTACATCTTCTTCTTCCACACACACACACACAAACCTAGCTAATAATAATAATAATAATAATAATAATAATAATATATATATATGTGACGGAAATCCCTGCTTTCCTCCCACCCTTATTATATAAGAAACCTCAGGTACATTAACCATGTCCACACATGATACGATTACTCGAGATTAGTATGCAATTTAGGTGACCTGAGGATCAGATCCGGACAAGTACTAGGTATTAATGGTTATCGGTAAAGTAAGATCATTGGAGGAATAAATATGACTTCTTTTTGCCTAGCCATTGCGGCTAGGCCATTCATTTGTGTATATATAGAGTAGCTATCCCCATCTACAGGTGCTCTTCACCTGTAGATTCTAAGTTAAATACAATTGCTGGTCTATAAACACCCTTTTGGTCACAATATACTACATCTATAGTAATTATACTATAATTAATATCCCCTCCCTCCCCACTTCTTTTTCCTCGAAAAGTGATTAAAGATTGGGAGGAAGAGGTTCGAGATTGAAGATTAGAGGAAGGGCATTGTGTTCAGATTATAAGGTTTACTAGGTATGGATGTAAGATCTTATCAATCTTCATCTTGATATTTTTGCATTTGTCAATCCGGTGGTTAAATAAATTTCTACAAACTCACCTAAATTTAACAATGACGGGCATCGACTCATAAATATAACATGACATGTTCGTTTGGAGTCAATTCAATTCAATAAATCTTAATCGATAGACTCCTAAATTTGATTCAATTCTTCAATATCATTTCAATCAATTATCTAATATTGCTATCAAATTGCTATCAAAAGCTGTTCATCCAAAAAATGTCATCCTGAGCCTCTCCTTTATCCCCCCTCCTTACTCTTCCTCTGCTCCCTCTCATAAAACTTATCTTTAATCTTCATATCCATTCATCCATTCATCCATTTCTCTCCTCATAAAATTCAAACGACTACCCTTCATTCATACAAACACCTCCTTCCTTTTTAAACATTCAATTCCAAAGAAGGAAGATAGAATAAAGTGGCCACAACATATAATGTCTAACATAACCCAAGACTAACGCCGATCCCCTAGACCCAATTCCAATGCTCCATAAAAAGACCAAAAAATAAAGTAGGCTTGCTATGCACATCCCATTCTAAGACGCCATGATCTTAATCAGGTCCAATATACAAACAGATCTCCCTTCCCATTTAAAACTCCTAGATACCCAAAAATTCCCAAGTACGCCCATTATTTCAAGATGATTTAAAGTGAGGAATCCAAGTCATATCAAGTTTCAAGATTCTAGCCAAACACATCCACAACTCTCATCACCGTCTCGCTCTACTAGATCTCGTTCAAAGAGATCCGGGACAAGACTACGTGATTGTAGAGGTGACAAAGTTGTAGGTTGCGTCTCGTTCAAATATATAGTAATAGGCTGACCAGTTGAGTTCATTAAAGGTGCAGCATTACCATCCCATAAAATCTGATGAGCTACACAATAGGCTGGAACAGTTTGACCACCTCTAGGGACACGACGTTCGGCGACTTTGTAGACTTTGGGGTATTGTGGCAAGAACTGGGGATTATTTTGTGAAGATCTAGATGAGCTTTGTGATTGAGCTTGGGTAGTCGAAGAAGGAACGTCTGATGAATGTGTGTTCGTCCCATATCCACCACCATTACCTCGAGATGAGCCACTAGAAGCAGTAGAGTCTGCGCCGCTGCTAGTTTCGTTGACATAAATGAAGGCCTCTAAGATAGTTCCATTCCAATAACAAAACCAAGGTTGATCTCCCGCTTGAGCTACGCCTTTGTGATTCATGAAACCGGCAGCGGACTGACCACGCTTCATAGTTGTTGAAAGAGCTTTCTGTGGTAACACAACTACCTTATTGTATGGCATTTGGAAAAACCAAGCTGGACCTCGACTAGGATATTGTGAATCATTGACGAGAGAAAGCACCTGAGCAGTGGATAAAATCGGTGGTTGGGCGCCATATGGATAGAAGTTTAACGATGCATTGCCATAGTTCATCATAATTTCCTTATTGGCGAGTGCACTTCCTCCTGGAATATCTACGATAGACATTTCAAGGGGTGTCATTGGGATAGAGCAACTCCAGGCAGAGTTTTGGGAGGTGTTCATGATGCAACTACTTTGAGCAGTTGAGGGAGTAGTGAGAGGCATGTTGTAGGTTCCGGTTGGAAGTGATGGGAGTAAAGCAGGCACCGTAGAAAGTGGAGTTGCATCAAATGTGGTGGTCATAGTGGCATATACTGTTGTTTGGCTTGTTCTGTATCAAAGGTTAGCAACCTTCCAAAGGTGTTAGTTGACGGAAACTGACTGGTCATTATAGGGCTGGTTGTTAGGGCTGTCATTATTATGTCTTGGCCTCAGAATGGCAAAAACGGTTCCTAGCACGATGCCAAAAAGAATGAAGACCAATGCTATTAAAACGACAACCCATAAAGGAACGATGCCACATAATTTCCTTTTGGCAGCAATCTGCCATTTCTTTAATGGTGGCTTTTCAGAATATTCCATGTCGGCGTTATTGCTGTGATGTGAACTTCGATCTGACATGACACTCCTGGTCGATTGACGCGAACGGGATAAGTGAAGATCTTCTTGTGATGCAAACTCTGGATTTCGGGTCGCTAGTCCCATACCTCCAGCACCAGAGATGGGAATAATAGGAGCTGGCATTTGAATTGTAGGTACAGGTGCAGGTATAGATGCAGGTCGTGATTTCCTAGCAAACGCCTCATCCGGGTATTTAGTGTAAGGTGGCAGTTGCTCCGTGTGTCCATCAGGTCCAATGAGATCCGCTGCCTCCTCACCTTCCGGACCTAATCTTCGTTGATAATCATTGTTAAGGCCAGGGAAACCAACCGGAATAGGTGCAATGGGCAAATGATCAGAATCACCTGGAACTGTACTCTGCGGGTACATGCCATAAGGATGTGTTGGTCCACTGGGACCCGTGTACAACATTTCTTGTGGTGGTGCCGGGCTTGTCGAGGTTGTTGCTATACTCGCCGTTCTCGCTAATCGAGATTCTTGATTGTACATATTATATGGATGCGATGGTCCTGTAGGTCCTCGGTATGGGCTTTCCGGTCTCATCATTGTTGATTCGCTTGATACGCTTGACATACTTGATACGGTAGATGATCTTGTCAATCCATTTCCATTACCATAACCATTTTGTCCTTGGGGTGCGAACGTTGGACCCCTTGACATTTCACCCATTCCACCATCATGCCGTAGAGCGAACGAATCAATGCCTTTTGGTTTTGTTGTACTCGACGGTCGCGGCGGTGGTGTTGATGCTCTCCTCCTCTCTAAAGGTGATAATTGAGTCTGCGGTTGTTCTTGCTGTGGTGGTTGTGGTCGTGGTGGTGGTGGCGTGTATGTATGTTGATTTGAGTCCGATGGTCTGTAACCACCACCATTTGAAATCCCCAAGGCTGCCAAAGCATAATCATCTTCATCGTCGTCCTGCATTTGCATTGACAATCGCGTCGACCCTTGAGACTCCCTTCTGTTATGTTCGAAATTCGAAGGATGATCGGATTCACCCATTTTTTATCGATCGAGTGAGCGTGAGCGCCTATTGAGACCTCGGATGTCCGCGCACTCCCGAGTGTTCAACACTCTCACGACCCACGCCTCAATCCAAGTCCGTAGGTACAGCTTCTAAATGACACCTCCTGCAGTAAGTGGAATGCTATATAATTGATTGATTATTCATGAAAGGTAGAAGAAGATGTCGGTATATTTTAGTTTTCGACTGTCGTTGTCGTTGTCGCTGTCGTTGTCGATGTCGATGTAACTGTCGTTATTCGTGTTAATGTGAGATGATGATCAAAATAACATGGAAACATGGAATGGATTATTTATTCAATTTCTGATTTGAAGAGTTAAATGAGTGTGAATGGATTTCCTTTTGGTGTAATACACGAATTGGGGGGTTTTGAAGGTATTTTTCCAGGAGAGAGTGTTTGAGAGAAAGCTGCTTCATGTTGTTGGACCAGTTGAGAAGAAGATCGCCAAGCACAAGCACGCCAAGTTCCTCATCCGAGACGACAAAAGTGGATATGAAGAATTCGCCTAGTGATGATTGGTTGACTGGATCGATGGGTTGATTAGTTAATTGGTTGATTGGTTGATGGATCAAGAAATGAAAAAGGCATTGCCGTTATCCTATTTTGTGTATAAAGCTAGCAGGCAGTTTAAAGGTTTATTTTGCTCGAGTAGGTATTCATTCATCTTGAATAGTCCCTCTTGTTCCTGATGTTCTTGCCGATCGGTATTACTGTACTGCTTTGCTCCGTATATTAGAAAAGTAACCATTTGACCATTTCATCATAAAGCGAGCATTCTCAAACATATACTTCATCGACATGCTGCAATTCTCCAAGTCCTTGCATTGTTGTTTCCGTTACCCTGCACCACCTACCTACCTAGGGAGTTGGTTATAAAAGCTAAGACGAAAACTTGGTACAAAAAAAGTACATATAAGAGTAAATGTGGTCGGAGCAAATGCGAAAACGGAAAGAGACTTGTCAATCACCAGAATCCAAGTCCTGGTGGTCCCAAGCCAAGTACATAAGAAGACATGGAAGATGGCATCGTTAAAATTCCGGTATGTAGTAATAGTACAGTCACTCAGTCACTCAGTCACTGATTGGATTTTTCCCGTCGGACTTATTTGTAACTCTAGTTGAGGTATTCAGACAAACTCTTAGTATCTATTACATCATCTTTTACAGATGAAATGTAATTAACTGCGAATTGTACTTGAACTCTTTTAGAAATGGACAGTTATGTTATTGATTCCTCTACCCCAGTTCGAAAGAGATCCTATTCTGGCAGCATTCCATCAATGATCACTAACACTGCTAAGACTTTAAAGTGGTGAAAAGTGTGGGTGGGTATGCTACGGGTCTCTAGAAACTTTTCAGGGCGTAAGGAAAGCCTAGAGAGTCAAGCAACCTTAAATCCAAAAATGCCCGATGACGATGTCATAATGATTATCGAATTGAATGGCTTGGGAGATAGGTCCGTTCTTCACACCATTTATTGTATGCAACCTGTATGATTAGTATAATTCCAATCAGACTGATCTCTGAAGTGATTCCGTCTCGCCGACCTTTTGACAGCCCTTCCATACTCGAACATTGAAATGTATAAATTCAATTGAATCGAATTTCCTATATTGACTTTTGCTTACGCCGCAGCATTTCTGGATGGAAGATAGAGGCCTCAATTCGGAATATCATCGACAAAAACTGGGAAATCTATGGCCATTGATATAGAGTTTTTGGCTGTGAGACTGGCATGGCTTTACAAGGAACGCGAGGAGGGGGTAGCGGTATGGTGTAATGTTTGTGATTCAATCAATATGTGTCTACTTTACAAAGTGGAATGATACCTTCATGTCATCCTTCATCTTCCATAACTCTGTTGAAGACTGGCAACAATTTATCTAGTATTTGGGGGTCCTAGTAGCGAGGCGATGAAGGGGCTGAGGTGGTGGGGTGTCTCATCCAACCACGCATTTTACTGCTTCGAAAATAGAAGAGTACCCTTCATGTATCTTCATCCTCCATTCCCCCATCATCTACTGATATGGATCTGAAAAGTTTTTTACGCAAAGAAATTTTTTTCTTCTTCAATTTTCACTATCTTTCAACCAGCTGCCTCATCGGTGTCGATGCCCGTGTATTTGATACTACACCAACCACACCAATCCAAGAATTGAACATGGGATAATTCTTCTCACACCACTATTCGCATCGAACCATGCAGGCCAACTGCCGTAAACTCACACATATCTGGTCATCACCCGACACACGTGAAGCACTCAATACATTTCCGGTATAGTGCACAAGCATTGTTTTCAGTGACCCATTCAATATTGAAAAATTCCCCGGTCTAGAAAGAAGAAACATTGACATTCCAGGTGGTAATATGGCCCCCCAAAAATGCTCTCGAGGTTGCTCGCTATGTAAGATCAAACATGATGCCCGTTTCGTTCTTGTTCAACGGACGGTTGTCGGGAGCAACATCTTGGCACTTGGCTCTCGTCCCGCCTTCCTCCATCCGAAGTTCAAGCATCTCTGTCCAGAGAAGAAAAGCTTGAAGGTTGGTACCTGTACAGAGATACTGTAATCGAAATCCGAATGCGATGCTTAATTTGGTACCGATGCCGGGGTGGAAAAGAAAGTTGATGTGAACTATGTCACAAGGGCTTGTGTATTTATCCTCGACGCAGGAGCCGATATTATGCGGAATTTGCTAGGTGTCAGTTGGGAATATCATTCAAATACCTGTCTATTATGGAAGTCATTCATTTGACCTGGGCATTTGTTCAAACCATTTAGAGGGCCAAAATCTTCCATCGACACTCCCCTCATATTTCTCTACTCTGCTGTGGGACGAATCTTTCCACCGTACCTTGGAGACGCGGCACCAGCGACATTCGTCCAAACCTCCAAAGAAACCCCGACAATGAGGTTCCATCATTTCGAACTTCCACCCATTTTCTCTCTACTTGAAATTTGCACACTTGGTTGAATTCGCAACTCGCTATATATTGATTTCGTGCTGCCCATGCGTATCTGATACTAAACTCACTTAAATGTGGGAAGACATGTTCTTTGGTCGATCATGTTTTTCTTGAAGGTCCATGTTCCTGGTTTCTAGAGGCGATTCGTCCCGTAGTCTTTTTTTTTTTTTTTTACGTAGCAGCTTCTTCCGGAGATTCTAAGCTCTTTCGATTTTAGTATCAAAAGGATGGAAAATCGTCCCCTGGATTCCTTTCATATCCCATCATCAAACCCTCGGATGGAAAGACTTTGGGTGAGGCAATGTATAACTATACTGTATCGAGGTGTATGGCGTTAAGTTGCAATTTCCAAGCGTCGACTTACCTTGAATGAAATCAGATGAATGTTGTCGAGTCTCGACTTGCCTTGAATGATAGAGCATTTGGAGATAATGATAAGGCTGCACATATATCCCACCATGGTGAGGTAATTTATATGAACCTTTAACCCATCCCTAAGGTTCTCGAACCCATCTTGACACCACTTTGAAGAATTCCTGCGATAAGTTCTGACAACATGACACATAGCAAAGAAAAACCCTGTTTGAAGCGAGAGGTTGTGGACACCCTTTATGCAGAATATCCTAGATCAAAAGATTAATCTTATCTGATCAAAAAGATAAATCAGATAATAGAAACCTTCTTTGATCCTTAATCCAAGACGAGCTAATGTACAGAAATCCATGGAAACTATCCTCTCGGATGCCGGGGAAAAGTTTTCCACTCAATTCGTACTTGCTCGTGTAAATAGTGAGATTCACATCGTGGTAGCACCGTCTTACATTGGGAGGTTTCATGATCTTGTACCATTTCTGGCTTTGGGCGCTGAAAAAGGACTTAGGGTGAAGATGATAGATGCTAAACGATACGTTTTTTCCTCTTGTAGAAATGCAGTAGGACGTATTTGACGATTGGATCTGAGCTGAGATGCAGAAAAGTTGATGATCTGTCAGCCATATCTCAGGCAAATGGTAAGCTTTCACGAGTTCGGCTTGACTTGATCGTCGTTCCTGCATAAGCTGTCCCATTATCCCGTATCACAATCTCATTCATGATTTGGTCCCTTTCCCTCTCTCACGCAACACAAGGCTGCGACGGTAACTTGAACCTTATCTCTCCCATTGCCACCTCACTCGCTCTTTTATTTCCAATCGCCGGTAACGCAGTTAGTTCATGATATCAAGTCTTCTCGTTTCTCGGAGGCCGATTTCCTTATATAATATCAAAGATATAGGAAAGTCAAGATGGAGAAGAAGTTGGAATGTCCTGTCATGGAAATTCAGGGGTCCGCATTAGTTCAAAGGGTTCAATCTTCTTTAGCATATCCGTTGTCAAATGTATGCACGTAACACCACGCTCAAAGTGACGAGTCCTTTGCAGTGATCAATGAATGAATGAATGAGTGGATGAGAGAAATAGAATAGAAAAAAGTATAAATCGAAGAGCAAATTCACCCAAACTTCAAAGGAAGGTACTGTATTATCTTTCTTTGGAAAAAACCGTTGGAAATTCCTCATACACCTACCTATCTCTCGTATATAACCTCACCATCGAGTCTTGTGTGAATACCACGTTTGAATCTCATATCACATAGCACTCCGTATATACCAATCGGTAAGTTATATCAATCCACTCATTGTCTTTCTTAATTTCGTTAGTTGTAAATTGTTGAGGGAAACTTTACTATGAATGGCGTGAATGGACATGGGATCATCACCTTTTAGGCCTTCTACCGATTATCGGGCTGTGTTGGCGCGGCGGTCTAGTGGGAAATTGGAATTTATTTGGTTTGATACCGATAACCAAAAAAAAAATATTAACGATATTTCTTTATTGATTTTCCCCTTTTATTTATTGTTTTGGAGAACACAATTATTTTATCTTTTATTTTCTTTTAATTCACACTCTCTCTGTAAAGTGGTAATTTCGAACAATACTAACACCAATCTTTGTCTTCAGTCTCGTCAAATTCCTTGACTTGTACATACAAAAGTTCAACAAGCTTGCTTCAGAAACTCTATCGGATTACCCAGATACCTTCAAATCAGAACCTCAAAAGTACACCGCCCCTCGCAATCATGTCTACCCGTCCTCAAAATATTGGCATTAAGGCCATTGAGATTTACTTCCCAAGTCAGGTAACTCACCATATCTCTTTTATTTCTGCAGAATCCCGTTTGTTTACGTTGGAAACTAACTTGCGTGTCCCCGCCGCCAGTGTGTTGCTCAAGAAGAACTCGAGAAATTCGATGGCGTTAGTGCAGGGAAATACACAATTGGTCTTGGGCAAACCAAGATGAGCTTCTGCGATGATAGAGAAGGTGAGAATTTACATGTCCGCAACAGCTGTCGGAGTTTTGACTTATTCATGGCATCCTGCAGATATTTACTCTTTTGCCTTGACCGTCACCTCCCGTCTCCTCAGCAAGTACAACATTGATACAAACACCATTGGACGTCTGGAAGTTGGCACAGAAACCCTTCTCGACAAATCGAAGTCCGTAAAATCGGTTCTCATGCAATTGTTTGGAGAAAACTCGAATATTGAGGGAATTGATACCGTTAATGCATGCTACGGTGGTACCAATGCTGTATTCAACGCTGTTAACTGGATTGAATCGTCCGCATGGGATGGAAGAGATGCCATTGTGGTTGCTGGAGATATCGCCTTATATGCCAAGGGTGCTGCGCGTCCAACTGGAGGTGCGGGAGCTGTTGCCATGTTGATTGGACCAAACGCTCCAGTTGTTGTTGAGCCTGGTCTTCGTGGAACATACATGCAACACGCCTACGATTTCTACAAGCCAGATCTTACTAGCGAGTATCCAATCGTTGACGGCCATTTCTCTCTCAAGTGTTATACCGAAGCAGTTGATGCTTGCTACAAGGCATACAACAAGCGGGAACAAACCCTCAAGCCTTTAGCAAACGGGCATATAAATGGTGCCGTCTCAGAGGATTCAACAAAATCTCCTATTGATCGTTTCGATTACATGACCTTCCATGCCCCTACCTGCAAGCTCGTTTCCAAGTCATACGCCCGTATGCTTTACAACGACTATCTTGCTAATCCGACCGCATCCACTTTTGCTGATGTTCCCGCTGAGTTGAGAGATATGGACTATGCCAAGTCTTTGAGCGACAAGGTCGTCGAGAAGACATTCATGGGTTTGACAAAGAAGCGTTTCAATGAGCGCGTTCAACCCAGTATCCAAGTCCCAACCATGTGCGGAAACATGTACACTGCCAGTGTTTATGGTGGCTTGGTCAGTTTGTTGAGCAACGTTGACAGCGCTACTCTTCAAGGAAAAAGAATTGGTGTTTTCAGTTACGGAAGTGGTTTAGCCGCAAGTTTGTTCTCCTTGAAGATCAACGGCTCTACCGAGACCATGGCAAACGCTTTGAACCTACAGGAAAGACTTGAGGCTCGCCGAACCGTCGCTCCAGAGGTTTACGAAGAGGTATGAATGATACTGTGAGAAGGAACTCTTGGATCTTGTGCTAACATAGAACAGTTCTGCAATCTCCGCAAGCAAGCCCATCTCCAAAAGTCATACACCCCACAAGGCAGCCCAGATACCATCGCTAAGGACACTTACTATCTCAAGAGTGTTGATGATATGTTCCGCCGAGAATACGAGATCAAGGCATAACTTCTCAAAATCAATTTTAATTTGACTGCGAATCTTCTTTGCATGTTAGCTGCCATAGATTGATTGGGATGGCTTTCTTCTTCTTCAAATTGCGTGTCCACGGTTATCCTATATAGAGCGCGATATTTGCTTGCATTTACTCTTTACGTCTAAAGTGACGGAGAGTACGGTAGATAAAGGTGCTGGAAAGTGGGAGGGGATGGAAATTTAAATGCATGGGATGATTTCAACGAAATAGGAATTTTAATACTTTTGATACTGATGAAGGATTGTGGAGAACGAAGCGGGAATGAAGCATTGTATGAGCGTGGTTGAATGATCTCGGGCCTTGTCTTACACATAGATAGACAGCGCAATGATAGATGAGGATGATAATTTTGAATTTTGGTTCAGATATCAATACACTCGATTTGTTCCTTTCTGGTGATGCACTGCTGATTATGATGATCTATGATATGTCGAGAGGCTAGTGATCAAAATGCTTTATTTTCTTGGTCGTTTATTGATTAATTCTATCCGTTATTTCATCTCTCATCTAATCCTAAATCTTCACGTCACAACCTCGCTCTCTCAGTCCCTCCCCCATTCACATCCTCATTTCCATCCCCATCCATCTTCTTGCCCAATGAAACCAAAAGCCTCGCTCTCTTTCTCATCCTCTTCAGCACAACCTCATCACTCTCCTCCCACAACCCTTTCACATCAACCTCCGTCTCCTTTACACTGTCCGCGCTAATCTTCACTCCATTCGTCGTTATCTCTCTTTTCTTCTCTCCTTTCTCCACCCCTTGCACCCCACCAACTTCTCCACAAAACCTCGCCCAACTCTCAAAACACCTCTTCGTACCTCTCAAATGCGGTAACAAAAGCGCGAAACAATGCGGCATGTACTCATATTCCTCCCATCTAACGCTTAACCCCACGTTCGCCATCCTAGCTGCCAGTATTTTACTCTCATCGGCTAGTTGCTCGGTTCCGATTTGAAAGAGGATGGGTGGACTTCCTTTCCATGCTGAGGCTCCGGCAGATAATGGAGATACGAGGGGATGGATGAGGAATGTATCTTCGCAGTAGATGTTTGAGCGTGGGGAAGGGGTAGGCCAGAGAGGGCAGTTGGGATAGGGGATGGAATGAGGAGCGGGGAAAATGGAGGGCGGAGGTATGTAATCATATGCTTTATTTGTTTCTAACGAGGGACAAGAACAAAGGAGATCTGTCCAAGGGGAATGCAACGATAGGCCTGCTGGAAGTTGTATGAGATGCGATTCGCCGTTCCAAGTTATTGGTTGGGATGTTCTGTTCAAATGCAGGAGAACGAGTAAAAGTGATAATGAAAGATTTCCTCCGGCGCTATCACCAGATATGATGATATTTTCTGGAGAGACAGCAGCATGTAATGAACCTGCTGGTGGAAATAGTAGATTTAGATACGCAACCAAACAATCTAGTAGAGCAGCTGGAAAAGGATTTTGCGGTGCAAGTCGATACCGAAGGGAAAGTACCCGTCCTCCTGTTAATTCAGCCAGTTTCTTGAGTTGTTGACGATAACTGGCTGGATCCAGAAGCCAATGTGCGCCACCGTGTATATGGATAATTGTCACGGGAGAAGTAACTTCTTTCATCATTTCAGCATATTGTTGGGCTTCTGATATCCGCAATCTGGGAGCATTTTTGGGGCAAAAGGCGCGATAACCTGTCCATTCGCCTTCTACGGGCAGTAACTCCGGTTCTATAAAACCACCGGCATGTTGCGAGTCCCCTGGATCTTTCATCTCCTCTATTACTTGAAAAAGCTTTTGACGCACATCGTCTTCCGATGGGACTGGTAATGTGACTTTAGAGATCCAAATCCTACCCTTGATACCAGGGTCATGCAGCATAGCGGCTTGGGTTCGGGAGATGGGGCTCAGGGTGCCATATGTGAAGGACCGGAGGATATTGACTGTGAGTTCGGTTTTGAGGTCCCAATGTGTTGAATTGTGGGAGAGACCAAGGGTATGTGATAAGAGAGTCTTGCCTATCATGGGCATCTTGGGAAGTATGACTTTTGCGAGGGAAAGGGAGGGGAAGTTATCCATGGTTGATAGATGTGTGGATTAAGAATCAGGTGTCGAGTTTGAGATATATGGGTATGTATTGATGTATTGGTGAAGACACCAGGGTAAATTGTGAGTAGCGAGACTGAAGGCGCAATAGATTGACCAACAATTCAACAATCTCTTTGTTTCCAAGATCGTGTACAAACAATCCGATAAGAGATTACTATAAATTCAACTTGAATTCGGCACAAATCTATATATATAAAACATAATTAACTCAGTATAGCAAACAAGATGTATTAAATTGCTAGACGCCACTCAGTCGACTAACCATGCACATGTGAAGCTAATCAACCTCGGCTGGTACAATGTCACGTTCTAGAGCAAATTCAAAGTGGCACATTGACTCTGAATTGTGAATAGCTAGGAAATGGAATAGACAATGAGCGGTCTCGTCTCATACACTTAAATCGTTGCCTTGGATGCTCAAGTTTCAATCTGGAGAAGGATTCTGGTCAAGCAAAATGATTCACTTATGTTGGTGTTATTCAAAGCAGTCATCGGATCATGCAGTCTAGCTTGAAGAATCGTTCGAAAACTATTGAGAATAAATTCATTGTCTCTTTCCCAACCATGGACTTTTCAATTTACATCCCAAAGCGTTCCAGATTGATGAACTTTTGCCACAACCAGATTGACATTCCTGCCCTCAACTAAATACGAGACTCCCTCTTGACATTGCAGGTTTAATACAAACAGCTGTGCTCCATTAGATTATATTGTCAATATTCCGACGCTACATATTCCAAATCTCTATCTCCAGTCATTAACACCCTAACACGCCGTTCCATGCAATTTCACTGACTCCAAAATATGCCAATATAGGATCTATACCTGAGCTGGTCCGCTTGTCTCCGGTGTACCATTTGTAGTGGTAGTAGTAGGAATAGCGCTAGTGCTCTTGTTGGCAGCTGCCATTTGCCAAGCTGGAATCTTTGCTCCTCCTGCTGGCGCACCAGTAGTGAAGCTGAACGGAGTGGCATTTCGACCTTGGACAGATGCTACGGCCTCGGTACCTGAGCTAGTACTGACTGATGCTGGTCTAGGAGTGATGTTTTCAGTTGGGGAATCTTCGGCAGGAGTTGGATTGCTGGAAGGGGTAGTTGCGCTGATTGGAGAAGGAGCCGAGGGTAAAGCTGCACTCTGAGCTCTGTTGTATGGATTCATGGTCGAAGACGGATTCATTCTTTGACCCATCAAGGTCTTCAAACTCTTCAGTTCAACGGCCAATTCTTTTAACCTGGTATCTGTCACCTCCTTTTGTCCTTCCATAGCTTTGGGTATTAAATCCTTGAGCCCCCTGACTTCGTCGCCCATGCGTCGAGATTCGTCATCCCTTCTTCGGCTCGCAGATTTTAACTCGTTAATAACTGTTTCGACTTCGGTTAACGCTATATCTAATCGTTCCGTTCGTTCTTGCTCAGATGTCTTGAGGGTTTCGGTATCTTTTGCTAACTGATCAAGAAGAGAAAATGCCTTTTCAAAGGAATCGTCAATCTCCTTTTTATCTTGTTCGAGTTGCGGAGGTGTAGGAGGAGCAATTATTGGATAGATATAACGCTGTATACGTTAGCAAAGCTGATACCTTCAAAGAATCCAGAGACTTTTACCTTAGCTAGGAAATATGCCCCGTATCCTATGCCACCTGTCACTGTAGCCATGATAAACCAATCTCTCCAGTCCCGTTTCGGTACTTCCGGTGGCGGAAGCTGTTGCCATGGGTATTGTTGATATCCTCCATATGCAGGTGGAGGCTGTCTTACTACTTGCTGTTGTGGCGGATAATTCGAATAGTTTTGTGGTGCTGGTGATTGTTCGCCGCTGGCTCTCCCTAATGCCGCATCTACTTCCTCCTGTGTAAGGTTCTTGGATTGTAAAAACGCGATTCGATTCTCTAAGGGTGATGCAGAGACACTTGGGTCCTGGAGAACTGTTGAAATATTAGAAATGATGAAGCCATCTTCACTAAAACGTTCTTACATGTAACCTAGCTACGTATTAGTATTCGAATTTGTGAGGGAGTTGGAATGACTTACGGCAGATGCCACGAGATCCTCACGAATCGCCATGATGAAGAACAGATGAAATGAAGAAAAGGGTTGAACTTGCTCTCACCGTCAAACAAATACAGAGTTGTGAAATCCGGGGAATTTGTACATATCCACACGCTAGAATAAGAATGGCCGGAACCGAGGTATCGCGAGCTTTGTTCCCGTCATCTTACTTGACCTAGCACGTGACTGGGTTGTCTAATTTTGGCCCTAAACTAGATCGGATTGTTTACTTTCCCTCTAGCGTTGGCCATTCGATAACAACCAAATTCAGAAGTTTTGTTGTGGTGACGTCTGGATGTCAAGTGTAAATAAAAACTTCGCATAAACAGCATTTTCAAATTATTCAATACAATAATATCTTTCACATAGAGAGAACCCCAGGGCATTCATTTCATAGAGGGAAGCCTCACTCTGGAGGATAAATTATTGAAAATGTCGCAAGACACAGGTCTTTTCTCCGTGCGCCGACCCAGAGAGGTAAGGATCCTTATAACCCCCCTCATTCAAATGTTTAATTTTGAAGTTGCTCATTCAGTATAGACACTGGGAAGTATCAATTATAATTCGAGTTTACCACAACCAGCTTCCGCCATGAAGCGATCGAATTCAATCGGTGGTTATAATAACGCACCTTTTACCACCAGCCATGTTCGCAGTGGAGCCAGACAATCTCTCGCACCTTCGCGGCCAAATCAGCCTTTATTCTCACGATCTTCCTCGGGCACAAATTTGGCAGATATTGGAACTTCGTCGGTCAAAAGGACTTCAGTCCAGAATAGCAGTGGCCGGAAAAGCTATGCACCACCTCAAATGGGCCGCGCATCTGCAGAAGGAGCAGAACGTCGAAGCAGTGTTTATCGATCCAGAAGTTCAACAAGTGGACCGATGGGACATCAGAGTTTCTTTCAAACTGGACCTCAACCAGCTGGAGTACCGAAAGACCCACGTCCATTGAGAGATCGAGCTTATCAGGGAAAGATTGGACAGGAATTGTTGGAGTACATGGCCAACAACAATTACGATATAGAAATGAATCATAACGTATCGGCCAATACTTTGAAATCGCCAACTCAAAAGGACTTTGTCTTTATGTTTCAGTGGCTTTACCACAGAATTGATCCAAGTTATCGATTCCAAAAGGCTATCGATCAGGAGGTACCTCCAATCATGGCTCAGTTACGTTATCCATACCAGAAAAGCATAACGAAATCTGCATTATCGGCCGTTGGAGGCGCAAATTCGTGGCCACTCTTTCTTGGATTATTACATTGGATGATGCAACTGGCTCAGATGTTGGATGGATATGCAACCGACCGATATGATGAGGCATGCGCAGAAGCAGGTGTTGATGTGAGTGGAGATCGCATCATTTTTAACTTTCTCAGCAGTGCGTATCGAGATTGGCTTTCCATGGATGAAGACGCTGGAGACGATGATCAGGACCAAGTTCTTGCACCACATATTCAGGCTATGGCACAGGAATTCAACAGGGGGAATTCAAAATATCTCGATGAAATGCGTGTTCTTGAAGGAGAGCACGAACGACTACAAAAGGAGATCGAGATACTCGAAAAGACAGGCTCGGATATTGCTACTTTGGACAGAAACTTTAAAACCATGGAAGATGACAAAGTGAAATTCGAAGAATTCGACAATCTCATGCATCAAAAGTCTGAGAAATACGAATCTCGTATCCAATTCTTGCAAGAGGAGCTCGACAAAGTTTTGCAGGAACTTAAAGAAGCATCTGATGAGCGATCAAGGTTACAAGAGGAAATAGATAGCAGAGGAATGAGTATGCAAGACATCGATCGCCTGAATTCTGAAATGGAACGACTTCAAAAGGGACATGAAGCTTCGCAACAACGATTGGAGGAAGCGAGGAGAAAAGTTGCCGAAAAGGAGCTGGAAGCGAGTCGCAAATTGGAAGAGTTGGAGCGCGTCGTGGAAAAATATAATAGTCTGGGATATCAAATAGGACTCATTCCATCCACGGCCATTAACGCCAAAGGGAAGAACTACGAGCTCAAGGTTGTTGTCAACGAAGGGCCTAATTTCTCGGCATCGCAGATGGCAAGTTCTCATTCTGGCGGGAGAGATGGCGATAGACTTCTTGCCGATCCTACAACAGGTTATCAACCAGCTCATATATTAAATCTGGATCTTCGAGGTCATGTGAAGAACAGTTTCATTAGCCTCCGAAAAGAAATATCAGAACGAAGAACCCTTGCAGTCGAGGAGATGGAGAAACACAACGATTTGCTCGACAATATCAAAGAAGCTATTGACGATAAGAGGAGCGAGGTTGAGGCTTTGGAGCACCGCGTCAGAGCTGCAGAAGAAGAGTATGAAAAGACCAAGGAGGTAAGCACCCTAATCTTCATCGAGAATTGACAGGAGCTAATGCACAAATAGGTCACCACAACCCAAAAACTGGCATCTGATGCACAAATTGAGAAGATGGAGAAAGAGCTAGCTAAAATGCGAGCTGGTCTTACGGAGTCTGTGCAACTCATGGAGCAACGAGAAATGAATACAAACATTGAGTCAGTAATCCCGAGATAGTTTCAAACAGCACCACACTGACATAGTCTAGGTATGAACAATTAACTCTCCGAGCCAACACTCTCCGCGAGGAACTGCATACGGAAATTGAAAAGATGTTAAACGACATTATCAAGTTTAAGGTCCATATTCAGAAGAACCTTGAAGATTATGAGGGATTCGTTGTAGATGAGGTTGAGCATGAGCTCGGGGGTGATGATGAAATCCGAGACGATACCCAAGATATTGAAATGAGTGGATGAATTCCTTTTTTTATAGCCTTGTTCCTTGATGGTTGTTTGTTGGAGTAAATGTCAGAGTTCTTGTGTGTTCGGGGGTCCTCTGGTTGATACGGAAAGGGATTGACAAGCAAGGAGTTATCCGCGTCTTGGATGAATGGTCTGGCGTTGTGGGTTTACCTTAGTTGACTCTGTTTGGGAGTCCTTTGTCGGTCGAGTGATGACACTGATGCAGTTATGAGAAATATTCCGGATCCAAGATTTCTTGATATTGATTGAAAACTCATGTTCATAGCTTACTGCATACACACTAACATGTGTGAGGGTTAACGAGGTATACATGTGTGAATGTGAATGCAGTGTAACTGCGGTACGGCACTGTACTTTGCGGAATGATCGCGGAAGTAGGCGAAGACGATGAAAGGAATAATCAAATGATGAAGGGAGTGAATGGTAATAAATCTGTTGAGAAAGACTTGCATGGAGAGAACAGCAAGAGGAACAAATAAGGGATATGGATCATTTGGTATGGTATGGTATGGAATAGTGAATGGGTTTGTTGTACTCTATCTACATAATTTTCCATACATGGCGGATGGTAATGATGGGATCTATGACACCAATGTTCTTTCGAATAATAAATAAATGAATCAATAAATATTAAACAATAATAAAGGTTAATGATTAATGATTTGGCCTATCGCATATTCACCGAGTGATAACATGGTTCTTTGGATGCTTGAAGATCTACCTACCTACTTTTATTAAAGTAAGTCTTACATCGGAAAGCAGGTACATGAGGCCAGGAGTTGGCTGAAGCGTTGAGAATTGAGGACATACGGATGGCTCTGGTTGTATCATAGCAAAAGCGTAGGTCTGTCTGTAGTATACGTATGATCTTCATGTGATAATACAAATTTCAATAGTGGAATGTGCTTATTAATCAATTCATTCTATCCCGCTTTTTACTCATCCACTTCCTTTCCCACCTTGTTAGTTTCACCCTGGCAGTTTTATTCATCCCACTCCCTCCCATAATAAATAATTGTACAGTCTGTCAGCCAGCCGGCCAGTCAGTCAGTCAGTCATTCACTCCCTCATCAGTCCCTCAGCAGTAGTACTACGGAAGATTCCTCATACTTTGATTATTTATTTACTAGCTTCCTTCCCAAGGTCCGTCCCCCCTTCCTTCAGTTCCCTCCAATAATCTGAACCTAACCTCGTTTTTCCTTAACCCCATCCATTCATCCATCCATCATCTATCAAATCTTCCACTTCTCATTCATCATCCACCTTTTTTATCCCCACTTTCTTGCGCACAACCAGTCAGTACCTGAGGTTAAGGTAGCTTGCAGCAAGCATTGATCAATTTACATTTGATTGCATTTCGCGTTCTACTTACTGCTTTTCAAGATAATCCCAAATCAAAAAGGGTATTGTCTTCAATTTGCGATCGCGACGACGGTGTTGGCCTCTCGATCTAAAAAACAAAACAAACAAAACAAAAACAAAAACAAAAACAAAGCTCCCGCTTTCCCCGAGCCAAAAGTTTAAACAGAAAGTTTTCAACTATTGGCAGCATTTTACTACCACATCAACAAACTCCTTCAACTTTATCAACACCAGTTCCATCAAAATGACCGAGGTTTCCTCCACCAGACTTTATCTGGGAAATCTCCCCCGTAATGGTAAGCTGAATCAAGATCCCAATTGATATGCGACGGCAGAACTGCGAACTGCGACACTCGAACAATTTTGTTTACTAACAAATTTAAATAGCCACCAAAGCTGATGTTGAAGCTCATTTCAACACTCATGGCACAGGCGAGATCACCGAGATCAAACTCATGAATGGCTTCGGATTTATTGAATACAAGGATGCAATGGATGCGCGCGACGTCGTTCCTGGTAAGGATTCAACAACAGCAACAAAAAAAATATCATCTCGAGGGTGAATGCAGTTAACATATTTTCTTCACAGCCTTCCACGGTTCCGACTTCATGGGCGAACGCTTGACGGTACAATTCGCCCGCGGTACTCGTAATAGAGATACCTTTGCCAATCCTGAGCGAACTGCTCCTCGTCCCAGACGTACCCCTCATCGAATGCAAATCTCTGGACTTCCAGGTGAGACCAGCTGGCAGGTCTGTTTACCCCGTTCCTTCACCCGGACTCATGGATATCAATTATTGCTGCTATTTGGACTACATACCACATAATTTTTGGACGCCTTCCTTCTATACAGGCCTTCACTGGCCAAGTTACCATTGTAATACTGGTCAGTGGCGCGCGGTTATGGAATTTGCATTTTCATACCATAACAACATGCTAGTGCATTTGCGCGCGCGGCCGGGATATTATGGACTCATACACATTGATCGCGATTCGCCTTTTTTATCATGTCTCGACTTCCTTTCTGCTATTATTGCTTGCTCTTGCCCTTGCATATCCGGAATAGTGGTCATACTGCGCTGGAAAGATGGCCAACCTCTGGAAGGTGGATCAACTACCTTTGAAAGGATATATTCCTGGCTACTAATTCAAGCGCAACATCCATCCCTTGGCATTTGCAAAGCCCAACAGTCCAGGACAACAACTTACGTGGATATCTGGATATAGGATCTTAAAGACTTCGCTCGTCAATCTAGCCTTGACGTCGTTTACTCGGAGACTGGTCGTGACCGTGATGGCAAAGGGTAAGTGACGCCTGTGTCGTTTAAATTGGATAACCACTAATTTTTGACAAAATAGAAGTTTCGTCGAGTTCGAAACGGCTGCAGATTTAAAGACTGCAGTCGAGAAGCTTGACGGCCGTGAATTTAAAGGCGCCCGAGTCACTTGCACTGCTGATGTAAGATCTATTTCGTACATTAATTCGCGGATCTACGTACATTGCTCACTTTTGAATACCCTCTTGATGAGATGCTAATGAGATGAAACAGACCCAGCCTGATCTCCCACGCGACCGTGCCAGATCTCGCTCGCCAATTCCTCGCGGACGACCTTACCCCATTGATGATTATGATCGACGTGGTCCACCTCGAGGTTATAGTCCTCGTCGTGATGCCTACCGCGATCGAAGCCCCCCTCGTCGTGGCTATTATGATGATGATCGTGGTCGTTATGGACGTTCTCCACCACCTAGACCTCGTGGCCCAATCGATGATTACCCACCACCACGTCGTAGTGGTTTTGATGATCCTTACCGTCGTGATTACCCTCCAGCCGACCCATATGTTAATGGGCATGGTAGACCACCATATGATCGTCCTCCTCCGAGAGATTACCCACCAAGAGATGCTGGATATGCTGATGACGGATACCGTCGTGGCCGCTACTGGTAAATCATCCTTTCCAAATAGGTTGCTCAGTAACCATTTGGATTCTGCTCACATAACATAGATTTCTAATGACAACCGGGTGGGATATGAAATGTTTTTCTATTGATGATTCACGGTGGACGGGCCAAGGGGCGTTTTTCGGTAACGTCTTCAGGTCGTTCACGGAGGTTATGATGTGAATACACGGATTTCGCTAGTTGGCTCTTTTCAGTCTTGTTACTTTTTCTTTGCTCAATCAAAAGCATACCCGGGGATCATTTTCTTATCATTTGTACATGAGAACATGCTTTCTCTGTAGGGGTGGACGTAACTCTAAGTTATGAATTTCACCTTACGACCTGTAATCATAGAAATCAATGGCTATTTTATTTGCGAACTAGATATGTCTGTGACTTTCTTGCCTGGTGGTTTGTATTCTTACATTATAAGTTTTGATTGCCCTGTGATACTACCATCATGATGTGTTACTAAACGCGTAACTTGATCAAGCTATAGAGTGGGAGTTTTGAAGTGTATCTATTGCTATCTAGTTACATAGGACAAGGGGAATCGGAGGAAAGTCCAGCCGACCGAGGCTTGAGCTTTTTCCGAAAGGTGTAGGATGAATACAGTCAATCCTTCCTCACTTCATTAACTGCAACGTCCAGTAGCCCATCACCTGAGAACCATTTCGAAAATCCGACGCTGTCCCGCTTTAAATGGACTTCGGGCCATGGGAAATGCCATCTCCATGATATCACCATATTTAACTCCGTCGATAAGAGGATAAGACCCTTGCGTTGACGGTATGTACGTACAATACAGTGCTAGAAACGCAAATGCTTTCAGCCTATTCAGAGTAAGACCGTGGAGATTCATTAGCCATCTATTTCTCATTTCTCATCTCTATTTACATCTCAATCTTCACTTTTCATTCTTCATTCCTTTTGTCTCCTCCCCCTCCCCCACCCTCCCTTCGGACAAATGCGCTTCTCATATCTCCGCTCTCTCCTTCGGCATCCATTACGCCAAACATCCTCGTCTTCCTCCTTCAATCCCAATCCGAAAAATACAATAAGAGCTATGTCAGGTTCTCTAATCGGCGCAACCTTATACGCCGCCACCATGAGCAGTCCAACTGCTCTCGGCGCCGTACCAGAAAATTCAAAAGCAAAAGCGCATCATCTAAAAAATGGAAAAGGATTTACGAATCCGTGGGATTCTTGGGTGGAGATGAGTGCACCGGGCATCGGTTTGGCAATGTTACGGTGAGTGGGGGCTTCGAGGTTTGCATATACATGTTCCAAGGGTTATGGGAATATTGTGAATGTGATTGCGGACAAGTATTGGCTCAATGGGATTCATTGGGGAGCGGATGGATCGCCCGGTGGTGGAAGATGGAGGGAGGAATCTTCCATGCTAATGTTTCCATTGTTTTCATGTGAATGTTATGTTTTTGATATCTCATTTTCAGATATTTCGCTTCCACGTCAGTGGCCCTTGGACAGCCACTGAAGCATCATGGTATGCACATGAACACATATAGTTTCAGTTGAATATGTCGGGGAGCTATTTATTGACTCAAATACTTCAATAACTACTACTAACTCGGTGACCTCTCCATAGGGCGAAACTAACCGGCGAATTTGGGAACCCGGACACAACTCCCCCAACTGTGCCCGTCGTGCAACCGACCTTCCTGCCTACTCGTACTACGTCTTCTCTTCGCGCAACTTGGCTCGGACACGCCTGCTACTATATTGAATTTCCCTCTGGTTTACGGGTACTCTTCGATCCCGTCTTTGAAGAACGCTGCTCACCATTCTCGTTTATGGGTCCCAAACGCTACACACCTATCCCTTGCAAATTATCTGAGATTCCAGTTGTCGATTTCGTGGTTATAAGTCATAGTCATTATGATCACTTGAGCCATCCGACGGTTATGGAAATACAAAAAAATCATCCGAATGCGCAGTTCGTTGTAGGATTGGGGCTTAAGAAATGGTTTGAGGAGTGTGGGATTAAAAATTGTGTGGAGATGGATTGGTGGGAGGATATTGATGTTACTTTATCCCCTATCACAGGGGAAAAGCGCATATCCACTTCCTCAAAAACTTCTTCAAAAAGCTCTCCACCACCCTCCCCTCCTTCTTCCTCAACGACATCCACATCCCCAATAACAGCCCGCATAAGCTGTCTTCCCTCCCAACATACGTCAGCACGCACAGCCTTCGACAAAGGCCACACACTCTGGTGTTCGTGGGCCGTCTCCTCTGGCTCTGGTGACAACTCAAAATCTGTGTGGTTTGGCGGTGATACTGGGTATCGAGCAGTTCCGCAGGTCCCCAAGGGTACTGATGATTACGGTCCTGAGTATCAACATTTACCGACTTGTCCTGCTTTTCAAGAGATCGGGGAGTTGAGAGGTCCATTTGATTTGGGGCTTATTCCTATTGGTGCTTATGGTATGTGACTGCTTTTCCATCTCACCCTCCCAATTTCGTCTCCCAAACCTCAAACTAAACTCAACTTTGATAAAGAACCCCGCCATATTTTCTCTCCCATGCACGCTAACCCCTTCGATTCCGTAAACATATTCCTCGACACCCAATGTCGTCGTGCCATGGGTATCCACTGGGGTACTTGGGTCCTGACACCGGAAGCCGTCATGGAACCGCCTCAATTATTAAAGAAAGCTTTAGCATGGAAGAAGTTACCTGAAACTGGTATTTTTGACATTTGTGATATTGGAGAAAGTAGGGAGTTTTAGGATGTCATTTGAACTGATTTACTTATTTTATCTTATTTGATACACATTTTCATCCCGTTGGATGTAAATCTTTAAGTTAGTACCGGAATACTGGGATAGAATAGAATAATATCTGCACAAGTGTTTGTGTTTTGTGGTCAAATTAAAGTAAGATGAATCGTCCACACCAACAGTTGGGAAGCCGCATACTGCGGGATGTCCGGTTTTTTTTTTTGGAAATGTTGACGCGCTTGATACTTGAGTATGATTTTATGACTTGAACCAGTTTAATCAATTGGTCATCCGTTTATACAGATATATATGTAAATATATATACCTATATATATATATATACCTCTCTCTCTCTCTCTCTTTTCTTAATTGGCTTCTCATCAAATATATGTGGTGCTTTTGCTTTGAATTATTAGTCAAGCTTTCCAAAAACCCGGGGCCGAAGCTTTTATTTCTAAGCAGCTCACTAATTGATGACTTGTAAGTAAACTAACTAACTTACTTACTCCGCATGAGATTGATAAACATTCAATATATACCCAGGTAATTGTTTATATCTACTTTGTTGGGATATAACTTCTTTCCTTCTCTTCTCCTTCCTCATGTTTAAACCATCTTTGAATAGGTTATTCCAGACATCTAAACACTTTATTACTTTAAATACATCTCGAGCAATGTCTTCATCAAATAGACCTTCAGGATTAATCGCCAAGTCTGGCATCGAAATTCTCACGGCGGGTACTCCAAATGGTCACAAAGCAACAATCCTTCTCGAGGAGCTCAAGGAAGCTTACGGAAAGGATTATGTCTATCAACCTATCAACATTGGAGAGAACATCCAAAAAGAACCATGGTTTACCAAGGTTTGTCCCAACGGTCGTATTCCTGCCATTGTGGATCATGACCGAAATGATTTTGCCGTTTTCGAAACTGCAGCTATCTTGACTTATATGACCCGTCATTACGATCCCGAACATAAATTCAGTTTTACCGATCCGGATGATATTAGTCGTGCTGAACAATGGATTGCATGGCAGTAAGTTGTCTTGAGAACTCTGCTTATATATGTATACATGGACTGATGCAAAATTTAGACATGGTGGTTTAGGTCCTATGCAGGGGCAGGTAAATCAAAAGGGACCGCCCTCTTTTACTGAATTCCATGCTAATAAACTCTAGTCAAACCATTTCTACAGGCTCGCCAAAGAACGCATACCATACCCAACCCAACGTTACGTCGGGGAAAGTGAGAGATTATATGGGATTCTCGACAGCCACTTGAAAGATCGTGAATACATCGTCGGTCCAGGAAAAGGCAAATACAGCATTGCCGATATCGCCAGTTTTGGCTGGGTCAACGTTTCCTACTTTGCAGGTGTTGATCTCGCCAAATTTCCCAGCTTAGAGAAATGGTGGGAGCGAATTAATGCTAGACCGGCTGTGAAGAAGGGAACGGCTATTCCGAGTGAGAGTAAATTTGGCAATGAGACTTATCAGCGTAGACTTAAGGAAGAGCCGGAATTCAAGGAGAGTGAGGATAAGTTAACGGATTTAGCTAATAAGGCGAAGGAGCAGTATGGTTATAAATATGCATCTCCATGATCTAATTCGCGCCTTTAGAAATCAGCTAGATGTAAGATATACGTTGGAGTGTCGTTGTATCTAATGCGACTTTGATTTGAGCACTCGTTTTTGGAGATACTAGCAGCCAACAAAATGCGAAAGGTTATCAAACCATCTTTCTTTGAGAAACGTGATCTACTCCAACTATATTCTCCACAGCACAGTGCCAAGTGGGTCACAAAGTCAGATATGCAACCTTTATTCTCGAGCAGATGCTCTGCGTGACCCTATCTCTAGTTCATTAGTTGCGTCGCCACACTTTTGTGGTATTCATTCCCCCGCAGTGTGATATATTTATTATCTAGATACATAGTGGACAGATCCATTCCTGGACTCAAAATGACAATATGTTAACCTAATCAGAGACCAGCAAAGTAAAGTAAAGATCTATTGTGATTTGGGAAGTTTTGATGGTTTGTGGTCCCGCAGCTAGCTTCTAAGTAGTGATAGATGGGTACTTACTCCCTTGCTTACCTACTCAAGTAGAGAATTCTGGTGAATGCATCAATGAGATTCTCTTTACCCTCGGTAAGGGTAACTTTGATTACATAAATATCTGTCTGTGCACCAGGGGAATCTGATCAAACAATCGTCGTGATCTTCAATTCTCAACATCGCAAATATATCCAACGCATCAATCCATCTATATCAGTGACATTTCCTACGTTGTGAGGGTAGAGATATCCGAAGTCGGCTGCCATTTTCGTGGATAATCCCTAGGGATATTTCGATATGTTGTGTTTGAGCCCTTGTGGTAGAAGAGGAGAGGCACATGGCTATAGTTACATGAATCTTCCCACGTACTTACTAGCTACCCCACCCCCTCATCTCTCATCATCCAATCAACAGAATATACTATACACATTTTGTATTTCTATCTATCTCATCCTGTTATCCTCATCCTACTTCTGCATTCTCCTTTTGCTCATGGCTCTTGCTCCTTCAATCCGCCCTCAACGTTAACTTGAGTATCAGCGGCTAAAACATGATTCGAGTAAGCCTTACCACCCCCACAATGTCAGAATCCCCCGCACTACACAAGCTGGTGGTCCCGATGAGTACCACAGGGGAGCTTATGTACACATGGAGATCGGCTGGTCATTCTTTCATTAGAAATCTTTAGACTTATCTAGACTCGACACTTCATTTGATCGAATCCTTCGTTCTTTATGTCGGTTCGTGCAGCATCCGGCATAAATCTGATCACCCGCCAACGTACTCTTCTTCACGATCGCCTATTCCTGGACACTTTACGTCTACATAGATGTATGCGCCAAAATTAGACAACTTGGATTCGGGCCTAGTTTCTCTTACGTGGAATGCTTGAGTCGAATGAAATGTATCAATATAGAAGTGTAGCTACATGTACGATAAAAGGATTACGTTAAGTGCTACTTTCGCTGTTCAGTATGATAATCAAAAAGTTTTGGATGCATGCGCTGCACTTCAAGTATAGCTGGTGGCATATATGCATATATACTCAAGGCGGTAACCTTTTGAGGCGTCCGTTAGACATAAACTTAAGAACATACATATTATCCAGACACTTCTCAATTAGTTGTATGGGTTTGAGGTTGTGTTGAACTTTCAACGGGTTTGTCCTCATAGTTCTCATCTGATTGTCGAGACAAACGCAAATCGTCGCGTACGTCGTCATTCACATATAGTATATATCACCCATTCACATGTGTATGTGTCCAATCTCCTAGCAGGTGATCTCCCTATCCACTGTCTCTGGAGCCTTAAGTCTTCAACTCTGTTTCCACTGGAAACACTCCTCAGATACATCTAATTATTCTATACTTCAATTCTAATCTCTTACACATTGAATCACTTTCCTCGTACTTCACAATACTGTTCATTGTCTCCTTGAACGGTCAAACTAGATCTTCACACTTCCTCAATCATTCAAAATGTCATTCTGGCTTGGAGTTTTGGCCTGCTACTTTATTGTGATTGCACTCTCCTCGCCAATCCATGATGAAAAAAAGGCACAGCCTAGATCTGTCGTAGATCTAGGATATGCTCAATATCAAGGTACCTTGCTAAGTTCAGGAATTACTCAATACCTTGGAATGCGATATGCATCTCCTCCTCTTGGCGATTTGAGATTTCGCGCACCTCAACCGCCACAAAGAACAACTAGTGTTCAGAATGCACAAACGGTACATGGTTTCTCGCATGCAAAAGTTTATATTCACTAATATTCTCCCCTAGTTTGGACCGATCTGCCTCGCTACTAGCAATGGTCCCACCTCCTCACAATCAGAGGATTGTCTTTACGTCAATGTATGGGCACCCAGCACTGCTACTTCGTCTTCCAAACTTCCAGTTTGGGTATTCATACAAGGGGGTGGGTATATCTCCAACTCCAATGCCAATTTCAATGGCTCAACAGTAGTCAATACATCGAATCATGGTATCGTCTTTGTCAATTTTAATTACAGGGTCGGGCCATTTGGATTTTTGACAAGCGAAAAAGTGAGAGGCGATGGTGATCTAAATGCAGGACTTCTTGATCAACGTTTCCTGCTACACTGGGTTAAAGATAACATTGCTCAGGTAGATATGGATTATCTCATTCCTTGCAAATTTACTAAAGAGATATAGTTTGGCGGTGATCCAAATCACGTGGTCATTCATGGAGATTCTGCTGGCGCTGGTTCGGTCGCCCTTCATCTTACTGCATAGTAAGTCCAAACGGCCTGATATGCTCTTTTATTGACTCTAGAGATAGTGGAGGTAGAAACGATAATCTCTTCATCGGCGCAATCGGCGAATCTGTTTTCTTTCCCACACAACCTCAAGTATCAGGATTAGAATGGCAATTTGACCGTTATGCAAACTCAGCTGGTTGTGGATCAGCAGATGATGCTCTTGGATGTTTGAGAACTCAAAGTACAACGGTTCTTCAAGCTGCAAATGTCGCTTCTCCATATCCAGGACAAGTGGGCTCACCTCTTTTTTATTGGACACCAACTATTGATGGAGATTTTATACAGAACTATCCTTGTGTTCTGTTCCAAAAAGGGTTATTTGTGAATACACCAATTATGTTTGGACGTTGGTTACCCTATCTCCCCCTCTAAGTTCTACCGTTAACATTTACTTATTACTTCAACAGACACAACAGATGAAGGCTCCGTCTTCGCCTCCAATGCCGCCACCTCAAATGACGTTTCCATCTTCTTCGAAAACAACTATCCGCGTCTGACCCCAGCCGATGCATCCTCCATAAACGCCCAATACCCGCTGATGTCTCCTCTTGCAAACCACAACCCATATTTCCCTTCCGCCTCTGCCGCCTATGGCGAAACAACATTCATTTGCCCCGTCATAACCATCTCCATCTCCCTCGCTACCTTTAACGATCCAGCGCAGGTATGGGTCTACCGCTACAACGTGCAGGACAATAACAATATCGCCAATGGAATAGGTGTCCCGCACGTTTTCGAATTACCAGCAATCTTCGGCCCTGGAAATGCAAATGATGGGGATGGAGGAAGTTACAGGACATACAATGCGGATATTGTTCCAGTGGTAATGAAATACTGGATAAGTTTTATTAAATTTTTAAGTCCGAATCCCGGAAAGGATGCCAGTGCGCCGCATTGGGAAAGTATGGGAATGCCTTCAGCGGCGGGTGGGACGCTGAGGAGGTTGGTACTGCAGACAGGGGCGAGTGCAATGGAAGTTATTCCGGATGATCAGCTTGGGAGGTGTAATTTTTGGACGGGATTGGCGGAAAGGATGGAGCAGTAGTTTGAGCTTTGGCATGGAAAGGGGGAGAGAGGCTTTCCCTTTGTTTTATGAAGTAATGGGGTTAGGGTTTTCATAATTTGGGTTCCGTTCATTTATGTGCCCAGTGGTTAAGGTATTCGGTGGTTCAGGTATTCGGTGGTTTGTGATAGCCATCAGAGTCGTCATAATGACTTACCATCTTTATAATGTCCTCATAAATATGAATGAATGTTTTTACAGTGAGGTGTTACTGACAGAGTCATGCGTCCAATGTTTGAATTAGATATCCATCACAGTAATTCTATCATCAACCAAACGAGCTTCAATATCATTGATAGACACATGCTTACAATTACCTCTTTCAATGGATTACGCATACCATAGCTTGACTCCTAAGACGTCGGATTTAATTTCATTGCAGCTAGTGAGTTCTTGAAGCCCCAGAATATTCTCGTCTTTACATCGACAACTGCACCACAGAATAAGGGGGTGATTTTTCCCTAGTAACCCAACACTTTGCAAGACTCCCCCTCCCCATTCATATTAAAGCTGATCGCTTTTCCGTTGTAAATCTTACATGTCAGTTTTATATAGCATCCTGAACCTATTGAGAATTATAGTAACTCCTCTAATACCTCACCACTTCGAGACCCTAGCTTCTTTTGATTGATACTTCCAGCTTCCGTACTCTTCAGTGGCCTGGTCTATAATTCAAGCCATTCAGTCTCCTTTCAGCTATAATCTTGTTTTCCCTGCAAGCAGTTGAGATATCCAGTTTGACGGTCTTTATAGATGGAAGCATAGAGATAAACAATTACACCCCAGGTCCAAAGGTGGATTCGAGCGTGTAACTATTGGTCAAGGAAGATACATGAGTACCATCTTATGGTCACATTATCCATTAACTTCCATCAAAGTATAAACACTGTGCACGTAACCGTGTGCACACCATACCATCCTGGAAAATCGACAATGAGAGAGGAGCAAGGAGGGAAAGGGAGAAACGGAGCCCTACTTCCACGATATTCAATAAAATTTTCCAATTCTCCCTTCGGAACTGCGTCTTCTAATCGCTAAATTTCGCCCTCCTAGTACTCTCCTTCCTAGAACTAGTATTGATGCTTTTTATCCATCATCAGCATCTCATGTAGTACTAACTTAGGACTACAATCTCTCTCGCCAATAAAGCTTAAGTGAGCACTAACCCACGTTTCACATCCATGTACAGCTCGATTCGACATGATATCTCGACTAACCCAACACTTTTATATTCTCCAGCCATTTCAATCTAAGTTTTTAACACAGTCTAATACTCTCCAGGGGTCTTCTCGTATCGATCTCTCATCTACATAGGTACTACAAAATATTAACAAACCCATACACTTACAACCAATATGTAAATCTCCACTTGCCACTCTCCCAAATCTACAAAAATTCCCCCTATCATGCATCACACTGTATGGGACACCGGATGTATTGGTTAGTAGCCTACGAAAGCTAGTTTGTTAAGCAATAGCGGTTTTGTTCTTGGTGATCAGATTAGAGGTTTGTATGGGTGTTATCGAAGTAATGAAGTGTGTCCTTCCAAGCTTGCGAGGCAATAGAGATTCATTACCTTACATAGACTAGTATACCGTACAGTTAGGTACTCTTAGAGCTTCTAGTCTGTCAAGTATAAAGAGGTTATTAATGCCCATTCTGTATTCCCTATACGAGTGGGTGAACACAAATTTTCAATATTGTGCGAGAGAATGATGTTCATTGTTATTTAAACAGATCACTAACCACCTTTCTCAACATGATGTCAGCGATTTCAATTCTCAGAGCAGCTCCAAACATGCTAGGGAAATTGATTTAAGCTCCCACCATAAACATGGCCCTATTGTCCCCAGGAGCACGAATGGTGCGATCGGCAGTAACTTGACCATCAACTCTAACCACTCTACCAGTACTAATTTGGCCATCACTTACCACTGCCCATTCGCTAGCTTCTCTACCATAGATTGGTGCATATCCCACACCACGCTCCATTCTCAGTCCCTCATGATGATCCTTAAAGATGTCCTTAAGCCCACTCCAGACACGCTTTCTGAACGCCAATTTGACCCCTAGAAGCAAAGCAACATCATCTTAGTGAATATTCCCTGAAGATAAAACGACGTGGAAGCAGCGTGGAAACAGGCTAACATGGTTCGATCATTCGTTGACACCCTTTGTATCCTCGCCATCATTTTTCCAAGCTCACTGCGATATCCTCGACCTTCAGCTTCACAAACTTTTCACTTTTGTCATCGAGCTTAGTAAAAATTCTCTCAAGCTTACCATTGGTCGTTGAGCCTGCGTAGCTTGTCTGACTCAATGCGTTCGCCTGTATCATCCAAGCCGTGTGTCCCAACTTGACCAATTCTGGTCCAAAGTCTAGTAGCAACTCTTGGACTGTCTCATCTGTTGGCTCCTCCTTTGGTAATCCCGTGTTTTCTGGACCTCCAAATGTGGCACGATACTGTAAATTGAGAGTCAGTTGTGCTCGTAGCAAGAAGATTTCTTACAATGGCCGAGCCGTGAAAACATAGGGGATATGAAGAGGTGTAATACTCAGAAAAGAACTCACCCAGTCTTCCTGCCATTCTCCAATTGCCTTGAGTGCCTCCGGATGATTGACTCTGATGTTTTTTGCAATCATGTAAAAGCTACTTCTTGTAGCGTGTTTTTTGACAGGCTTGAAGACTTCAATGTCCGCAAATTTTGAAAACGTGTACAGCAAGAAAGCTGAGTGCCATGCATCAACCTTGTGCAGTAACATAACCAGAGTGCCTCCATTGTGTATTCGGTTCATCGCGAGGATTAGTTGCGAAGTTTGTAAGCGTACTGTTTCCTTATTAAGGTTGGCATCATAGATGTCCTTGATGCGATCGTGGGTACGAAGAGTCTTTCCATCCGCAAATACGAGATGATACTTGATAGACTTGAAGGGCCTAACATCACTAAATCTGGACCTGAAACACTCGGGAATATCTTTATCACTTGGGCAAAACTCTTTATACATTGTGATATCATGGAATCTGAGACCTTGGAGGCGATTTTTGTCGATGATAACAGTATGACCACCAGATTCAGGAGCCAAGGTGATGCCATATGCTTTAAATCCGCTACGATGGCTGAGAGCTGCTGCTGTATAGCCCCCGGGAGCCATACAAAGATCTAGTATATTGACTTGACCGTCTGGGACGAAGGGTATAGTAAAGATGTGATGAGACCTATGCATTTCGTCCCCGATCTGTTGCATCATCCTGTAAAAGCTGCGTTCCTCCTCAGGAGTAGTCGAATCAGCACGTTTCCGCTGCTGTCGGAAGTGCTCGTCGCCCTCTTCTTTGTTATCATGCCATCCCTATGTGCAGATATTAGTGATTCGCATGCGACTGTGAATTCAATAAGTGCCATAAGAACGGTAGAGGGAGATAAAAAAGACGTTCTTGCGAGAAGATCATGCGAATATGAAATAGATACGTCTCCTAAGGGCACTGAAATGACCTACCCGGCTCCTAAGTTCCACAACTCTTCTACATTCCTCATCTAACAAGATCAAATAAATCTTCAATATCTGTGTAGCTTGTGTGGCTTGTTTTCCCCTAGGGTCATCACGAATTCCCAATTCCGTTGATGCCTCTTCAAGAGTAAGATCGAAGAGCTCCTCTGCGAGATCTTTGATGCTTAAAATTTTACCATTATTCTTCAGCATCGCTAGTTTACTCTTGAAAATCTCGAGCTTCGCCGCAGGATTAGGACCATTGTTGGTTGAATAATTCATGACTGTAAAGCAATCGTTGATAGATGTCAACTATTGACTTGATTGTTGTTGTTGTTTTTGTTGTTTTTGTTGCCGGCAGGAAAAGAGAAAACTTCAAGAGATATGATCTTTTGAAAAAGGCTGGAAGATTAAAGGCTGGAAATAGAAAGAACAAGACAGCACTCAAGGTATCCGCTCCTCAACTGTAAAAAGTCAAGATCCCTGAATATCTTTCACTGTCAAAACGAATGACAAGGAAATGAATGTTTGAAGAGAGAAGAACATTCCGGAAAGTGAAGTGCTTATCCGAAGACTATGTCACTAGTGATAATTTGTTTATGATGAAGCTGGGGTAGAGAGAAATGATATAGAAAGAGAAGGGGAGGTGATTCTAGATGGAAGAAGGGAATACCGGAAAGTGGAAACTGTTGGGAATTATTCGAGACTCTTGGAGACTTCTAGACTTCTGGACATACAGTCAAAATCACCACACAATAAGATGTCATCAGTCCAAGTCCAGATGATGAAATGGAATATCAAGTGATAACTTGAAGGACTTTGTATTGTTTATCATGTCCTTGAGTCTGATGGAGATAAATGAAGGTGCTTCGTTCCCTTTCTTTAAGTTTACTTAACACCTGACAAATATGGAAGGCATGTATCGTATACTCATCATTGCTATTTTGAATGGCCAGCACCTTATCATCCATCACTCAACACTCAACACTCTTTTATTATTATTAGTACAAGACCTTGGTTCGTCAAGACCGCACTCTATTCATCCACAATATAAGACATGTAACCACAAGACACGTAACCGCAAAATTCAACAACACTTCATTTGATCAGAAGATAGTTTTGCTGTTAAAATTTTCTATGATACAAGGTAGCAGCAAATTTGGGGTTTCTATCTTATGTAACATTGATACATTTCCATGCACTCCTATCATTCATGGGAGGAGGATAATGCAACATATCATTGTATTTTGCGAAATTCGCATCCACCTCCCTCACCCCTCCCAAAAACAAGTAAAAGCCATTTTTTGTAACCATTAATCGCACGCATAAAACCCAATCTTTTCTCGGAAAAAGCAATGACCGATTGACAACGTGTCTGTCGAAGACGTCCGATAGTGAACTAAAAGTGTGCCCGTGGCTATGCCAGAATATGAACATGTAAAAGCAAAACATGAATGAGGGAAAATGCCATATTATTTGTCATACCCACCCACCCAGCACTCTGCCGAGGAAGGAGGTTGGAGCTTCATGATTCAAGTCGTCGTTGATTCCCAGAGATCTCCAATCCTCTAATAGCTCCTGATAAACGCCGTAGAAACCACAGATCAAAACTCGGAAACACAGTCAACTTAAGTTGCTCAGATCATAATATCTGTATCGCTACATGTCATACGAGCGAAAGGCAACGTTGCATGATTGGAGCGATGAACAGTCGTGCCACGTTGGTTGAAGCGATGTCAGAAGATATAGGGCGGGCTGAGTCGTAAAAGGTGGAGGGGGAATGTAGATGTCAAGCCAAGTATGTAACCTCAAGTCAATGGCCAAGCATGACTCCAAAGCTACGTGGGTATCAAGGCGTACATTGGAAAGGTAAAGGAAATTTACTGCTCAAGTAATGCCTTCAAGTGAGCATCGAGTAGGTTGTCAATCTTTTTTCGACTCTTCAAATCAAGCGCACCATTTCGCAAAGAAGTACGAAGTTTTGAGAATGCAGATCGTTGAGTCGGCGAATCATCACCCTTAACAACATCTACATAGTGTCCGGCTAGGACCTCGTTGATAGTCTTCTTCTTATTGTTGAGCGTTTCGTCGTAATAAAGGATCAGTTGTTCCATTCCTGTAGATGCGTTGTTGTTGTTGTCCTCAAGAGCCAATCTGCGGAATTCGTAGTACATGCCTGGGTTGAAATTCCTGCACAGAAAGTGCGCCCAGAACTCGTAAAGTAACTTCATGTCAGTGTGAGTTTCACCAGGCTGAGTGGTTTCTCGGACTCTAATTGCCCTTTCACGGAAGGTGGTATATTTCTCGGTGGTATTAGATTCGGAGATTGCTGCTTGTCGTCTTTGATCCTTAACCCACATGACTGTCGGGGCATTGCTGTAGCTTGAATGGGGAGAAAGTGTCCGTCGATCATCTTCTGTAGAGCTAGAGTGGTATAAGTCAGAACCGTAGATCAACATAGAATTCAAAGCGGCACAAATTTACCTCTCTTGTAAGTGGGACCCATTGACCAAAGGTCGACCTTGACGCTCTTCATACAATTCCTCGTTTATTGACCTACCGTCAATTGACCCATTGGAGAAGGTTCTTGATGATGAGTGGTGGTATGGGTGCTTGACAGGCTTTTGGTCACTAGTCTTGCGAGAAGCTTGTGAAAACACCAAATTCAAGTTCTCAACCTGTTCATCAGTAAATGTGGTTTCTGACGCTAAAGGGTCAGGCGATGGAACTGTATTTCCATTTAACGGCAACAGACCAGGAGTGAAGTTAGGTACGGCAGCTGATAGCGGTGTGTCTTCGTGATAGTGGTTGCCATTACCATTAGCTAAAGGTGCTTGGTCGGCTCCATTCCCAAATCTCATAAAGTCATGTCCACCGGAACTGAAGGCTGGTGAGCCCATCTCTTGACCTGGCATCATGATTTGACCCATATGGCTTGGTGGTCCATGGTTATCACGAATTAGGGTAGCTGGCCCATCATTATGTTTCATTGACTCTTCTCTCTCCTCAGATGGCATCACCCATTGATCCCAACCATCACGTCTTCGTATTCTATCAACACCATCCTCACCCTTAACAATCTCAATTTCAGTGGATTGTTGGCACGCGTATCTTAACATATCAATGTCTCGTGTAAGAGACTGAATTCGTTTGAACTCAGCCACAAAGTGTAAGAATACAAATCCTTGCGAGTCCATGTGCTTCCTTAAGTAAACATCTTTGCACAAATTGTCAATCGAAAAGTAATATTCCAATTGCATCTTGACCATTGACAAAAGGGTCACAGACTGGGAGTCTGTGAAAGAGGTGTATGGTAAAGCGCTCATGGCTTGCATTGGTACATAGTCATACATAGTCTGTAAAGGTGCCATTTGTTGATTGCCATTGGCATAGCCACCTCTTGGGTACACAGCGACGTTTGGTATGGATTGTGATCTCGAGCTTCCACGAGTGCGGGGAGGAGCTTGGCTGTATTGGTGGCTGAATGGCCCTTGAGGAGGGGGGCTGTAGGGTGTCGAATTCTGACGTCCTTGATAAGGTGGGATGGTATTGTGGCCATTGGCGAAAACATGCTGACCGTTAGGGAAAGCATTGTGAGTGCCTCGACCGCGATATCCTCCGCGGCCTCGTTCCGCCCGACCCTCAGCTCTCTGATCCTTGCTTCCGTTTTTGAAGTCAGAGCTTCCAGAACCATCGTTTCTGCGGTCACCAAAGCCAGATTTAGTTGGAAACTGTCCTTCGCTAACACCATGTCCTTTCTGAGCGGTCTGGCTATCTTTGTCCGTCTGGGTAGCGATAGGAGTTCTTCCAGTATCAGTCGGCGATACAGGTTCATTCTTACTAGCACCCGCCTTTGCTTTCTCTGCATTCGAGGTGGTCATATGCTTGCGTGGGTCACGACTGGCATCTTCCTCGTTTGCTGGTCTCCTAGAGGAGTTTGGCGGAAGAGACGATGATCGGACTCCGCGCTTTTCAGCTATCTCGCCAGACTCGGCAGGCTTAGCAGCACCTCCTATCAATTTTTCTCCAGTAACACCATTTGCCACATGACTAGTACGCCCCCCCTCACGTCCTACACGAGCACCACCCCGTCCTCGTCCGCCTCGAACTGGTAATGGAGTATTGAATGTGACTGATGGAGTGTAGGGCACTGGGACCCACTTCTCCTTCGTCCTTGGCTTGTTTGAGGGATTCTCTTCCTTCTCGTCCTTCTTGACTTTATCTTCCTCTTGGATCTTACGCTTCTCTTCTTCAAGCGCCGTTTCTGGTGTTGGCCACGCCATAGAATCCTCAACTGGAGGAGGTAATGGACCAGAAGCACTTTTGTCCTTTTCCTCGCCGGCCCTACTGCCCCTTGCGGGTCGCTTATTTGGATCCTCTTTCCCCTTGATCAGACCATCTAGACCTTTCTTTTGACCCTTGTTCAAGGCATTGTCCTTGCCGACCTGTGGTGGCTTCTCATCTTCAACAGAGCTCTTTCCCTTCCGTCTAGGGTCGAAACCTTTTGCAGTAGAATTGGAGGTAGAGATTTCGCCGAATGCGCTTGCTGTTTGAGGTATTGAAGGACTCGACTTTGTCTTTGCAGCCTGTGCCTCTTTGCGCTGCTCCCAGAAGTTTACGGCTGGAGGTGGAGCTGGAACCAGGGGAACGTCTGGTACTTTCACTTCGTCCTTTTCTTTCTCTTTCTCCTTCTCCTTTTCTGCCTCCTTGTCGTCCTTCTTTTGCTTCTTGGACTTCTTAGGTTTTCTCCCCTCACTCGCCTCCATAGAGGGCTTATCTTCTCTATTTCGTCCGGCTCTCTCCCACCCTTGTTCAGACGCATCCGCAGTTCCATTCAAAGCGAGCTCCTCCTCCTTTGGTATCGTTGCACTTGGCGCAGCATTCACATTTGGTGAATCGGAAATAGAACCCGTGCTTACTTGCGATGTTAGTTTCGCATCCGTGTTTAATCCAACTCCAAGCGGATCACTTTTTCCCAGAGCTTCCGTGGCACCATTAATATTTCTATCGCCGTTTTCAGATCCCGCTGCCCCAGTGACCGACGCTGAGGGTGTATTCGATACGGAATTCGATTCTTTGGCAGGTGTGCTGACACCAGAAGCCGATGCCTGGCTTGACTGCATGGCTGAGTTTGCAGTTGAAGTTGCGCGACCTTTTGCGGCCATGGCGTATGAGAATGTAGGCGGGGTAGAGGTGCTCTCAGATTTCGGTGTTGCCGATGCCATTGTGACTTGTATCACAAAAGATATGGCTTCTTCACTCAATCAAGCAAGTCCAATTCCTGCGAGCAGGTACTCTTAGTGCTTGAAGTTGATACAGAGAGGCGACTAAAAATTCACCCTCAGTATTGGACGTCCGGAGAGGTTAACTCGACCTCTCCGCACTGCTATCCGAATGCGCTGACCAAATATCAACGTCTAGAAAAACTTGGACTGATTTGGTGCAGACGGGGGAATCGGAATCTGGAAAGGTCGCGGCGGAATCTTCGTTCGAAATAGATTTGAGACGGATTTGCGCGATATGAGGAAGTATTTTGTAGCGCGAGTTTCGCAAAATATCGAAGCCCCAAGAAATGACTTGAGAATGGAAAGGTAGATGAAGGGCAGATAGTTAACAAGTTCCGGTATTTATGAATCGTAGGCAGTAAGTCGTGGAACGAAACGGAATTTTTGTTTGATGACACAGGTAGTGCTGGCGACGACGCGAAATTGAGCTCGAACGGCTGAGTCGAAACTATGATTCTACAATGGAATTTTAGCTATATTATTCCAACATAATACGGCCCATTTGTGAATCAATACGACATGGAACGCAGCTTCTTCGAGTTGCCTGATCTGCAATTGCGCGGATGCAAAGCCGCACAAAAGTAATTGTTATGAAAGTCTCAAAATCCACCACGCACCTTTCAAAGATAGTAGATATACCAGAAGATCAATCTTATGAGATAGATCTCTTAGTATTCAATCCAGGAAGAAAAAGTCGGCAATGGTGTCAAACTCCCAGTGTTCCCAGAGTTTGACAATGTATTACAATTGCTGTACGGCCGGAAATCTTGTGGTTGCCCGTTCCAAACCAAAACCAATGGTTATTATTTATTTGTTGGTCCTTTGGAAGAGATGGATATTCAAATGAGAGAAGACCTCTTTTAAGCACTTTTATGACAAGAAGTGTTCAAATGGAGTCGGAAGGAAAGAGATTGAAAAAAGATGGGAGATTAAAATTGAGAAAAGGCAGAAAGAATCTTTAGGGTTGAAGTCGATCTGAATTATTTTTGCTAGATTCTGAATTTAGTGGATTTTTCTTTTCTCGGCTGAGAATTTTACATTTCTTCCATGGACGCCGAGCGGCTTCACGGAAGGTCCTAGTATACAAGTTCCGTTTGGTATTGCCAAAATCGATAATATAATCATTCAAGGCATTGTTGTATTATAGATGTTACAGATGTTATAAATATTATTGGATATCAAACTTTTCAATCGTTTTATCTTTTATCTTTTTGAATTTTCTGCATTGGGAATATATTTGGAAATGTTTAAATTCAGCACAATACTAGGCTGGAAACCATCTGCTGTGTATGCGATTTTATAATTCCTCTCTAATTATATAAAGAGAAAGAGGCAGAGGCAGAGCGTTTGTTCAAATAGAAATAATAAGAACGATTCACAAGTTCACAAGATCTGGGCCCTTTGTAAAGTTACAGTATTCCTTCATTAGGATCGATCATCAATCATATAATTAATCCCCTGACTGCCATTAATAAAATTGTCAGTCATATCCGTCATTCTACTACCTACTACTTACTACCTGTGAGTTGTGACATGAAAAAAGCCTTGCAGATTTCCATGACACCGGTTCATCCATCTTTTTACCCCTCAATACTTCCTCCTTCCTATCTGAATTCCTCCAAGGCTGGAAACCAATCTCTGTGCTCAACACGACGACGAATCATCCATCCACTCATTATAAATCAAAAATAACTTTTCATCCATGACATACAAGTTGTGTTAGGATATCAGGTATCATAAACCTACCTATTCAACCCCAATGTTCTTGCGACTGATGATTGCGCGTTACACAATAACATATCAGAACACGAAGTTCAATGATGAGGATCCCGACCAGCTGTTGTGCCAATAACTTACAGTCCTCGAAATCCCTCAATTAAGCGCGAAGGCTCTTTTTATACTTTCAGTCTCTCCTACGAACCCAGACAAATATATCAACAAAATATTCATAAACATACAAGATCATTCCAATAATGTCAGCTGAATACCATGGGTTACTTATTACTGCCCTGCCTTACCTTCCTCACCTTCTTCACCTTCCTCACTTGTCATCGCCCCTTCCAAATCTAGTCACGATGCGAAAGGGGTCTAAAACCTACATTTTATGCTGCCTCATCCACGATTCTTCTTCAGGTAGTCAAGGTAATTTCCTATTTCTCACACCTGCATGCATACATAGTGGATCTGTTACTTCCTGCCCCTCCAAGTCTTCCTCCTCAAAAACTCCCACTCGCCGTAAATAAGATCTTACATGAGACAACAACGTCATTATCGGCGTCCTTTCATTCTTCGCCCAAATGCCGTACCTCCCCCCCTTTGAGAAATCTGAAACCAAATGTACTTTATTTGACCTTGAATTCGGTATCGGCATGACTAAGTCATAATATGATTACCAGCCCTCGAATCGCGTCTTGCGCCTACGGGGAAAAAAATAAAAATAAAAATTTCACTCAAAACGTGCAGGAAAGGTGGGCGGGCGTAGGTGTATCCACACTAAAAATTACCCCTCCATTTTCTAGCTCTCGGATCTGTATCCACCTGGTCATCGCTAACGGGTGTCATTGATCGTATCTGAAAATCATACATGCCCATTGCCTACAGTGCCCTACACCACCCAACCAACCCCTCTCATTTTGGCCCATTCTCATCAATGTGCAAAATCACCAGTGGTTATCTAATCAGCATAAAAATCAATATAGTTGATCTTCGGATTTTGAGCTCTTCTACGAGAATGAAATTGCGAATATAGATATTTTCCAAGAAGGATAAAGGATTTTCTTGACTTTATACGGCAGGTATATATATTTACATGTTTAAAATCCAAAATTCTAAAGCTAGGTATCTTATCTACATGTATGGTGAAGAAACATCACAATACCACAATCCAGACTGCAGCCAGATAAATCTTCAGATGAACGAGCCATTCCGAGATATTCTGCTATGAAGTGCAAATCCCAATCACCGGGTTATCAAACCCCTCACTTCCTTCACGATATCCCTCATCCCCGTTTTCGTGAAGCCAACTATCTGATCTGAGAATGACGATATCTAGAAACCCTAGATAACGAATGCCTCCCCTCAAATGTAACCCCCGGACTAGAGACAAAAGTCCTTTTGATCGACTCGCATACGTTTGCAGGCATTCGAAAGATCTTGTATCATTATCTGCAACCCACTCTCTCCCCCGCATATACGCAGATACAGTGCGAGTACTGGTACATAACTCGAGGAAGCTGGTTATGTCACTTCCGCCGACGAGATGCTGCATGCAAGAAGAAGGTTACAAAAACTTCCTCATTTGCGGATAACTTCCGAGATTATTTACATCATTTGATACGTACATTGATACACTGCCTTGTACAAACCTGGCAAAAAAGGTCGTCGACATATTTATCATGGTATAAGTATCTGTATGCACTATTTTACAAGATTGCTGATTCAAAGGGATTACCTCATCCGTCCCCACAAGCTTATCCTGACATCCACGCAGCTGCTCTATTGACTCCGAAATTGGTTGCCAGTCGAAGACCGCTGGAACCCATTGGGAAGTAGCTGACCAGATACCAAGTCAAGCATATTATTTGAATGATGGCCGAGATCAAGGTCAACGGCTTGCTTCGAAGCTACACGCCACATGTTATTAAAAAGATGGTGGGAAATCTTATTTCGGAGAAAACGCTTACCCCCAGACTGAAATATAAGGTCAACCCGATGGATCCAAAATAGGTCGTGGTGAATGGAAGGCGTGGCGCTGATATCAGGTGGCTAATGTACGTCCACGGGCCCATCATTGCAGCCCATGATGCGAGGAATAACATTGAACCTAGAGTCCATCTAGTTGTCACACGCTCCAAGTCAGTTCTGAGGGTGTAGATGTATGAATCATAACTTCGTAATTGTTCAATATCTCAAATCATTCATTAATGCTGGAGTAGCATCATGAGTGATCGACAAACTTAAAACTCCATACACAATGCCCGACGGGTAGTTGCATGGAGGCGAAATATTTGAAAAGTTGGAAGTTCTTCGATTCGTATTGGACCCAGTTTGCAGGGTATGAGTTTAAAATAGCAAGGAAAGTGAGACTCACAGAATCGCGAACTTGGTTGGAAGAACAATCAAGTACGGGAATAATACGAAACAGATAACAAAGCAGGCCAATGCACCAATATTGAACCCAGCAAATAATAAAAGACGGTCCCACCTACTCACTGAATATGGGAAAATGGAATAGTCAGCCCTCTAGATAATCAATTTTTGAAGTGATACGAAAGGGCCAGTCAAGCCACACTCAACACCACCCAATGTACGTCGTACCAGATGCCAGCGGATGCAGGGACAGTGCAACGTGTGGGGAAATGGAAACGTTCGGTAGGTAAGTTGACTTACGGGCAAACCATCCTTCTTCTTCTTCACGTCGATTCCGACCAGGCAGAGGGGCTCCCGCCCCCTCTGTGGTGGGCAGTCGGACATAGCCACTGTCTCCAAATGGATTTAACGACTTTATTGAAGATAGAAGGCCGCCGGTCTGCTGAGCGGTGTTGACGGGGAGGTCCGGGTCGCGACGTGACCACCCTAGGGAATTCATGGAATCTCTGAAAGAAGAGGAAGCCATTATTGCATTAATCTTAACCTTTCGGCAGTTGTATAGTATCAAGGTTCCTTTTCCAAACCCTTGTTATCCCTTTCGCAGATGCCGTGAATGTTCAAGATTCAGGTAGATGGTTGGGTGAGAGGAAAGGACCGGTGTAGGTATGGACCGAAGAGATGTGATCGGTTCGGAGTATTTTGTTGAAGAAAATACGGCCGTTTATGTCCTACTCAGTATAATTCGTCTGCAGGTATGTCGTGCGTTAATCGACCTCGTGGAAATAATGCGACTGGTTTCTTTGCGAATGTTGAAAGGGGTGTCCAATGACCTCTTCGACGAACAGGGTTATAGTTGAATAGTTTATCTCTTTGCAATAAAAGATCTCCTCGTGATCAATGTAGAGGCTCTCCAAATGATGAAAGCTTTAGCTTCGAATGATGGATGTGTGATGAAGATGGAATTCGTGATTGGAGGAGAGTTGGCCGCAGTCAGCAGAAATGGGGGAAAGGGGGGGTGTGGTGTAGCTTCTAGGGATGATCGGAATGAAAGAGTAGCAAGAGCCTTCTAACTTTTATCTCCAGAGGTATGCGATAAGCCCTTTTTGGAATGATTCATGGGTGGGATTTCTTTTATCGCAGATGGTGTGGTGGAAAAGTCAAGTTTAGTATTGTTAATAGGCAATCATGGGAAAGTTCATGAGGAGAAGTTGTCGGTTTGACGCTAAAATGTCTCAAATCATACGGCGCTAGTCGGTACGGGACAGGCGAACCAAATTAAAAGGGAGAGAAGGTTAAAAGTACACAGACGCTTTTAACGAGTTATTAAAGAGTGATGAAATGGAGAGAACCTTTTTACTATAATTAGTGGGTAGGTAGGTAAAGTCATGCAATATCCAGTTAACCCAGACATGAAAATTCCTAGGGAGAAGAAGACGAAGGAGGCAACCCGTTTTTATACTACACATTTATGCGCAAAAAACCAAAAAAAATAAAATAAAAGAAAATAGATGCACTGATTAATAGAGAGAATAGTATCAAAGTCTTCATACGGTAATCTTTCTACGAGTACATACCTTAGCCTACATCCACTATGTCGAGCCTTTCCTTGATAGAAGTACATCAGATTGTATTGTAGCCTATCTGTCCCTTTCCAAGACAACAGAGGAATCTGTTTTATCTTGCATGCTTGCGTGTTGGTGTGTGGCTCAACTTCAAGACATCCGACCCCCCCTCCATCTCATCTTTTTGTTCAGGGTAATAAAATACCGGACATGGATTACTAGATCTGTTTGTATTGTTTGGTCTGAATAAGGTTCTAGTGATGAGTAGGTGAGAGTGAAAAGGGTGTGGAGGGTGGTTCACCTAGTTTCGAGGAGGGGTGCATAGTATGAGTCTTTCGTCTTTCGACACCATCTATTTCTAATATCGAGTGAAACCTTCCCCAACCTTCCCAAGCTTCCTATGAAAATCTTGGAAAACCTGGTAGAAGCTACTTTTCGGAGCTATCTCCTCCCTCCAGATTATTCGTGATTAGGAAGTTCCTCTTCTTGTTGATATAGGTCAAGTGGCTTAAGCCTGTACATGTATGCGTGAGAGAAAAGACATAAAAGGATATCCTCGCCTCCTCAACCTCTCAACTTCTTCCAAAGTTTCCCATCTTAATTCCAAACCTCCCAAATTCAAACTGCCAAAGTTTGAGCCACAGTCTATCAATTCAGCCTGAAGCTTTTTATATACTTACACCAGCAGCTAAGTGAGGTGCGACAATCTCCTTCGACTTGTATACCACACCTCTCACCTGTCACCAACCACCAACGTATCAATATCATTCATTATTCTAAGCCGAGGTCTACTACCTAGGTACATAGAACTACGACGCCTTACCTGAAATTCATTCCTTCTCCTCCAAATGGGATTGGACTGAAGTGGATTGGATTGGATCACCTCCCTGTTTTATCCCGTCTCACACAATCGTGTAAGACTTTCGGCTTTCGGTTGTACCATCTCATCTCATTTGCTTGAGTAAACGGCCGAATTGCTAAGCTTCTCAAAAGTGGAAGCTTTGCACCCGTTTCACCGGACAGGCTGAACTCATTTGAATAAACAAAGTATCTTGCCGGTCTTCTTATCGGCGACATATCACATTATTGACTTTCTTGATCTCAATCCTTCACACGGAAACAAGGAAAACAAACCACAAACCTTACCTCTTTTCGATGAAGATTCAGTCGCCATTGCTACCTTAGGATTCGATTATCTATCTACATAGGGCCCCATACCGGATAGCGGACGGGTACTCTGATCCTTCGAACCCTTCATCCACTGCGACTGTTGTGACAACTGCGAGCTTTGATACCGTAACGTTATCGATTTTGTGGAGGAGATATCTATCTACATCTATCTACTCCTTATCAATTATCAATTATCTACCCCGCCATTCAAAACCAACACCCCTCCCTCCCCTTTGGAAGTTTCGCATTCCTTCCTCGCGAAGAGCTCCATGCTATTGGTAAATTCGGTACTTAACTCCCATTCCCTTACTTTTTCCTCTCCTTAGTGTGAAGTCCCTAGCCTTGGTGTTCATTTGTTGGTTCGGCGAAAGCCAAAAAAAGAGAAAGAAGAGAAAAAGAATTCAAGTATAACGTTGGACAACAATGAATAAGAGAGCTTTCTTTCTCTTCAACCAATCAGAAAACTAATTGAAAGTTATTTGTCCTACCTCTAGAAATTCCATCTCTCGGTCAAATTATTACACGCGAATACCTCATCAGCCTTCTACTCCAATAATTGCTACGAGTTGAGAGAAGGTCGGGCAGGACAGGGTAATCTCGAATCAAGCTGCCGTTCTATTTTTTTAAACTACTTTTACGCTACTGTATGACAGACAGACAATAAGGCCGGTTTTTAGCCCTTATCGAGTTGGCCTGTCTCTTAAGAAGGACCCGAGCACTTTCTCTACAAGAAGTGCACTTGCACATAATCTATTGAATTACCTGCCTCCGACAGCTACGAACAAACATCTTTGTACATCACCATCCATTGTACAGATCTTCCTTAGCGGGTGATTTTCCTACTTTCCTGCGAAACAACAAGGCGATCGAATCAGAAGGAGATCCAGTTCCTGTGCGATAACTCACAGACTTCCTTCCGATTTTTCAATTATTAATAAAATCACCGAGGATTCCATCTTATAATTATTTTGTTTTAATATTTTGACATCGCTAGACGCGGCCCATTCGTCATTTACTTTACGCCAAGTCCCGAATTGACCGTCCCATCCGCCCCGGATTTCAAAGAAACAAGGGAAGGGAAAGGAAATAATTCTGGAGCACAACTTCCCCCCCTCTCTCTCCCTGCTCCCTCCCTATCGAATCGAATGATAAAATAACCCGAAATTGTCATCCCCAAGCCAATAATTAATTCAGGAAAATAAGGAAAAAGGGAAAAAGGGTAAAAGGGAAAAGCCAGCCAAACAACCAATCGCACCAAGCTTGGAGAGGAATAAAGTCAAAAGTATCAAAGAAAGGGAGCACCGGTAGGTACGTACTGGGAAAATTCTCGGTCGAGTATCCATTTATTCTATCAGAATCGAATGGGACATTCTTACTTGCTCATCTTCACAACCGCGAGTACAACTACAAGCTCAACCTCAGCTACATCTCCATCTGCATCTCCATCTCCATCTTCTTAGGAAATCCTCTGAAGCCTTGTCCACCAACTCCCTCCTCCATCCTCTCCTCCTCCACATCTCCACCACACACGCACCACACATCCATCACCCACCACTACCACATAAAACCACATAAAACCACATAAAACCACCCATTCCTCCATTTCAAGGATTAATAAATTTGAACGCTTCAACACAAAGCGACCCATACTAGGTAAGTCAAACCTGACACTACGCTCTACACACACAATAAAGTCTACGCCTCAACCTCAACCTAGTACTATTCCATTCTAACCTTCACACTTGGACATTCAGGAAAACGAATCTCGAAATATCGCTATTCAATTTTATCCTTTTTCTTGCATTTTCGCTGCTCCGGCGCTGAAAGATTTCAATAGAGGATATTTTTGTTTTTATTATTTGATTTGATTTTCCGTCATATCATCATCTACCTGGTGGTTATCCGTCCCTTCCACAGAACACCCTCCTCTTCCTACAGAACTTCTTTTACTATCGATTTTTGTCTCGTCACACACAATATCCTCATTTTCAACGAAAGAAATTAAAATTTCTATCACCTCGTCAAATCAATCAATCAATCAATCAATAGAAGTCACCCTGTGCGACCCTCGGCCATTGCTACCGAGAGTAAAAAAGTGAAAAAGGTTAATCCCCCCCCCACCCACCGCCTTTCACCGAAATATCGTGAGTTATCCCACACAACGGCTGTTTTGGCACACATTCTTTTGGAAATTCTACTCCCCAATCATAACTTCTCCGCCTTTTTCTAGCGCACTCCGAGAAAAGGTAACCTTTCCTCCCCCTCCTGGGTCGACAACTCAATTATTCTTTTCAACTTTACCTCCATTCTCTCTCTACCTTGTTAAGAGTCATCAAAGGAAGAAGATATACTGACGATCTGTCGGACAAGGCCCCCCTCGCGATAATAAATCTACCACTTCGCCCTACCGACCTTATCAGCCAAATCAAAGACCGGATTGATCTTGGTCGTCGTGGCCTATTGTCCAACAACAAAGTTCCAAGAATTCCAAGAAGACCCATATAATCTATTTTCCCAAAAACCGGAAGTCAGCTTCATTTCTGCTTACACCTTCGAAACTCGACAACTGTCTGCCCACATGTAAGTGCACATCCTCTCAACATATGCATGGCCCCCTATGACGACTTGGCAATCAAAAAAATAGTCTGCATCATGGTCATGTAGAAATGATCATTGGTTATAAGAGCAAATATTTTCTCAATTTATCAGATAGTTACAAGCATGCTATCAATTCTGCAGCAAATCCGGGCATATGCTTGCTCCTTATTCGAATGGCTTATTTGAAGCTTTGACAATGGCTAATATTTGTCACACATATAGATAAAGATCATCTCTGTTCAAAACGAGAGGTGCAAATACAAACCAACAACCAACCATTCGCAGGACATATAACCTCCTCAAAGACCTTTATAGTCAGGAGTCAAATAGCCAAAATGGCTGGCACGGGTGCGTCGAGCCCGTTCATCAAAGACGAGCCGGATGATCAGTTCTTCTCCTCCCACAACCAAAGATTCATGTCGAACCCGCAAAGCTTCGGTCTAACCCAGACACATTTCAATCAATTCGGCTCACACGGGGGCAGCATCAATCCCAATGACTTGAATGTTGCCAGCAATGGCATATCTATACCAAATAGTGGATATGGGACCTCCTTCCAGAACAATTTTTCAACTCAGCCCTCAAACCCAAGCGCAAGCTTCTCGAAGGGTATCTCGACTTTCGGTGACGACGAATTGCTGGATAGTCTAGACACCATAAATAATCCACACTCTAATCACGGTGGCATGCAAAACGGCCAAGATTTTGGTATGGAATTTGACTTCAACAATCATAACATGTACGGAGGTAACAATGGAAACGGCTTGGGTGTTGACCCGAATATGAATGGCTATTCAAATACGCCAGATGGAGATCCTATTCAAAGCCCTTTTGTTCACAACTTCAACCATGCGCAATTCAGACACATGCAAACGCAGCATAACTTTGGCTCGTCACTTCAATCCCCCGCTTCATATGCAGGCTCCCCGTTGAGCGGTGCTGACTTGCACAATGGAGATAACAACTTTACCAAGCAGCAACGGCCAAGGTTGACTCAAGTGGGATCCGGAAGAAAAGCATCCAGCACTAGAAGTCCATTGACGCCGAAAACTCCTGCAATATCATCTCTCAATATTGGATCAGCAGATCAATCGAACTTCCCAACTCAGCCAATCCGTACTAATCATGTCCACCGACACCAAAAGACCTTGTCTGGTCAATGGGATCAGGCACCGAACAGCCTTGGCTCCTTTCCGGGTTCTGAGTTCGGTTCGCCCATTCAAGGGGTTCACCCAAACCCACAAATCTCCGACATTCTCAAAGGTACTTCAATGCCAACGAAACTCAACAATGGTCATGGATCAGCGAATGCACCAGGTCTGCAGTCACAAGAAATGAAGAGAAGACGTCGACGGGAATCACACAATCTTGTTGAGAGAAGGAGACGAGATAATATCAATGAGCGCATTCAAGAATTGAGTCATCTTGTTCCCATGCATCGACTTGAGGACGAGAAAGTACGCAAAGCCATCATGAACAATTCTCCTTTGTCTCCGACCCTCACCGCTGTGTCACAACCACCGCCAAACGGGATGAGCCCTCCGCAAGCTACGTCTGGTCTTGCCGGTCCCGGTGCCAGGAGAGCCACAGGGAATATCACTACCGGTATTCCGATTGAGGAGAAAGACAAGGGACCAAACAAGGGTGATATTCTCAACGGTGCTGTAAGCTGGACCAGAGATCTCATGTGGATGTGTCATCACCAAGCTCAACAAATGGAAGATCTTGCCAATCTCATTGCCGAGTTAGGCGGAACATGGCCATATGAGAAAACTGAAGACGAGAAGCGCATGCATACTGAATTGATGGATGCTATGGCTAAGAATGGTGAGGCTAGTTTCGAATACACCCGACGCCCCGGCACGGGTTTGAGGGTGCCTAAACATACCGATTATAGGGGTGAACCAGACCGTGGCTCCAACTTTCCCCAGCTTGATAATTCTCTCAGTCCAGACAACCATAGCAGTACCGATGCTGGTCAAACTGGTATGGGTGGTGCGGGTCAATATTGGAGTGGTCACAACAGCGGAGGTAGCGGTCCTGGCTCTATTGGCGGCTTTAAAGAAGAAGATGAATACAACATGGACCTGGGTCAATGAAAAATTCGTTTTACTGATTGGTGAGTGATTGGTCATCCGATTACGGGGAAATTTCATACGATTTTGAAGGCAAAGCAACAAGAATTTGTTACCAGTTTGCATGCATCTGCGCTACGCATCTGTGTCCTTACTTCGCCGGCGTTTTCATCTATGCATTTAATGGTAGTTACGGGGCTTGATCTGGCTTGGTGTTGCTTGCGGTTTGAATAATTGCTCGCAGAAGGCGAGTCAATCATATGGACGGAATATGGATACTAAGGGTTTTTTCAATTAGGGTTGGAATTTATAATTTGTTGGAGATGGACATTGGTTTTACTTGCATTGCATCAAACTTTCATTCGGATTTTGGTTTTATCTTATCTACTTGCATCGATGTTTGCGGTCTGGGCTACTTCACATGATACCTGTGCATCGGGATACCGATGTTTGCTTTTTGTTTTTTCCTTTTTTTTCCTTTTACGACTGGGTGGACAGGATCGAATCTGGAGCTGTCTTTCTACTTTCTACTTGTTATCGATTTGCTTTCAACTGAAACCCCCGCACAACACCTTAGCTAGCTTAGTTTAGTACTCATCATCTTTCTGCCCTTCTGGCAGATTAGTTTTGAGAAATCATTCATAAGTTGCTTAACAACGAATGAAATATACGAAATGAACCCCACATTGTCAACTTCGAACATTAGTCTTGGCGCAATGCCAAGTTCCAAGTCTTTATTTTTCCGTTGCTTCTTTACCACTCTTCTTCATAAGGACCTGCTTCTTGACACTTTGGGGTGCGTCGGGTGTTTGCATGGGTAAGCTTCAGACGTAAGTGTGTATGTATGTATGCCTGCCTTTATGACCCACTCACATGCTATCAAATGGTTCTGCAATATGCATTAGACCCCTTCAAGTGTGTTCCCCATGGAGGGGTAAGGAAAGTGGCCACGGTGGAGAATATAACGGACATTGGTTGCTGGCTTTAGGCAAATAGTCGTGCATTTGCGGGATGGAAGGAGCGGAAATTTTGTATCCGAGGCTTATCTAGGAGGAGGGAGGATGAAATATGCGTGCTAATAGCGGGTTTGAACGATGCTGGGTGATGAGTGTGATTGTGTTTGTTGAGGTAAAACAGGCGGATCGATTTCTTTGGTGCGATACGTGTATGCTTTAGATGTGGATTGAGATCTGGGTCTGTTGGGTAGATTTTAGATGCGAAACTAGAGGAGCCAATGCAAATATTATTGCTTGAGGTACATTTGTTTTTGTAGCTTGGGAGCTCAACGGAATATTCTTGGTCCAGATAAGTACTTCTTGTGATCTCCTGGTTCTCACCAATGATGTGGTCGTAGAAATTCTAAGAGTTCTGGAAACTACTCATCGTATACTAAGCGAGATCATATCAAAATTAACGATTTTTCATCCTTTTCACATTTGATTATATACATGAAATTTGGAAATAATTTATTATGTTTTTTTATGTTTTTGAAAGTAATTAATTAAATTTTCAAAAAAACAATTAGTTTAGTTTTATTTTAAAATTATAATATTTTAGATAAAATGATAATAATAAATTGTTACGAGGTTTGCCGTCTAGATCACGTGGAAGTGCTCTAGGCTCTCGAGGTGGTTTATAACTAGGCGTCAAGCAGGGACTTAAGTAATGACAATGATGCAATTCGTAACTAATAGTAGAGTATACTAAATGATTGATCTTGAGCACGAGGCTCTACAGGAAGGAATTCATACCGAATATATAGATCCTCGTAATTCTTGGATCACCTTGGATCATCAATGATCCAAGGTGATCCAGCATACCTGTTCATATGCTCTGATGGTGCGTGTATATGAGTTTTTAGGGTGACCGAAATCTCGTATTAAATTGAGCGAATCGTAAAAGATTTACATATGGCCCAAGCTTACGAAAACAAGTCAGCTGTTACCATCGTAACATAAATAAAGGTTGAGATTATATTGATATAAAAACTAGAGTTAGTTAAAGTATTTTATAAAATTATAAAAGCAAAAATAAGGGAGTAAAACAAAATTACAAAAAGATATTTAAATAAGGAAAGTGTTATATATATTGAAGTTATTTAGAATGATATAATAATATTTATTAAGGCAATTAAATTTAATAATTGTTTTAATTTATTTTCTAAAATAATTGAGATATTAAATAAATTCCTTAGAATTCTATATCTTCAAATTGATCAAATTGTTTATAATAAATTTGTTTCTAAGAATCTTTTTAAATTATGTAAACTTCAAATTTTCGATGAGGAGAATATTTATTATTTAGCAATAAAGAATGAGGTTTTTATAAATAAGAAGATTAAGGGTATATTAAAAGATTTTAAGGCAAATTTAGATATTTGAATAGATAGGTTTATCAATTATATTATAATTATGATGAAATTGTTTGAGAGAGATAATTTAGGGTTATAGAGAACTTTAATAAAGTTTCAATATCAATTATAAAGTTCTTTTGGATTTATAATTAATATTTAATGATATTTTCTTTATTTTATAATTTTGTATTAAATAAAAATATTAAATTAATAATAAGTTAAACTATTTAGAAAAAGATTAATTTTATATTTTGATAGAATAACAAAAATAAAAGAGCTTTATATAAATATTAAATTTAGAAAATATAAATATAAAAAATCAAGTAATAATAAAGAATTTAATAATGATTTGATTATTTATAAAAATATTTAAAGTTTTATAAAATATAAATGAGATAAATATAAATATTTTGATAAAAAAAGAGAAAATAAGATATAAAAAAATAAGAAGAATATTAAAGAAAAAAAACTTAAAAATAAAGATTTGGTATAAAAATATTAAATAATAATGTTGAAGTTTCAAACTTTACTTTTATTTAAAATAAAATAAACACTTTGAATAAATTTTTATTTATATATTTTTATATTTTAATATCTCAATTTCTTTTTCGACTTATAATTTTAATCTATTAATTTTAATTAAATTATTTTTGTTATATTTTGTTAATATTTGAGAATATTTTTTTCAAGTTTATTCTAAATTTTTTGGATTATAATTGATTCAAATACTTTGTTATAATTATCTTATTGATTATTAAAAACCAAAATAAATAATTTAATATAAAAACAAATTTTTAGTTTTTATTTATAAAGAGATATTTCTTATAAATATTACACAAATTTTTTTTAAAAAGAATCAAATATTAAAATAAAAAAGATTTATTTTTATATATCTTAATAAGTTTTCAAAACAAAATAATAATTAATAAAAGTTTTAAAAAAGTGTTTGATCTTTTGAATAATCAATCAATGATTAAATTATTTATAAATATATTACAATCAAATATATTATCTTAATAAAGATAATAAATATTACCAAAAAGCTAAATTGAAATATAATTATTATCAAACAAGATTAAAGTGATATGTTTAGGAAT